GCCGCCGCAGTGTAAGTTCAAGTCGTGCAGAGACGCGTACGACGAGAGCACGTGCGAGCTGCTCGACGTCGACGAGATGCCGTGGCACGACGTCGCGCGCGGTTTGTTCCCGACCTTTGAGTGCGAAGGCCCGGCGGCGGCGAGAGTGGTGTCCATCTCCGCGAAGACGAAGCCGTTTTGCCTTCGACCGTCGGCGTACACCACCCCCGCGGACGGCAGCGGCGATCACAAGATGAAGTACTGCTGGCCGCTCTCGAACAAGGCGACGAGAGCGGAGGAGGGAAACAGCGTCGGCTTTGGCAAGGACAAGTGCATCGGCGCTTACGACTTGGCCGATAAAGTCTCGCCGAGGAAGAACACCGTCCTCGCCGCGAAGATTGACACGGACGCCGTCCAGCGCGCGGAGATTCACATCTCGCCGCGCTCCGGGAGGTGCCGTCGATCGATGGCGCTGTCGTCGAGGGAAAAAGGGAGCGAAGACCCGGGCGCGAGGCTCCTCATGGACCTCCCGTTCGAGCCCCCCGAGTCGTGCGCGCCCTTGGAAGCGGCGACGGATCCCACCGGCACCGCCGCGACGACTTCTCTCGCGTGCGCGCCGTGGACGGACGCGGAGGACGTCAGCCGCCGCCCCTCCAGAGATGGCGCGCATCGATTCGTCATCGACATGGACGCGAGGACGGGGAAGTCCCCGGCGAACGCGGTGCCGACGCCCGATCGCAGCGCGGCGTTTTATTACGGCGACGCGCACCGCGGGAACTGGGCGCACGACTTCACGCGCGCGCACGGCGAGCCCGGCAAGTCCTCCGTGTTGCTGCTCTCGGACGGCTGGCACGAGATGCCGTCCAACAGCCATTTCGGTGGCACGAGCAAGAAGAAGCCCGCGTCCGTCGTGATGTGGATGCGACGCCACCCCGACGTGGACGTCGCCCCGGGCGGGGAGACGATCGTTTCGTTCCAACCGACCGGAATGTTCGAGATCAACGACGAGACGGGCGTCTTGACGCGCGTCGTCGTCGGGTCGAAGAAGAAACCGACCGCGACGGATCACTCCCGCGTCGTCCTCGGCGTCGCGCCCGGGAACAAACTCTCGTTCACCGCGGTGGCCGAGTCCGGTAACGTCGTGTGCGCGTTGCTCTCCCCGCCGGTGGAGGCGCTCTCCGAAGGCGGCTGGCACCACGTCGCGTTCATCATGGGCGTGGATGAGCACGACGTGAAGGCGGGTGCCAAGGTGACGTTTTACGTCGACGGCCAGTCCGTCGACGCGCAGTGCCAGAGCGAGAAGCGAGGCGGGTTCACGTTCACGGACAAGACGTTCGGCGTGAAGACGCGCACGACGCTTCTCGGCGCGCACTTTGTCGTCGGCGACGCCAACGGCGTGCTCGAGTCGCGGCCTCGCGGCGGCGCGTTCGAGGGCGGCTTCGACGGCGCGATCGACGATTTCGGCATCTACGCGACGCAGCTCTCCGCGGAGGAACTGCGGGCGCTGTCCGTGGACGTGCCGTGCGCGAGAGGGTTCCACGGCGACGGGTTCGTGTATTTCGCGGACATGCACGAATCGAACGCGGGCGACGCGGGTCCGTCCGAGGGCGGCGCCTCCTCCGCGTACGCCGTCGAGCTCGACGGCGGGTGCGACGCCGGTCTGCACACCGTCTCGTTCCGATATCTCGTCAGCGCGGGGAACAACCACGAGCTCGTCGTCGCGGACGCGAAGGGCAAGAGGATCGGCGTCGTCGCATTCGAGGAGCCCATGGGCGTGAGCTCGGACGACCTCACGACGTGGCGGTACACGACCCCGCTCGTGTTCGACGGGAAGGACTTCAAGACGAATAAGCTGATGCTGGTGGAACTTCCCGAGGGGACGCCGACGACGACGACGCCGGCGCTCGGCGAGGTAGGAGCAACGTCGACGCGGCCGGCGACGGCGACGACGTCGTCGTCGCCCCCGGTCATCGTCGACTACTTCTCGCGCAGGTTCGAAGGCTCTGGCCCGCTCGTGGACGAGATTTCCGTCGGGTACGGCGCTTCCTATCTCCAAAAAGCCGAGCTCGAAAACGAGGGATGGCGCGTAGCGTTCCGCCACGTCACGCGCGCGGAGGACGGCGACGAGAACCTCGCGCGCTTCTGCGACGTGTCGGGCATCCTGAGCACGAACGACATCGGCGAGAGCACGCTGCGGTGCACGTCGCACGGCAACGTCATCGTCGAGACGACGGTGCTGCTCACGACGGCGCAGCCCGCGAAGTGGGAAATTCGAGGCGAAAACCTCGGCATCGACGGCCGCCTCGAGATTGTTCAGAACGGCCAGGTCGTGTACCACAAGGACGCGACCAAGCCGAAACACGTGCACGCGCGCACGAACCCGGCGTACGTGCAGTCTGAAAAGGTGACCCTCCACGGGACGTTTACGATTCTCCTGTACGGCGTCTACGACGACGCGCTCGCGACTGGGTGGGCGCCGAAATTGCTCTTCAAAGAGCCGCGGTACTGCGCGCTCTTCGATTTCACCCCGCTCGATCGCGGGATGCTCGACTGTAAGCTCGAGGAGCGCGCGCGCGCGCCGGCGGTCGACGCGGAAAGTTCGAACGCCGCTTCCGACGCCGACAGCGCGGCGGCGGCGCACGCCGACGACGACGCGTTGTCCGACCCGAACAAGGTGGACGAGAACGGCAACCTCAAGGACCCGTCCGCGGACGGGCTCTTCATGAACCTCCACGTCGGCGCGAACTACGGCGAAGACCTCGAGCTCTCGGACACGAACGAGGCGGGCTTCCCTTTCACATTCAAACTGAAAGGGACCTTCTCCCTTCTCGGTCTGAAGCTCGCGTTGGACATCGACATTCAGCCGGGCCCCGCGGACACCTCGGACGTCACCAAAGGCGGCGGGATCCACATGATGTTCAACTTCGAGTGGAGGAACCCGTTCAACGGCGACCTGCTCGTGCGCATCGCGGGCAACTTTGACCTGACCCCGATGAGCTTCGAGAAGGCCATCCCCGAGGCGTCCCTCTCCGGCGCCAAGGACGCGTACCAAGGGCTGAAGGACGTCAGGCGCGTTCTATACTCTGGTCCCCATACGACCGCGCTGGCGTGGTGAACGCCGATCCTTAAGGACTTTGCCCGGCGTGTCTCTCCGCCCACCCCCCGCTTTCAATCCCCGCCCTCAACGCCTTTCAACTCCAACTGACGCCTTTCAACTCCACCCCGACGTTCGCTCGTATGGAACGGCCCTCAGGCTCGCGTTCGGCCTCGTGATCCAGGTGGACGTCATCAACAAAATATTGTCGTTCGTCCAGCCGCTCGTCAAGGTGGCGCTGAAGCTCGTGCTCATGCCGCTGACGAAGGTCATCGAGCTCGCGCTCGTCGGCCTGAACGTGCTCATCGACGGGCTCGAGGAGGCGATCACGGCGTACGAGCGCGTCGTCGCCGCCGCCAAGGCGAAGGTGTCTGGCGAAATCGCCAACGCGCTTCTGAAGGTTGAAGCGAAGCAGACGGCGCTGTCTCGGAAGGACATCGAGCTCGAGAACATCGCGCGGGCGATCAAGCCGTACGCGGACCTGTGCGACCAGCCGTGCAAGCGCAAGCTGAACGTCTGGAGGTTCGAGGTGACGTACTCGCCCGCCGGGTGCGAATCGCGCGCGTTCGCGAGCAAGGACGCGTGCGTCAAGGAGTTTGAGATGCGCGCCAGACAGACGGCGTCGCACGTGGCGAGGCAGATGGCGATGAAGGCGCTGAGCCTCGTCAAGTATCTCATCAAGGGCGCGATGTACGTCATCTTCGCGCTGCTCGAGGTTCCGAAGCTTCTCATGCTCGGCGCGTCGGAGGCGTTGAAGATGTCCGGCCGGCTCGTCGCGCTCGCGATCAAGCCCTTCGGCATGATCGACCAGTTCAAGCCGTGCATCGGATGCATCACGCTCGACTTCGCGTGCTTCTGGGCCGCGTTCGACGCGATGACGGTCTTGAGGATCCACGACTTCGCGGTCGCGGCGGACTTCTCGATGTCGAAGCCTTCGTTCGACATGCACGCCGGGATCACCGTCTTCGGCAAGGCGATTCAACTCGACCTCCAGCTCTCGCTGAGCCTCTCCGGGTTCGTCGACTTTTTCAAGGACTTCGTCGTCGCGCAGCTCCAAGAGCTCCTGGGCGCCATCCTCGACGCGCTCACGTGCGACACGAAAGTCGTCGCGGGCCAGGCGAACACCGCGACATTAGACGCCGAGCAGGGGAAGACGACGGACGCGGAGACGGAGATCATCGAGCACGCCAAGAGAGTCGCCGCGGAGGAGGCGTCGCATCCGACGCCGCCGCCGCCGAAGAAGAGCTCATGGGGCTTCGGCCGCAAGCTCCTCGACGAGAACGCGACGCTCGCGACCGCGACGCACCACGTCGGTCTCGGGACGCACGGCGATCGCGTGTGGCACCCGCGCGCGTCGGGAGTCGACGCGCTCGTCGCGACGTCGCGCGGCCGCGTCGCCGTCGCGACGCGTGCCGACGCCGACGCGCTCGGCGACCTCGCGGCGGCGAACGTCCGCGAGCTCGACGCCGTCGCGACGCTCGGCGCGCATCTCGGCGCGCTCATGACGTTCGCGTGGCCCGCGCACTACGCCGCGCGGGTGAAGGACCGCGAGAAGGCGTTGATCGCGACGCTCGGGCTGGATGCGGAGGCGTTGCGACGCGTCGCGCGCGACCCCGCGGAGGCGCTCGCGGACGCGTTCGATCCCTTGGACCCCGAGAACGACGCGTTCGCGCGCGTTTTCCCCGGGTTCGCCGAGGGCGTCGTCGTCGCGAAGAACGCCGCACCGGAGGTGTTTGCCGCGTGCATGCCGTCGCCGGACGCGCCGTTGCGCGCGGCGGAGGCGGCGCTCGGCGCGAAGGGCGAGGAACCGCTCGCGGCGGCGGCGGATCACGTCGACGCCGCGGACGCGGTCGCCGCGCGCCTCGGCGCGACGCGCGCGCGCCTCGAGTCTCTCCACGCGGAAGAACCGGAGACGGCGCGCGCGGCGATGGACGCCGCGCTCGGCGCGGCGAGAGACCCGTGCGCGGTCGCGGGCACGCTCGCGGCGCTGCACTGCGGCGCGCTCAAGGCGGGGATCACGCGTTGGGGCGAGACGATGACCGGGTGCGCGCACGCGCTCGACGTTCTCGCGTCGCCGAAGTGCGCCGCCGGCGTCGTCGTCGACGACGACACCGACGCTGACGAAGCCGATCTGTTCCCGGGTTCCGCCGCGAACAACGCGCACGGTCGCGCGCACAACGGCGTCGACGCGCGCGCGTGCGTCGAAACGGTCGCCGCGAAAGCGTTACCCTGCTCGCGCGAATGCGGCGACGCGTTCGTCTCCGTCGCGTCCGCGTGCGGCGGCGTCGTCCCTCGCGCGGGACGGTGGCGCCACGACGGTGGTCATCTCGCCGCGGCGTGCTCCGCCGCGGTCGCTTCCGCGCACGCGTCGTGCGCGTCGCACCGCGAGTGCCAGGGCGTGTTCGAAGCGATGCCGCGGAAGGACGCGACGTTCTTCGCGACGCGGCCGGCGAGAGTCGCCGCCGCTCGCCGCGCCGCGGCGGCGAGACGCGGCGAATTCGACGCGTCCAAAGTCGACGTCACCCCGCCCGCGGATAAGCTCGACTGGGCGGAGCAGCACGTGTGGGGCGTGCTTCCGGAGGAGACGTGCCACGACGACCGGCTCGAGCTGGACGCGCGCGGGAACAACCTTCAAGGGAAGCCGCCGTCGTGCGCGTGGGAATCCGCCAAGGCGGGCGGCGCCGTGCTCTTGTCGCGAAACCGCCTGTCGGGCGAGATGTCGCCGGTCGGAGACGTTCACACCGTCCACGCCGGGTTTAACACGCTGCGCGGCGAGCTCGGGGACGTGTTCGGGAAGGCGGTCGCGAACGGCCTCGCGAAGCTCGTCGTGAACGACAACAACTTCACGTCGAGGGACGGCCTCGCCCGCCTCGGCGGCTCGAAGAGGCTCGAAATTCTCGACGTGAGCTCGAACGCGCTCGGCCCCGCCGGATCCGCGACGCTCGCGAAAGACCTCGCGTCGTTCCCCGCGCTGACGCGCTACGACGTCGGCGGTAACGACTGGGACCACGCCGCGATCGCGCGCTCGGTCGTGACCGACGCGAACGCGAAGAAGAGACCGGAATACGTCGCGCTGCACGCGCAAGTCACGCTCCCCGCCGCGTCGGCGCCGTCGGACGCGTGCGGCCGGTGCGCCAACTTCAAAAACGACGTCCTCGCCGGCGACGCCAACCCGCACATCGCGCGCGTGGCGCTGCGCCACTGCACGCACACGAACGGGTGCGAGCACGTCGCGGAAGACGCGTCCGGATCCGGATCCGGATCCGCGCCGTCGCCGCCGGTTCTGGAGTCGGTGACGTGCGCTCTGCGAGCGGCTCTGGAGCCCGAGCTCGTGCGGCGGGCGGCGCGGCGGCTGCGCGACGCGCGCGACGACGCGACACTCGTGGACGCTAACGGACCAGATAAGAGCGTTACGTTCGCGTCGGTGCTCCGAGATATGTCCGCGTGGGACGTGAAGCTGCTCGACGGCGTCGTCGACGGCGACGACGGCGCGCTCGTGCTCGGGTACACGCTGACGCCGTCCGCGAACGGCGGCGGCGACGACGACGTCGTCGCCGAAGCGCTCCACGCCGCGCTCGAGCGATTGAAGCGCGCGCCGCCATCGCCGCTGTCGTTCGCGTCGAAGCATTGCTCCGGCGCGCACGAGCACCACGGCGGCGCGCGCGAGGACCTGATCCGCGCCGCGGACGCCGCGAGCGCGCACTTGCACGCCGCTCACGTCGACGTTCGCGGCGGCTGCGCCGTCGGCAGGATGGGCGAAAACTGCGACTACGTCTGCGCGACGGAGTGGTCGCGGACGGCGACGTCGCCGCGACGCGCGGGCCTCCTCGCCGGCGCCGCGCTCGGACGCGCGGCGAAGACGACGATGAAGACGCCCGCGGCGGTGCGCTCGCGCTCGCCCTCGCCGAACGCGATCGCGCGGCGCATGCGCGCGCTCGCGACGAAGATCAACGCGGACGCGTCCGCCGACGACGTCTACGACGACGGCGCGTCGTGCTCGCGACTCGACGCCAGTCGCGGCGCGTGCGTCCGCGGCGGCGGCCTCGACGTCATCGCGTCGCACGAGTTCATCGGCGACGCGACCACCACGCCGCGGCCGCGTCTGGCGTACGCCCTGGAGACGTGTGCGAGCGACTGTCGCGGGCGCGCGAACCTCGCGGTGGCGTCGTGCACGCACTGGCTCGTGGACAAGGCGCGCGCGTCGCTCAGAGACGACTGCCGCGTCGCCGTCGCCGACATGCAGCGCGCGTGCGGCGGCGCGTCGTCGTCGTCGTCGTCGGCGGCGGCGTCGTCGTACGCCCCGGAGGCGTGCGCGGGGAAGGCGCCGAACGCGTTCGCGCGGCTCGGCGAACCCCTCGCGCCGCACGCCTCGGGCTGCGAGACGTGCGGCATCGTGCACTACTTGGAGGCGCACGGGCTGTCTCGCGACGACCACGACGCCGTCGACGGATCCCACGCGGGGGGCGTGTTTCGCGCGACGACGCGACGAGACACGTGGGAGACGGACGTCGGCCGCCGCGCGCGCGCGGCGATGAATCGTGCGGAGGCGGACGCGCGCGCGGCGTGGGGCACGCTCACGCCGCGCGAGGACGCGGCGACGACGATTGACGCCGCGTCGCTCGGCGCCGCCAACGCCGTCGTCGTCGACGTCGACGCGGCGGCGGGTTCGCGCGCGCCTCCCTCCTCGCGCCGTTCGCCGATGTTCCCGACGTGCTCCGCGCATCTCGAGTGCTCCGCGCGGTGTCACGCGCACGTGCACAGCGCGGTGATGCGCCACTGCTCGGCGTGGATCGACGGCGAGGGAGGCGACGACGCGCGCGGCGCGTGCGAGGACGCGATCGACGCCGCGCCCGCGGCGTGCGAGGCGCGCGAGCGCGCGACGTGCGTCGACTCCGTCGCCGTCGGCTTCCGAGCGTTGCTCGACGCGAAGCCGAAGCCGCGCGACGCGAAGAAGACAGACGCGGACGCGGAACAGAAAATGACCACGAAAACGACTAAGAAGAAGACGACGCCGCCGCTCGCGGAGCTCGGCGGGCTCGCGGCGGCGCCGGGGAGGGAGAAGGCCGCGCGGGCGGCGGCGGCGGCGGCGGCGGGCGGCTTCTTCGCCGCCGCCGTCGTCGTCGCCGTCGTCCTCGCGGCGCGCCGCGCGCCACTCGGCGACGACGGCGCGAAGACGAAAGAACACACGCCTCTGCTGAGGGTGGAGGTGGACGAGCGCGCGCGATTGGGGGGCGTTCGGTCGCGTTACGGCGCGCCCGGTCCGTGAGCGACGCCGCCGCTCGACCGAAGAAAACCAAAAAAAAAAACCCGCGGCCGGCCGCGCCTGGCGTCGGCCGCGACTCACTTGTAAAGTGTAAATACGGCGGCGTGCGCGCGATCTCTACGGCGATCGCGCGGGCCGCATCGTTCCTTTTTATTAGTTAGCGAGATGACTAGCTACTAGAATATGTGTTAAGAGAATCATCTTTTGCATCGTCCGAAACGGATTCGTATGATAGACTAGTCTAGCTACTATACTGTACCTGTATTCGTATTCTCGCACTGTTATTATTTCTCCGAGGTGACGTCGCTCACGCCGTCTTCTGGCGCCGCGCCGTCGAACGTCACCATGGGCGACGTCGTCGTCGCGGAAGACGTCCCCCAGCCCGTCAGCGCGCTCGTTCGGGTGAGAATCCGCTCGAATCCGCTCGAACCCGCTCGAACCCGCGCGAACCCGCGCGTCGTCTCGCGCGTCGCGCGCGGCATTCGTCGTCGTTTCGAGACGCAGACGCGAAAGAGGCCCTTCCCTCCAGAAACTCACATCTCCCCTCGTCCCGTCGCGGTCTCGTTCTCGCCTCCCCCGCAGGGCGAGCTCGCGGAGCGCGTGGAGTTCCAATCGTTCACGTGCGACACGCAAGACCGCGAGGACCACACGTTCAACGGGATCTTCTTCGACGTCGGCGCGAGCACGTCGCTGCCGTTTCAGTACATCGAGATTCACTCGCTCTGGGTCAGAGGAGAGCTCGGCCCCGTGACCGTGCACGCGACGCCGAACTCGCACCGCGGGAACTTCGCGCCGGCGCGCGACGACGACGCGACGACGGCGACGGACGGCGCGGACGGCGAGACGCGGCAAGAAGAAGAAGAAGAAGACGAAGACGAAGACGAAGACGACGGCTGGTACAACTGGCATCACGCTCACGATCCGCGACTCGCTCGACGTCGAGGCGGCGAGATCCCGAAAGTGTACGACGCGCGCGCGTGGACGAAAGTCTTCGACGCCACGCTCGAGCCTTCGTTCGACGAGCTCGTCGAGCTGAAGCTCTCGGAGCCGATCACCGTCGCGGGCGGCGACACGGTCGGTCTCTACGTCCACAGCGCGTTGCCGGGGGACCGCGGGGTCGTGTACGACGACGCGAGATGGAGCGACGACGACGCCCACTCGAAGGATGACGGAAAACTCGTGATATACCACGGCACCGCGCACCTGTCGAAGACGCCGTTCGGGCACCGCGCGCCGTGGGGCGGCGACGCGTTGAGGGTCCGTCGGCAGTTCGTCGGTCGCGTCTCGTACGCCGTGCGATGGATGCGATGGAACCCCGAGACGCACGATCGGTTCCCGTTTGGTTTTCGGAAAGCCGTGGAGACGACGCTTCTGTGCGCGCGGTCGACGGAGAAGAACTGCTACCTGACGCACCTCGGCGACGAGATCGTGTTTTATATCATGAACAAGTGCGGATGGGACTGGTTCGGGACGAACATGCGCGACGCGGAGACGGAGGCTGCGATCAAGCTCGAGGACGAGGCGAAAGCCGAGGCGGCGAAGAAGCGTCGAACAGACGCGCTCGCGGAGATGTTCAACGTCTCCCCGGAGGAAGCGATCGCGCTGAGCGCGCAAATGCAGCCCGCGGTGTTGCAGATGTTGCACGCGAATAATTACAACCAGGCGATGTTCGCTCCGCCGCCGACGACGACTTCCGGAGTACACCCCGGAGGTCACCCACCCGCGGAGTTCGACGCGGCGTTCGACGACGAGGAGACGGACGACGAGAGCGACGACGGCGGGGACGTGTACGAGCATTTAGTCTCGTACGAGAACGGAGAACCGGACGAGGCGTACGTCCTCGAGGTGGCCGTCGACTCGAGCGACGAGGGTGACGAGGAAGAGGAAGAGGAAGAGGCGGCGGCGGAGGCCGATGCGCGACGGTCCGTCTGAGGAGGGTTGAACGGTTGAACGCGGCGCGCGGGCGACACGCGCGATACCTTGTACTTGTACTTTAACGCGTACCGTACTTTCGTACGACGACAACGGCCCCGAGGACGACGACGGAACGAAATGGATAAGTTTAGCCCTACGTCCTGACCGTATCCTATCGACGCGTCGTCGCTGCGCCACTCGCCGCGGGCTGATGAAGGTACTGTACGAGTAGTTGTAGTACACGTAGTCGGACGAAACTTTTGAAAGGCATCGCGGTGTTTCGACCATCGATCAATGGGTGAATTTGAAAGGGGCCCGACTCGATCTGGAAAGCATTTGTCGTACTTCCGTACAACGGCACGAGTCCAACCTACCCCGCTTCGCTCAGTCCGCCATGTCCTCGTCGTCGTCGTCGTACGCCCCGTCGTCTTCCTCCTCCCCGCCGCCGTCTCCCTCCCCCCCATCGCCGCGGTTCATCGCGAGCGAGAGCTCGTCCAGGAGGCACTCGATCGGGACCGTCGGAACGTCGTCGTCGTCGTCGTCGTCCGTCTCCGTCGCCCCCGCCGCCGCCGCCGCCGCCGCCGCCGCCGCCGCCGCCGCGTTCGGATCCCTGAACAGCTGCACGTTCCTCCGCAACTCATCGTCCTCCTCGAGCTCCTGCATGAACTGTTCTTCGTCCATCGCGGCTCGCTCCGCGTCGCGCGTCAGCGCCTTATTCCCCCCGTTCGCGCCGCCGCCGTCGTCCTCCGCGATGTCCATCCGCCGCAGCCGCCAGTTTCTCGCGCCCGCGCCCTTCGCCCGCCTTCGCCGGCGCTTCTCCTGGTAGCTCTTCTTCACGAGCAACACGTCCGGTAGCTGCACCCCGCGACGATACTTATCCAGCTCCGGGTCCACGATCTGTAACGACGCGAGGTCGTACCCGAGCGCGGTGTCGCCGGGCTGAAGGTGATGTCCGAGGTGCGTCTTGGCGTGGAGGATGAGATCGTTTTTGCCGAAATCGCTCACGCGAGCGACTTGCACGTCCGCGAGGCAGTACCTCCCGACGCTCACGTCCCGCTGGATCTCGACGTCCAACACCACGTACTCGACGAACATCTTCGCGGAGCCGATCGCGCGGTACGGCTGGCGGTAATACGCCGCGGCGTCGATCCAGATCTGCCGTAAGTTTGAGACATCCGTGAATTGCATCGCGTTCCCGACGCGCGTGCACAACATGATGGGTCCGATGCCTCCGTAACTCAGCGACACCTTGTGCGGCAAACACACGATGTCCTCCTTACACAGCGGCACGATCTCCATCATGAACGTGTACTGGTAGTTGTACGAGTTGTTGTTCGCGTCGTGCGACACGAGCTGCTTATCGTGCCGCGCGCGCACGGGCACCACCTGTTGTAAGAAATCCACCATGCGCAATCCGTGCGACCGCGAGCCGTAGTAAAAGTCGAGCCCGTCCGGCTGCGACTTGATCCCGATCGTGTTCTCCTCCATACCGTGCTTCAGGATCAATTGCTCGAGGTATAAGAACGTGCGCTTGTGCTCCACCTTCTGACGCACTTGCACGCACGCGGTCCACTGCGGGTCGTTCAATCCGCGCGGATGCGAAACGTTCGGGGGCGCGTCAGATCGGAAGGAGTCGCGAGGCGTCGCGCCGCGTCGCGATCGAAACCGAGGGGCGCGCGCGCGGAGAGAAACGACGGGCGGGGGCGAAGTGACAAAAAGAAAGAAAAGTCCTCAAGAGACGGCGTTCACCGCGCGAACGCGGTCGTATGGGGACCGGCGTGGCGACGCGAGGACGCGCCTGATCCGCGTTGGCCGCCGCTCGAGAGCACGCGTCGCACATGTGCCACTCCACGACGAACTCCACGACGAACGTCTGCTGCAGGATGGCGCCGTTGAGGACTTCTTTCTGTATCGTGAGTTTCGTCTTCAGACGCTTCGAGTGCGGCTCCGTCCATATGAACCCCGCGTCCACGAGTTTGACGCGCTGTAGACCCTTGACGCGCTTGATGCAAAACGTCAGGAGCTCCTTCGACTCGAGGTCCGCGCGGATCCAGTGCTTCGGCGGCTGGAGGTACCGCTGGCACTGTTTGCAGTAGAGCACCGTGCACTGCTTCTGGATGCCTTCCGTGATGTCGACCTGCGGAGGGAGAGAGAGGGGGGCGACGCGACGGCGGGAAACGATGTGGCGGGGGGGGGCGAGGCGTCAGCGGAGGACGGGCGGCGGCGGCGAGACGAGATCTTCCGGCGCCGACGGATTCTCGAGCGACGACGGCGACGACGGCGACGACGGCGACGGCGGCGACGCGGGCCGGGCGACCGACGCTCGCGCGCGCGCTCTCGCGCGCGCACCTGGGAGCGAATGCAGTCGACGCACATCCCCGCCGGGTTCGGGGGGATGCCGACGCCGCACATGCAGCACAGGACGTGCCCCACGCCGTGCGAGGCGCGCTGCGCGTCCATCGCGTCCGTCGGGCCGCCGCCGCCGAACGTGGCGTCCGTCGCGCTCTCGGCGGCGCGGCGCGGCTCGGCGCGGGTTCGATCGGGCGACGACGACGACGACGACGCGCGACGGCGACGCGCGAGGGGAAGTGGCCGCGGACGCGAGACGCGCGGCGAGGGTCTCGCGAGCGCGCCGCGAGGTGTGGCTGTCGCGGCGGCGCGCGCGGCTCAAAACCATCCCGGGGAGGCGGAGGCTCCATCCGCTCGCTTCCGGAAAGGACAGGGTCGCCGCGGAGCGTCACGCGCGTCACTCTCCGAGGCGCCCCGCACGCCACCCATGGCGGCCGCGACCTCGACGGCGCTCGCGTTCCTCCGCGGCGTCGCGCCGCGCGCCGCGTCGCTTCCTCGCGCGTCGTCGCCGTCGCCCGCGGCGTGCGACGCCTCGCGCCGCGGACGCGCCGCCTCGCTGCGCGCGAGCACGAGCCGACGATCTCGCGAGACCGAGATCGCCCTCGACCAGCTGGACGACGCCGCGGCCGCGGCGGCGGCGACGGCGACGGCGACGACGCGCGACGCCGCCGCCGCGCCCGCCGCGCCCGCGCCCGAGGAGGAGGAGGAGCGCGCGCCCGCGCCCTTGCGCCTCCCCCGCGATCACGTCCCTCGGCACGTCGCGTTCATCATGGACGGCAACGCGCGGTGGGCGTCCGCGCGCGGGCTCGCGCCCTCGATCGGGCACGAGCGCGGCGTCGAGGCGCTGCGCGAGGTCGTGCGATGCTGCGCGGCGTGGGAGATACCCGCGATGACGGTCTTCGCGTTCTCGCACGAGAACTGGCGTCGCTCGAGAGAAGAGGTGGAGCACCTCATGGCGTTGCTCCGCGATTGCCTCCGCGACGAGCTGCCGACGTTGACGAAAGAAAACGTCCGCGTGTGCGTCATGGGCGACCTCGGCATGGTCGAGGACGACCTCCGACGCGCGGTCAGGGACGCGATAGACGCGACGTCGAACAACGACGGCCTGCGGCTGTGCGTCGCGCTGTCGTACGGCGGCAGGCAGGACATCGTAGCGGCGACGAGGGCCATCGCCGCGGAGGCGTCGGCGGGGCTCCTGGACCCGAGCGAGATCACGGAGCGGACGTTCGCGGAGCGGCTCGCGTCCGGGCGCGCGCTCCCGGAGCGCGTTCGAGAGCCGGACCTCGTGATACGCACGAGCGGGGAGCAGCGGTTGAGTAACTTTTTGCTGTGGGAGAGCGCGTACGCGGAGCTGTACTTTTGCGAGAAGACGTGGCCGGAGTTTGACGAGGCGGCGCTGCGGGACGCGATGGGCGAGTACGCGCGGCGGTCGCGACGGTTCGGCGAGCGGGCGTGACGCGACGCTTCGTGTCATCGTGTGTGCGTTTTGTTTTAGTTTTGTCTGGTCGAGCGTCGGTCGAGTGTCGCGTCGTCGCGACGGCGCGCGGCGCGGCGGTAAAAAACGACCGCCGAACGACGAAGAAGATCGCCGCGCCGGGAGAAGGCGGCGCGGCGCGGCGGGGTCGTCAAGTTAGTCTGAAAAACACGGAAGTTCGCGTGCTAGTTTGAAAGTGGTTTTCTTTCATCGGAGGATTTCGTCGTCACGTCCCGCGTCGGCCTCGTCCCCCGCGCCCGCGTCGACGTCGGCCTCGGCCTCGGCGCCGCCCGCGAACTCGGGGTCGTCCGGCTCCCTGTCTAAGGGCCATTCCATACAAAAATAGTTCATCGGTCAGTTGAAAGGTGACGCGATCAAATGTTGAAACCGATCAATGGGTGAAAAACTTTTGTAAGGACGCACCTAAAAACTCCAACCCCGACCCGGTCGCGCGCGGCGTCAGCCCGTGCTTCTCGAGATACTCCGGCGACCAAAACTTCGTGAGGTGCCGCACGCCGCTGTCGCACGCGATCGTGACGACGCGATGCCCCGGTCCCAACGCGCGCGCCACCTTCACCGCGCCCACGACGTTGACGCAGCTGGAGCTCCCTGAGGGTCGAGGGGAGGGTCCGCGCGAAGCGACAGACGTCGGGGCGGGCGGAGTCGAAAGGCGTCAGGCGGAGTCGTGAGGCGTCGAGGCGTGTCGGGATTGAAACCGAGGGGCGCGCGGAGAGAAACGCGCGCGGGCGAAGGCTGGCCTCGAGGAAAGGCGCGCGCCGCGCGGACGCGTTCGCGCGGGGACCGGCGAGCGGGACGCGCCTAAGAATAAGCCGTCCTCGCGCGCGAGGTACCGCGACATCTCCACCGCCTCCCGGTCCGAGCACTTGAACGCGCGCGCGATCGGCGACGTCTCGAGCGGCTCCACCCCCTCCACGGGCGCGGACGTCCCGGCCTCGCTTCCGTCGCCCCCGAGCGCGATGGAAAAGTTCGCGGTGAGGCGGTTGATCCCGACGCCCTCCGTGATTGTGTCGAACGGATTCTTCAGCCGCGTCCCCTCCGCCTCTTCCTTGCAGTACATCACGCCGCGATTCACCTTGTTGTACAGCGAGCTCCCGGGCGGATCCACGAGGAAGAACTGGACGCGCGGGTCTTTCGAGCGCAGGTAGCGCGACACCCCCGCGAGTGTGCCGCCCGTGCCCGCCGCGCACACGAAGGCGTCCACGCCGCCGCGCCGTCCGCCCATCTGTCTCCAAATCTCCGGTCCGGTGCCGTCGAGATGCGCTCTGAAGTTCGCCGCGTTCTCAAACTGGTTCGCGAAGTACCCCGCGCCCTTCCCGTCGCGCGCGCACGCGTCCATCGCGCGCTGCCTCGCGATCTTCACGTAGTGCTCCGGGTGCGAGATGGACACCGGGCGCACGCGTCGCGTCGTCGCGCCGAACGACGCCATCATCTGCGGCTTCTCCACCGCCGCGTCGTCGGGCAACACCAAGTGCGCCTTAGGGTCATTGCCCATACGAAGCGAACGTCGGGGTGGCGTTCAAAGGCGTCAGACGGAGTCGCGAGGAGTCGCGGCGTGTCGAGATTGAGAAATCGAGGGGTTCTGAGCGGAGAGAGACACGCGCGGGCGAAGTAGTCCTCGAGGAACGGCGCGCGCCGCGCGAACGCGGTCAAAGTCCTTAAGGAACGGCGTTCACAACGCGAACGCGGTCGTATGGGAACCAGTGTATAGAACACCGGCGAGCGGGACGACGCGCCTTACACCCCAACGCCGCGGCGACGAGCGCGACGCTGACGCCCGTGCTCCCCGCGGTGCCCTCCGTGATTTCGCCGCCCGGTCGCAGCTCCCCGCTCGCCAACGCCTCGCGGACGATGCGCAGCGCGACGCGATCCTTCACGCTCCCGCCCGGGTTGGCGAACTCGCACTTTATGAGGACGTCGCATCCGGTGAGACGCGAGAGCGACTCGACGCGCTGCATCGGCGTGTTCCCGATCATGTCCAGGACGCTCTCGCGCGGCGGGGGGAGGGTGGTGGTGGTGGTGGTGGAGGAGGAGGTCGGGAGCGTCGTCGCCATCCATCGGAGCGGCGCGAAGAGCGACGACGCGATCGCGCTGGAGATGCTGTGGCGGGAGACGCCGCCGTCGCCGTCGCGGCGCTTCTCCGACGAGAACGCGGCGTGCGCGACGCCGGCGCCGACGCACGCGCCGACGAGGAGCGCCGCGAGCGCGGCCGCGTCGGACGCGGGCGTCGGTCGCGCGTCCATCGCGCGGCCGACCGGGGGACGGTGAGGACGCGCGACGAACCTATGACGATCGCCAACCCTCGACACAAATAAAATGCCTGTAGTGTACACGTAGTCACAACGCCGATAATCCCGAGTGCTTCAAGCAGGCTTGAAAGGACCTGAAAGGGGGAATTTGATACTGTTACCAGAAGTCGGGTGAATCGTCCTCACTTCGGCGGGCGCGAACGCGCGAAAGCGCGAACGCGTCGACCGTCAGTCCTCCGAGTCTATCCTTATATAATTGTACATATGCAATTTCAATTATTTATTTTTAACCGATGTCGCACGCGTGGTCGTCGGATGTGGTGGTTGAAGTGTCGATCCCTTCATATTCAAATCACCTTTCACTCTGTCGCGTCGGCGCTCAATCGCGGTTCCGGCGCCGCCGCCGTCGCCGCCGTCGCCGGCGTCTGCGTTCAATTCGGCGACGCGCGGGTTGGATAGACGCGCGTTCTACACGTTTGACCGTCGATGCGCTCGTGCGCGGCGTCCGAAAGTACGGCGGGAAGATGGCGCTGCGGTCGCCCGTGGAGGAGGTGGTCGCGGAAGACGGCCGCGCCGTCGGCACGCGATTTTTTGAAATTCGGGAACAGAAGTCGAGAACGTCTCATCGCCGTCCACTAGAACCTATGCCTACGCTTCGCTACCTCGTCTCCCTCAGCCGTCCTGCGGCAACACCACCCATCCCTTCGTGGACGCGGGCGGGTCCAACCCCACGCGATCCCAGTCCACGCCGCGGAAGAACGACGCGCGCTTCAGGTCTTCCAACCCGCGTTCCCCGCACAACCTCGCGGAAACGTCCCATTCGCCGCCGCCGGACGTCGACGGCTGTCGCCGTAACATCGCGGATATCACCCCGCGGCACGCGTCGCTCACCCCGGGCGGGTCAGGCCAATCGATCCGCGCGGTGCGCACGCGCCGCATCGTCACCTCGTCGTTCCCTCTGGACGACGCAAACGGCGTCTTCCCGTGGACGAGCTCGTACATCGTGATCGCCAGCGCCCACCAGTCGCGTGCCGCGCTTCTTGGCGCGCCCGCGATGGTCTCCGGGGCCAGGTACTCCGCGGTACCGCAGAAGGCGTACAGGTATTCGTCCTCGTCGTTCTCCTCCGCGAGGTCGTCCTCTGCGTCCGCGACCGCGGGTCGCGAGGTCGAAGTCGCGAGGTCGAAGTCGCACAGCTGTATCCGGTGCGCGCGGTCGACGAGCGCGTTTTCCGGCTTGACGTCGCCGTGCACGATCGCCGCGACGCGATGCAGCGCGTCCAGCGCGAGCGCGAGCTGCGACGCGAGATGCCGCGCCTGGAGCTCCGGGAGTCCGAGAGGAGCACCGGTTCCGGCGGCGGCGCGCGCGACGTCGAGGAGAGACGCGAGCGTCGCGCCGTCGCCGTGGCGTCGCGAGACGACGCACGCGACGAACGACGACGGAGACGCGTCGTCGTCGTCGTCGTCGTCGTCGCGCGCGACGAACGCGTCCACGAACGTCGGCAGCATCCACCGGCGGCGCGCGTCCGTCGTGACGTCCGCGATCCTCCGGAGCGCGTCTATCTCCGCGGCAACCCTGGACGCGACGCGCGCGGAGTCCACGCGCGCGCGCTTCATCACGAGCGGGGCGCCGAAGCGGCGGTGGGCACTCGAGCCGTCGTCGACGACCGTCGACGACGACGGCTCGCACGCGTGCACGCGCGCGAGCCCGCCCTCGCCGACGCGCTCGCGGACGACGTACGCGCGCGCGTCGCACGTCGTCCGCGTCTTCAAGTCCGCGACGAGGGCGTCGTCGGGGGGGCGACGCGTCATCCCCCCGCGCCGTCGGCGATGTGACCCGCGGCCGTCGTCGACGCCGTCCGTTCCACTCGTCGGACTGTACGAGCCGCGCCGCGCGGCACACTGCTGAACCTCTTGCTCTTCAAGTCTGGCAGTGACCCGACTTCCTGATCCGCCCCTGCTCGTCCGCGCCATTCCTCCCGTCGTCGCGACGCGTCCTCGGCCGACAGATCGCATCGCGATGGGACGTCCGTCGCGCTCGCCGCGCGCCGCGCTCGCGCTCGCGACGATCGCGCTCGTTCTCCTGACGTGCGCGCCGCGTCCCGCGCTCGCGTCGCCTTCGTCAGGCGACGCGACAGATCTTCGTCTTCTCGACGACGCGACGAGTCGCGCGGCCGCGTCCTCGGGCGTCGCTCCCCCCGCGCCGCTCGCGACGACGACGACGGGCGCCGCGGACGCGCCGCCGCCGCCCGGGAAGCCCGGGTTCGAGAAGACCCTCGCCGCGCAGGTGGACAACATGCTCGCGAAGGAGTTCAAAGACGCGGACGCGAGCGCGAACGCGGGCGTCCTAGGCGAGGGCGCGGGGAAGAGCTTCAACCGGACCGTGATCGCGGAGGGCGCGACGCTGGAGACGGTCGCGCGCGTGCGACGCGCGGGCGGCGGACACGAGCTCGAGCGCGAAGGAGGAAGTGGTGGAGGTGGTGGTGATGGAGTTGGAGGCGGTGGACACGACGCGAGCGGCGGCGGCGGCGGCGCGGGAGTCGGAGGAGGAGGATCTGGAGGATCTGGAGGATCTGGCGGCGACGGCGGCGACGGCGCGGGGTCGAAGTTTAACGCCGGCGGCGACGGCGGGTTGGAGCTCCCGCGCGACCACGTCAGCGCGGGCGCGTTCATCGAGCGAACGATCCGCGACGCGCTGCACACGGGCGCGGAGGAAGAGGACGTCGAGCGGCTCGTCGACGCCAAGGACAACGAGTTCGTCATCTCCAACCCGAAATCCGGCACGATGGAGCTCCAACAGGACCTGCGGCTCATCCGCGACCTCGTCGTCGTCCTCGTCGCCGCCGCGATCGGCGCGGTCGCGTTCACGATGATGGGCCAGCCGCTCATCACCGGGTACCTCGTCGCCGGCGCGGCGGTCGGACCGGGCGGGCTGGGGCTCGTCGTCGAGCTCGTCCAGGTGGAGACGCTGGCGCAATTCGGCATCATCTTCCTCCTGTTCACGCTCGGCGTGGAGTTTTCGTACGCCAAGCTGAAGCACGTGCAGGGCGTCGCCCTCGGCGGCGGTCTCGCGGAGATCGCGCTCATGATGCTCGTGTGCGGCGTCGTCTCCAACTTCACCGGCGCGGAGCTGAAGGAGGGCGTTTTCGTCGGCGCGTTTCTGTCGATGTCGTCCACGGCGGTGTGCGTCAAGTGCCTCGCCGAGAGGAAGGCGCGTTCTCCTCACACTGGTCCCCGTACGACCGCGTTCGCGTGGTGAACGCCGATCCTTGAGGGCTTTCTCTCCCGGCGTATGTTTCTCTCCGTCCACCCCTCGCTTTCGATCCCCGACCGCGATACCTTTCAACTCCATCTGACGCCTTTGAACTCCACCCCGACGTCGCTTCGTACGGAACGACCCGAAGGCGCTGTCGCAGTCGCTCCCGGGGCAGATCACCGTCGGGACGCTCGTGCTGCAGGACTGCACCGTGGGGTTGCTGTTCGCGCTGTTGCCCGTGTTGGGCGGCGCCGGCGGGCTCGGCGAGGGCGTCTTGTCGTTCGTAAAGGTGGCGACGACGCTGGCGCTGTTTCTCGCCGCCGCGACGGCGGCGTCGAAAACGGTCGTCGCACGCGCGTTTCGATTCATCTCCCCGCGCGGCGGCGAGCTCTATCAGATGGTCACCGTCGCGTTCTGCCTCGTCGTCGCGTGGACGAGCGAGTGGCTCGGGCTCTCCATCGAGCTCGGCGCGTTCGTCGCGGGCGTCATGGCGTCGGCGACGCCCTTCACCGAGCAGACGTTGCACGCGGTGAGACTCGAGACTGTTTTAGACCGCTTCCCGCGCGACCCCGTTCGCGCGTCGCCTCGCGCGTCCGAAGGACTTCGCGCTTCGCCCACGACGCTCGCTGTTTCGCCGGCGAGACGTTCGACTGACCGACGCGTTCACCCCGCGCATCGCAGGTTGAGCCCGTGAAGAACGTCTTCACGGCGTTGTTCTTGGCGTCCATCGGGATGATCATGAACCCGTACTTTCTGTGGCTGCACTTGGACGTCCTCCTCGGCACGCTTCTCGTCGTGACCGTGTTTAAATGCGCGATGATGACGCTCGTCGTGCGGTCGTTCGGGTACACCACGCGGACGTCGCTCACCGTGGGGATCTCGCTCGCGCAAGTGGGCGAGTTTTCATTCGTGCTGCTCTCTCGCGCCAGCGCGTTGGGGCTCGTGCAGCGGAACATGTACCTGCTCTTGCTCGGGACGACCGCGCTGTCGCTCATCGCGACGCCGCTCATGTTTCGACTGACGCCCGCGGCGCTGAAACTCGCGCACGCGGCGAAGTGGATCGAGCACGAGGGCGCGGAGGAGGCGGTGGAGATGGTCGGGTGGTCGGAGATCGGCGCGGGGGGGCCGGGGCGGTCGCGGTCGCGGTCGCGGAGCCCGGACCCGGCGCGGCCTTGACGAGAGAGAGAGAGAGAGAGAGAGAGAGAGAGAGAGAGAAGTAGTTTCTTATGATAACGATACCACGCCACCTAACGCCGCGCGTCACTCCCCGCGGCGGGCGCGGCGCTCGGCGCGCCGTTCCTCTTTCCGCCGCCGCCGTCGCTCCTCGCGATCCTCGTCGAGCGCGCCGCCGCCGCCGTCGCGTCGGTCCCCCCCTCTCCGGCCCGGGCGGTCGAACAGCGCGCGCGCGGCGTCCCCGGGCGGTGGGCCGCTCGCCGCGGCGTACGCCGCCTCCTGTTGCCGCGCCGCGCGACGCGCAGCGGCGCGGTCCGCCTCCTCGCTCGCGTACCGATCCGCGCCCCAATCCAACGGCGCCACCGTGGACCGCCGCCGCGACAGTCGGCCTCGCCGTCCTCTCCCGCCGTCGTCGAACATCGACCCGGGCTCGTCTTTTAAGTCTCCGTACCCGGTGCCCTTCCCGGATTTGGAAGAACCCTTGCTATCTTTACCGGAGGAGTCCTTCTTCTCTTTGCTCTTCCCTTTGTTCTTTCGGAGCGCCTTTTGAACACCCTCGCCGAACGCGCCGGCTTCCTCTTGCACGATGCGCACCGCGAGCGCGTCTTCGCGCACTTTCACCTTTTTCTTGTCGTCGTCCACGTCGACCTGGCCCTCCCACCCTTTCGGGATGGGCTGGTCGATTCCCCCCGCGCTCTTGCACGCGTGGTCGCCGACGATCGGAAAGTACACGTCGTTATCTTTCACTTCGTACGACGGAAGCCCTTTCAAGATGCCGTCCGACAACGCGATGCTCAGGTCCGGCGTCATCGACACCTCCACCTCCTCGAAGAGGGACTCCGCCTTCGGAAACAGTCTCAGGATGAACTTCCTGATCGCGACGTAGTTCCAGACGCACACGTACCCGAGCAGGATGAGCGCCATCGTCGTCAGGCACGCCGTCGCGTTGTACGAATTCAGACGCGTGTTGAAGTCAAACGTCGACCCGGTGGAGGAGCTGATCGGCGACAAGATCTCGTCCTTCTCCTTGAGCGAGTAATCGAGCTGCGGCACCTGCGCGTTCGAGAGCATCCACCCGGCGAAGAAGAGCTTCGCGATGGACGCCCACGGCGCGGTCGCGGCGAACGTGTCCGCCATCGCCTCGTTGTACCTCGGCGGTTTCTTAGGGTCGTTCCACGCGAAGCGACGTCGGGGTGGAATTGAAAGGCGTCAGGTGGAGTTGAAAAGGCGTCTAGGCGTGTGAGGATTGAAAGCGAGGGGTGGTGGGCGGAGAGAAACGCGCGCGGGACCCGAAAGTCCTCGAGGATCGGCGTGCACCGCGCGAACGCGGTCGTATGGGGACCAGTGTGAGGAGAACGCGCCTTACACAGCCGCAACAAGTTGTACCGCGCCTCGTAAAACGCGAGGAGAAAATACACGGACAACACGGGCACGAGCATCGGCATGCTGCTGCTGAACATCATCGCGATGAACATCATCGACGTCGCCTGCGCGTACTTCTCCGCGAACGGGAACTCCAAGTTCTCGTGCAGGTCGTTCAAGTCGTCCTGCGTCGCCGCGTGTTTTTGTCGCCGCCGCCGCCGCCACAGCCAAAACTTCCCGAGGATGATTTGTTCCAAGGGGTACGCGATCGCGTTCGTGACCATCGTGCTGCTGATCAGCGCGCCCACGTTGTCGTACCACGAGAATGTCGTGTCCGTGTACTCGCCCTGTAACAGATACGGAACGTACGCGAGCTCCGTCACGGACGCGTACACGATGATGGGTATGAGCGCCGAGTTGACGACGAGCGAGAGGAACAGCTTGTACGCGATCGCGTTTTGAAGATCGCTGTCCGTGTGATACGACTCGTACTCCGAGAACGTGCCCATCGACTTCGTGAGGAGGATGTTCGTGATCGACGTCACCGCCGCGGTGAGCTGCTCGTATCCGCGCGCGGCGAGGTAGTCCTCGCAGAGTTCGTACCACCCGTCGTCGTCCGATTTGATTCCTAAAAAAATCCACAGTGACTCCGACACGCGTTCTTTGCAGAAGCAGTCCATGCACGCGAGCGCCGCGCACTCGTCCTTCAACGTGGTCGCGTCCCACTCCGCGGAGTCGGGGTACGGCGAGTACACGCTCGTCGCGCCGACCCACGTCCCGTCTTTGATGTACCCGTCCGCGATGCACTGCTTCGGGGTGACTTGCTCGAGGTATCCGATCTGCCGGCGGATGATCGCCTTGGAGGCCTCGCCGCTCGCCGCCGCGGCGGGGAACATCGTGTCGCACATGAGCAACCCCTGGGATTCCGCCTTGTCGCAATCGATGGACGACGGGACCTTATTCTCTCTCGATTGCGAGATGACGACGAGAGAGCCGGTGCATATGAGCACGAATACGACGCCGACCCACGCGGTGAAGCGTTTCCGGAACGCTCTCCCGCCGACGATTTGTAAATTTTCCCACAGCACCGTGGACGGCTCCGGGCCGCGTCTGACGACCAGTCTGTGGTCTTTGTACCGGTACTTCTCCGCGCGGAAGAGCCACGCGAGCGGGTTCCCGGGGCGGTACTTCCGAACCGCCTTTTGCATCGACTCCTCGGTTTCGAACGTCACGAACGCCACCGTGTGATGCGTTATAGATTTCTTTTTTTCCGCCACGCGCTTCGCGTATTTCGCAATCTTCGACTCGAGCCTCGCGACGTTTCTCTTCATATTCTTCACCGCACCCACGGTCCCGTGCGCGACGCGGCGTTTGTGCCACCGCCACAGGCGAACGAGCACGCCGGGTCTGTACTTCTTCGCCTTTTCCCGATCGAACCGTTCTTTTTCCATCGCGCGAAATTCCTCGAACCGGCGCTTCGTCTCCGCCGCGTCCCTCGCGAGCTTCGCGTTGAGCGTCTCCACCCTTCTGACTAACTTGGCGCGCGCGCGGTCGATGCCTATGATCGATCCGACGTCCATGCCCAAGACCACCTGATGCACGCGGCCGAACTGCGAGAAGTGCACGCCGAGTTTGGTCGGCGTGACGTCCGGGTCGTCGCGGGGGAGGCCGTCGACTTTGATCGAGTAGTCTTGCAGCGTGATGTTCGACACGTCGATGCTCAGCGCGGTCTTCGCCTGGTCTCACGTCAGCCGGAACACCCTGAAGACGAAGTAGCACGCGAGAGCGCACTCGGCGCACGTCAGCGCGAGCATGACGGTGTCGTCCGTGCTCGACGCGGCGGACGAAAATATCCCGATGGACTGCTCGTGCAGCCACTGCACCGCCCCGAGCGTCGGCACGGCGTACCCGCTCACGCCGCCCGCGCTCATCGACTCCGAGTTGAACCCGGACTTGAGGTACACGACGATCGTGAACGACGACAGCGCGGCGATGAGCGCGAAGATTCGAAATCCCCAGAGCAAACACGAAAAGTACAGACCGATCCCGACGCCCATGTCGCCGAGCTCCACGGGGCCCGTCTTGCCGACCTCGTACGGGAACACCATGTCCGCGAGATCCTCCGCGGACGTCCCGTCCTCCACCTCGGGAACGGCGTCTGCCACGCAGCGCACCTTCACTCCGGCGACGGTCACGCCGCTCGCTTCGAGGTCCGCGATCTGCGAGAACGGCACGTCCTCGATCATCGCCCTGGACCTCGACGCCTTGATGACTCGGTTCACGATGATCCCGCGGGCTTGGAGTTGGTCGTAGATGTACCCCAGGATTTCGTCCCCGTCGAAGTCCTCGAGCGCGTCGTCCTCGAAGTACACGTTCACGCCCGACCTGATCTTGTACACGTTGACGCTCCGCGCGTGTTTCTCCGCGAGCTCGACCGACGGCGCGCGGTACACGTCCACGTCCTTCCCGATCTCGACGCCGCCGTACTCCAGGTCCACGAACTTCACGCTCTTGGGCGCGTCCCTCGTCAACTTCGCCGCCGCCGCCGCCTCTCTCTTCGCGTGCTTCTTCTCTTCGATCGCGCGCGCGTCCTTCGCCTTGGGCGGGTGTCCGAAGAGCTCGACGTACTGTAAGAAGGCGTCCACCGCCGCTTTGATCGTCGGCTTTTTCTCCGTCAGGTCGAACCCGCCGAGTCGCTCCGTGACTTCCTCGCGGATCGCCTTCAGCGAGATGCTCTCCGCGCCGTCGCGGCGGAGGACGTCGTTGACCGCCTCCGCGATCTCTTCGTCCCACGGGAACCGCGGCGCCGCCGGCGGCGCCGCCGGCGCGTCGTCGTCGTCGCCGTCCGCCGCCGCCGCCGCGTCCGCGCCATCGACCGAGCCCCTCCGACGGGTCGCGTCCAGCTCGGCGCCGTCGTCGCTCGCGCCGTCGTCGCTCGCGTCGCCGGGCTCGCCGGGCTCGCCGCCGTCGCGCGCGTCGCGGAAAGACCCGCCCCCCTCGCGCGAGGCCGCCGCCGCCGCCGCTTTCGGCGACGGCGACGCGGCATCTGAGAATTCGTCCGCGAACGCGTAGTCCGAGAGGCGACCGTTGTCCTCGGCGCCGCGCGAAACGCTCGAGGCGACGCGATCGGCGCGCGGCTCGGGCGCGGCGTCCGCGCCCTCGGCCGCGGCCGCGTCCGCCGCGGCCTCCGCCGCGGCCTCCGCCTCTTTCCTCGAGCGCCGCGCGAGTTTCTCCTCCGCGGTGCGCTTCCGTCGCCGCCGGCTGCCGCTCGCGTGGAGCGCGCTCGGACTCGTCGTCGCGTCGCCTCCGCCCTCGGGCGACGACGCCTCGGGCGCGGCGTCCGCGGCGGGCGACGACGAGGAGGAGGGGGGCGCTCGCCGCGGGCGGCGGTCGGCGGCGTTGGTCGCACGTCGGGGAGAATTCTCTGCCGCGGTGCGCTTCCGTCGTCGCCGCTCCTTCGGCGCGTCCCCGGCGTCCGCGGCGGGCTCCGCATCCGACATGATGGACGCCGCGCGCGACGGCGGACCAACGACCTCGCCCTTCTTCGCAATCACGCGCGCGTCATCGTCCTCTTCCGGAAGCTCCCCGCGCGCGACGATGGACGCCGCGTCGTCGTCGTCGTCGTCGTCGTCGTCGTCGTCGTCGTCGTCGTCGTCGTCGTCGTCGTCGTTGTCCTCCGCGCGAGCGTCGACCGCGTCCTCGATGACGGGCGCGCGGCGGTGACTGACGACTTTCGACCCCGCGGCTCGACCGAGGAAGTAAACGACAAATAAATCATCGGTCAGTTGAAAGGGGAAGCGATCAGATGTTGAAACCGGGGGTGGGTGAAAAACGTTCGCTACGCAGCGCATTGGTCATCGAGAACGGGCCCGACCTCCCACACGTTCATTCGCTTTCGCGCGCGGCTCGGCGAAGCGACGCGCCGCCCTCGGTTCGCTCGCTCGCCGCTCGCGCCGTCGCGACGTCCCGCGCTCGAGCGCACGCCCCCGCGGCCGCGACGCGCGAGGTCGACCGCGTCGGACCCGCGGCGAGGGCCAACATCCCGCCGGAAGGCTGCGAGCGGCAGCGGCGGGGGCGAAATTGGATTCGATTTCGTAGAGAGGACGAGGAGGGCGCGAGCGAAGAAGAAGACGTCGCGAAGAAAAGATGGGGGGGTTGTTCAAGCAGTTCGCGAAGTCCGTGCTCAACGACCTCGCGTCGTATCGCACGCTGAAGGTGGTCAAGATCAGCGACAAGAGGCTGGCGTACACGCACAAGCTCCTCATGATCGCGATCGTCGCGTACAGCGTCCTCACCCTGATTGGCCTGCACTCGTACATGCTGAAAGAGAAGCCGGACATCCACATGGACGTCACGTTCGACGACCAGAACGTCGAGACCGCGGTCGCGAACTCGGCGAACTCGGCGTACTGCGGCGCGAGCGGCGCCGCGAACGCGGCGTACGACTTCTCCGGCGACGCGACGTACGGGTATGCCGCGTACACGTCGAACCAGGCGCGTCCTCCTCGCGTCGCGCCGGTTCCCTCGCGACCGCGTTCGTATTCACACTGGTCCCCATACGACCGCGTCCGCGTTGTGAACTTCATTCCTTAAGGACTTTCTCTCCCGACGCATCTCTCCGTCCGTCCCTCGCCTCGCTCACGATCCCGACGCGCACGCCTCGACGCCTCGCGACTCCGACTGACGCCTTTCGACTCCGCCCCGACGTCGCTTCGTATGGAACGACCCTCAGTGCGTCGCGGGGTTGCGCTTGGCGGACGTGACGTACTCGGACGCGGACTCCGCGAAGGTGTACACGCACTACTCGTCCACGACGTGGACGTCGACGAACGACTGCGCGACGAGCGTCGCTTGCGATAAGACGATTCCGTCGGCGACGAGGAACGGGATCAACGCGTTCACGCTCACGAGCGAGCTGTACACGATGAGCATCAAAGCCACGTTCATGACGTCGTGGGGAGAGACGGGCGTCCCGGTGAAAGGCGCGTTCTCCTCACATTGGTCCCCGTACGATCCCGTCCGCGCGGTGCACGCCGATCCTTGAGGACTTCTCCCGAAAGGCGTTTCTCTCCGCCCACCCCTCGCTTTCAATCCCCGACCTCGACGCCTTTGAACTCCCACCTGACGCCTTTGAATTCCACCCCGACGTTCGCTCGTATGGAACGACCCAAAGTCTTCGTCTTGGACTCGACCGGGAAATTGGACAACACTTTTTCGACGTCGTCGACGAATTTGTACACGCAATACCCGAACTACACCGTGGCCGCGTTCGCGGCGCTGAGCGGATACACGCTCGACACGGAGAACTCGCTGACGGTGTCGGATACCTTCACCGGGAATTTGCCGGTCTATCGGCTCACGGGCATGGAGCTCTCCGTGAATGTGGACTTTTCAAACTTCCGCGCGATCAACGAGTACGATCCGTTCAACTTTGACGATCACGCGACGATGACCGTGAGGCTCATCAACGGGGGGGACTTCGTCTCGCCCGAGTACAAGAACGTGGACTTCAACGCTGTCACCTTGGAGGCGGCAACCGCCGGGGCGACGTACGAATTCCGAGGCGTCTACTTAGACTTCCAATCCAGCGGCCTCATGGGCGTCTTCGACTGGTACACGATGATCGTCGCGATCATCGCGTGCTTCGTCCTCATCGGCATCGCGACGAGCGTCATGGACGTCCTCGGCGCGTTCGTCTACGACTCGTTCAAAAACGACAAGTACGAGGACGACGGCGAACGGCAGCACATCGAGCACATGATCTTAAACATGGAGACGAACGGCGTGCCGTTCAGACACGACGACTTTCAGGTCATGCCGAACGTCAGCATTCGAGACTTCCTCAAGGTACTCCAGAGAGACATCGTGAAGCTGTCCACGCTCGCGCATCACATGAGCAGAGATCTCAGCGCCGCGGGGCTCAACCGGCACACGATGGAGATTGCTCAGATCGACGCGAGCGCCGTGAAGGCGGCGCGATTCGTCTGCGTCCTCATCGGCCCGGACCGAAGCGAGCTGTTCCTCACAGGCGGCCCGCAGACGTTAGGGCGCGGGCACGGCGGGATGCACTCGAAGAAGATCTCGCACAAGCAGCTGAGCGTCATCGCGAACACGCACACGGGCGCGGCGCTCGTCCGGGGGCTCCCGACGAAGAACTGCAGCGGCGTCGCGCTCGGTGGAGGGCCGTGGCAGACGTTGACGGAGAACGACGAAGTGGAGATCATGAACGGGGACATGATCGGGCTCGTGTTGGAGGAGGCTGCGGACGAGGATGAGACGATGGTGGAGGGGGTGTTCATGTTCAAGGCGTACCCGCAGGAGGACAAGAAGAGCGAAGGCGGCGGGTGGTTCGGCGGCGGCGGGAATCGCGCGTGATTGGATCGACGTCGTCGTAGCCCTGCGACGTTTACATAGAATTTCTACTGACTTCCCTCCTCACTCCGTCGGCGTCGTCGGCGTCGGCGTCTTCTCGAGGAGGATGAGGTGCTCGCGTCGCGCCTGGCACCACACCCCGCCGTCGGACATCGTCCGCGTCAGCGCCATCGTGCACCCGGCGACGCGCGCCAGCCCGACTTTCGCGCCCGCGTCCTCGATACTCAGCCGAGTGTCCACGTTCGCGCCGTCGCCGATCATGATCGCCGCCCTGCCCCCCGGTCGCAGCGAGGCGCTCACGAACGCGAGCCACTGCTCTTGCTCGCGCTGCCACGCCTCCTTGAACGCGCGCGGGTCCGAGCGGAGCGCTCTTCTGGATCCGAGCTATACAAGCGAACGTCAGGGTGGAGTTGAAAGGCGTCAGACGGAGTTGAAAGGCGCCGAGGGCGGGTATTGAAAGCGAGGTGTGGGCGGAGAGATGCGCCGGCAAAAGTCCTTTTTTTTAACGGCGTTCACCACGTCGACGCGGTCGTACTGTATGGGGACCAGTGTACGGGGCGCACCTCGCCCGTCGTCCACGCGGCTGGCCAGTTTCGGTCGCCGGGCGCGGCGTCGCGGAAGTACGTCTCCGCGCCCGCCGCCGCCGCGCCGCCCGCGGCCGAGCCGCTGCCAGACTTGACCTTGCGCGCGAAAGAGAGGTAGTCGTACACGCCGGGGTACGGCGGCGACGTGAGCACCGCGTCGGTTTGAAACGCGCTCGCGTCGACGCCGCGGACGTCGGAGTTGACGATGATGGCCCTCGGCGTCTCCGGAGGCACCGCCGCGAGGACGTCGCCAACGCGGTCGCAGTACTCGTCGACGACGCGCGCGAACGCGTCCGCGGTCGCGGTCTCCGCGGCGGTCGCGGTCTCCGCGGCGGCAGCGTCCGAGTCCGCGGTCTCCGAGTCCGCGGCGGCGGCGGCGGCTTTCTTCCGTTGTCTCTTATACGGCCGCCGCTTGTTTTTACTCTTGCTGCTCCTCTGCAGCGCGACGGCGAAGCAGTGCCACAGCGCGCCCTCGACGCCGTCGCCGTCGCCGCCGCTGCCGCCGCCGCCGATCGAAGCCGCGTTCCCCACGACGTCCGCGAGCGCGCGCTGCGCGACGCGCCAGTCCCTCGGGACCCCGCCCGGCTTACGCTTTCCGCCGCCGTCGTCGTCGTCGACTTCGCCGTCGTCGTCCTCTCCGCGCGCCGCCGCCGCCTTCGCGTCCTCCCGCTCTTCTCTCCGCATCTCCCCCGCGGTGACGTCCATCCTCTCCACGACCGCGCGCGCGGCGTCGCGCATCAGCGCCAGGGTCGCGTCGCCGCCGCTCGGCCGCCACGCTCTGTGCGCGGCGACCGCGCACGCGAGCGGGCTCACGTCCACGCCCTTCGTCGCCCTGCCGTCCGCCATGCCGACGACGAGCGTCGTGCCGCCGCCCGCGAACGGATCCAGGAGCGCGCGCCCCGGCAGCGCCTCGAGCGCCTTGGACGCCGCGGCCGCCTGCATCCCGGCCGGGTACTCGTGGAACCCGTGCGTCAGCCGCGGGTATCCGCGCGGCGTGTTCGGATAGCCGTGCGTCCACTGGATGCGCATCGCGGCGAGGAGGATCGAGGAGAGGTCCTTCGGCCCCCACGCGCTCTCCTCGAACCGCGACGGCCGCGACGCGACGTCGAGGTAGGACTCGGGCTCGTCGTCGTTCGCGGCGACGCGCGCGGCGGCGGCGGGCGCGTCCGAGCCGGACGTCGTCGACGCGGCGGCGGCGACGCCGCGACGGTGTCGACGATGTTGATGATTGTGGGCGGCGCGGGCTCGACGACGCGCGCCTTCGTCTCCTCCGCGCGACGCCTCGAGCGCGACGCTCGAGGGTGACGCGCGCGACGTCGTCGTCGTCGACGACGACGTCGGGAACGCTCTCGACGCCCATCGGTACGCCCACGTCGCTCTCGGCGCGGGGAGCGTCGTCATGACGACGCGACGCGCGGCGCGGTGTGTCGCGGCCTCGGGCGTCGACGCAGAAGTCGCGGCGCCGGCGTCGCGAGGGTCGCACTTCAAACGCCGCCATGCGCCGCACGGCTCAGCGGCTGTACGCGGCGTGCGCGCGCGCCGCGGCGGCGGCGGACGCGCCGACGACCCCACCGTCGCTCGCGATCGCGCGTCGATGGAAGGGCGGACGCTGGAAGGACCGCGGCGGAGGCAGGTCGCGCGAGGGCGGCGAGCGATCGGAGAAGCGGTCGTCCCACGCGGAGAAGAAATCGAAGCCGTCGTCGTCGTCGTCGTCGTCGTCGTCCGCGTCGTCGAATCGGACCGCCGCGTCGACGCGCCCGGCGTGGCCGCCGCCCGTCGGCGGCCGCCCCGTGGACCCGAACGCGCCGTCCGTCTTCGGCGAGCCCTCCAAGGGCGTCCCGAAGTTCGCGACGTTCGCCGCCGCGACCGCGCTCTCCGGCGGGCTCTTCGTCGCGCTCGCGGACGACGCGACGACGTCGCGCCTCGCGTTCGCGGCGTTCCGTCTCGCCGCGCCCGCGCTGCGCGCGATGGACGCGGAGACCGCGCACAACGTCGGGATCGCGCTCATGGAGCGCGGGATCGCGCCCGCGGAGTCGCGCCGCGACGACCCCGCGCTGCGCGTCGAGCGATGGGGCCTGACGTTTCCCAACCCGATCGGCCTCGCCGCGGGATTCGACAAGGACGCGCGCGCGTTCCCGGCGCTGCGCGCGATGGGGTTCGGCTCCGTGGAGATCGGGAGCGTCACGCCCAGGCCGCAGCCGGGGAACGCGAAGCCGCGCGTGTTTCGCCTGCCGAACGAGCGCGCGGTCGTGAACCGGTACGGGTTCAACAGCGAAGGGCACGACGCGGCGGCGGCGCGGCTGGCGTCCAACGTCCCGCAGGTGCGTTCTATACACTGGTCCCCATACGACCGCGTCGGCGTGGTGAACGCCGATCCTTAAGGACTTTTCCCGGCGTCTCTCTCCGCGCACCCCCCGCTTTCAATCCCCGTCCTCGACGCCTTTCAACTTCAACTGACGCCTTTCAACGTCCCGCAGTCGGACGCGGGTGCGCGCTCTCCTCGCGCGCCGGTCCCCGTCCACATTCACACTGGTCCCCATACGACTCCGGTCGCGCGGCGCGCGGCGTTCCTCGAGGACGTTCCTTTCTCTCCCGCGCGCGTTCATCTCCTCCCGCCCGCCCCTCGGTTTCGACGCCCGACGCGCCGCGACGCCTCGCGACTCCGACCGACGCCTCGCGACTCCGCCCCGACATTCGTGACCTCGCGCGGGACGCCCCTCCAGACGCGGCGGTCGACCGAGATCTCACCGGCTACGGCCCGCTCGGGGTGAACCTCGGGAAGAACAAGACCACGCCGGAGGACGACGCGGTGGAGGATTACGTCGAGGGCGTGCGCGCGTTGGGTCGTCGCGCGGATTACCTCGTCGTCAACGTGTCGTCGCCGAACACGCCCGGCCTTCGGAACCTCCAGTCGAAGAGACACCTGACGCGGTTGCTGACGCGGGTGCTGAGAGCGCGCGACGCGCTGCCGGACGGGCACCGCCCGCCCGTGCTTCTCAAGATCGCGCCGGACTTGACCGAGGACGACGTGAAGCAGATCGCGGCGGCGGCGCTCTCGACGCGCGTCGACGGCGTCGTGGTGTCGAACACGACCGTCGCGCGGCCGGACGACGTCTTCGACGGGGAGTACGCGCACCTCAGGTGCGTTCTATACAAACGTTTTTTCACCCATCGCCCGGTTTCAACACCTGATCGCGTCTCCTTTCAACTGACCGATGAACCATTTTTGTATGGACCGACCCTCAGGGACGAAGCCGGCGGTCTCAGCGGCGCGCCGCTGTTCGAGTCCTCCACCGAGGTGTTGAGGGAGCTCTACGCGCGCACGAGAGGGAAGGTGACGCTCGTGGGGTGCGGCGGCGTGAGCGACGGCGAGGACGCGTACGAGAAGATTCGCGCGGGCGCGTCGCTCGTGCAGCTGTACACCGCCTTCGCGTACGAGGGTCCCGCGATCGTGCCGAGGTTGAAAGAGGAGTTGAAGGCGTGCCTCGAGCGCGACGGGTACGATTTCATCGAGGAGGCCGTCGGCGCGGATCACTTGACCGGGAAGGCGAAAGCCGCGGACGAGGAGCGAAGGAAGCACGCGAGGAGCGGGTGGTGACGAGTTCGCGGTTTTTTCGGCGCCGAGGCGAGGCGACGGCAAGAAAATATGAAGGTACACGTAGCGGCGCCCGCGACGACGCGGGCGCCAGGCTGCAATTTACATCGCGCTCTTGCTGCGCTATCTATCGACTCATACCGTACTCGTCGACGTCGGCGCGCGTCGTGGGGGGGGGGTCTCTTTCGCCCCCGCGCCGGCGGCGGCTACAAAAAATAATTCCGCCCCGCGCTCCGCGCTTCGTTCACACTCGCGCGCGCGTCGCGATCGATTCGATCGATTCCATTCGATCGACTCAATCCGACACGGACGGCACGACGGCCTCGTCGTCCGAAGACCCGACCAGCGGCGGGTGCGTCGGTGACTCCGCCGCGCTCCTCCGCTTGGCGGCGTCCATCCCGATCCCGCTCCCCCCCGGACTCGTCGTCGTCGTCGTCGTCGTCGTCGTCATCGTCCGAGGCCGCCCCGGCACCGTCATCGCGACGTCGTTGGCGTACTCGCTCGACGGCGGGATGCTCCCGCCGCGTCCGACTCCACCCCACCCGTCGTCAAGCGGGCTGACGCGGCCGCCGCCGAGGCCCAGGCCCAGGCCGCCGCGGGGCGAAGAGGTGGCCGACGCGTCGTCCGCGCCCCCCGTCTGAACGGGTCGTTCCATACGAGCGAACGTCGGGGTGGAGTTCAAAGGCGTCAGGTGGAGTTGAAAGGCATCGAGGCCGGGGATTGAAAGGCATCGAGGCCGGGGATTGAAAGCGAGGGGTGGTCGGAGAGATGCGCCGGGCAAAGTCCTTAAGGATCGGCGTTCACCACGGCGACGGGGTCGTATGGGAACCAGTGCATGGAACGCACCTCCGCCGCGTCGAGGAGCGCCAAGACGTCGGCGCACGCCGCGTCGTAGTCCTCCTCCGAGAGCGACGCGCACGACAGCAGCCGGGTCGCGCTCGCCTCGTCGCACGTCTCGAAGTCCTCCCGCTGCTTGTACAGCAGGTGCCCGGAGATTTCGAACACCGCGGGGTTGACGCCCGTGGAGACGACGTCCGCGGGGAGCGCGCCCTTCGCCGCGCGCTGCGAAAACTGGTTCGGAATCAAAAACACCCGCGCGCCGTGATCCGCGACGAGAAGGTTAAACGGGACGTCGCGCGCCTGCAACCGCTCGCAGCACACCGCGAGCGATGCGGCGAGCGACTCGAACCCGTCGCTCCCGCGGCTCGGGTCCGCGCGCTCGAAGCACAGGCATCGCGCGGGGTAGTCCACGACGTTCTTGACGACGACGCCCGAGCTTAACGCGCCGCCCTCGGCGTGGACGTGCAACCCCAACGCGCGCGTCGGCGCGCGCTCAATCGGAAACGCCTCCATGAGGTAGTACGCCTGGAAGTGCAGGTGGTTGATCGTCGCGTACGCGCCGAGCGAGTTATACCCGACGCGGAAGTACGGGTTGCGGCTCTCCGCAGCCATGAACAGCGCCGGCAGCAACGCGTCTTTGGATATCCGCTGCGGGAGGCAATCGGTGACGCGCGGCGTGAGCAACACGTGGCCGTACTCGATCGGCGAGACGTTGATGAACACCACCGTGGGCGCGTCGGACTCTCCTCGTACTCGATCGGCGTCAGCGTACTCGATCGGCGCGCTCGCGACGTACTCCGACCGCGTCTGCCCGACGCCCCCCGGGGAAAAACGAAACAAAATCTCAGCCTTGTCCGCCTTGGTGAAGTTGAACTTCCCGGCGTCGAACTCCTGACACACTTGGTCCACCTTGAACTCCGTCGGTCGCTTCTTCGTCGCGCGGCCTTCGTTGTACTGCGCCACGAACCCGATCCTCCCGGGGATGATCTTCGTGTCGCACGCGGTCACGTCGTACCGGAACAGACCCGCCGCGAATCGATCTTCCCACGCCGCGAGGAGGATCCGGTCGAACGGCGAGACGTCCTGCACGTACCCGCTCTGCGAGCCGCCGCCGCCGCCGCCGCCGCCGCCGCCGCCCGCGTCGCTGCCGCCGCCGTCGCTGCCGCCGCATCCGTCGTTCACGCCGAACGTCGCCGCGCACGAGGTCGAGAGGCTGCCGTCGTCGCTGAAGCCTCCGTCGTTCGCGTACGCGTCCATGTTCACGCACCCCTGAGGGCAGTTCCATACGAGCGAACGTCGGGGTGGAGTTGAAAGGCGTCAGAAGCGGAGTTGAAAGGCGCCGAGGGCGGGGATTGAAACCAGCGAGGGACCCTGGGCGGAGAGACACGCCGGGTAAAGTCCTCAAGAAACGGCGTTAACCACGCCGACGCGGTCGTATGGGGACCAGTGTGAGGAGAACGCGCCTGACCGTTCGCGGAGATGTCCGGGACGCGCAAGTCGTCGAATGAGCCGAAGGAGCGCACGCGCTTGGGTTCGCACTCCTGAGGGTCGTTCCATACAAAGCGATGTCGGGGTGGAGTTGAAAGGCGTCAGATGGAGTTGAAAGGCAACGCGGGCGGGGATCGAATGCGAGGGGTGGGCGCAGAGACGCGCCGGGAAAAGTCCTTAAAGAATGGCATTCACCTCGCCAACGCGGTCGTATGGGGACCAGTGTATAGAACGCACCTGACGGTGCTTCGCGTAGGTGAGCAGCGGGAGCGGTCGGCGCGCGCGGACGACGCGCGCGACCGTGTTCGCCTTCGGGTCGTCCTCGTCGTCCATCTGGTGCATGGAGATCATCGTCTCGACGCGCTTGATCGTGGCCATCGCAGCGCGAACGAATATTCCAACCCGTCGCGCGCGAGAGGGTGCGAACGAATACGAACGCCGCGCGTCTTCGCCCTCTCGCCTTCCGTCGGGGTCGCTCGCCGGCGCGCGGTCCCCGTTCCTCTCCTCTTCTAAACTCGAAGCGTGCGCACGCGCGACGTCTTCGAGCGTCTTAATCTATTCGCCTCGCGCCGCGATTCGATTCGCGCGCGCGTCGACGCGTCGTCCTAGAGCCTCGCGGCGCTCCTCGGCGTTCGTGTCTCTCTCGACGAACGCGCGAGGGTTTCCTCCTCCTTCGCGATGCCGGTCACGCGCGACCGCCGCCGGCGAGGTGCAAGACGTCGTACGGCAGCGCGCCCTCCGCGGTGGATCCTCCTCTGCCGGTGTCGAGGTGATGCGCTTTGGTCTGGACCTTCGTCGCCTCCGCTAGAGGGTTCGGCTCAAGTCCCCGTCGCATCCCCGGGGCGTTCGCGCTCGCGGTCGTCGCTTGTCCTGTGAGAAGGCGAAAATCTCGACACCTCCCGACTGCCCGTACGTTCGCGCGATACGACGCGACTCGACTCGCGTTCACGCGATGTGTTTCACGCGCGCGTTCGTTGACGCGCGGGAGCGTGCGATGACGCGAAGAGCGAGGTCGGACGACGTGAGCGTGACGCGCGTGGAGTGCGCTGCAGGTGTGAGGCGCGCTGGGATTTTTCGCGGGGGAGGCTGGAAAGCTGCCTCTCTGAAAGCCCACGTTTACACACGTGGCGCAAAAGCAGCGCAAAATACTGACAGTGGATAATTGAGAGCCGTGGAATGAGCCAGGGTCAAAGACATTTTCATCGGCAAATTTTCATCGTACAAAATAGCTTTCATCGGAACGAATTCGTTACCTTCATCGGTCCAGTTGTCCCTCTCACCGTCGCTTCGCTTCGGTTCACTCCGTCGGACGCGTCTCCGTCCTCCCCGCCCTCTTCCACGATGCCGGTCTCCGCGCTGATGATCGGCGCCGGGGAGTACACCACCGGCTGCGTCGGCACCGCCGCGGGCGCCGCCCCGGACAAGCCCGCGGGCGTCGTCGCGATCACGTTCGCGGATCTCCGAAGACGCGGACGCGTCGACGACATGGTTCTCGTCGACGCGGTCGGCACGCGCATGCCCACCGTCCGCGACACGATGCGCGCGAAGATCGCGGAGGCGTACAAAGACATGGACGTGCGCATGACGACGCTCCCGCGCGACGACGTTGCGTTCGACCCGATGGCGTACAAAGAAGCGATCGCGCGCATGAGACGCGGCGACGTGGCGACGATATTCACGCCCGACGACACGCACTTCGACATCGCGCTCGCGTGCATCGAGGCCGGGCTGCACGTCCTGTGCGCGAAACCGCTCGTGAAGACGCTGGCGAAGCACCGCGAGCTCGCCGCCGCCGCGGAGAAGCACGGCGTGCTGTGCGCGATCGAGTACCACAAGCGGTTCGACCCCATCTACGCCGACGCGAGAGATCGCATCCGAGCGAAACTCGGCGCGTTCTCCTTCTTCCAGTCCACGATGACGCAACCGAAAGCGCAGCTGGACACGTTCAAGGCGTGGGCGGGGAAGAGCAGCGACATATCGTACTACCTGAACTCGCATCACATGGACGTGCACTGCTGGAGCGTCGGCGACGCGTCGAGGCCGGAGAGAGTCGTCGCGTTCGCGGCGACTGGCGCGGCGAACGCGCGCGTCGAGCCTACGGACGGACGTCAGGCGCGTTCTTCGTTCTGTGTCACGCAGCGCGCGCTGGTCCCCACACGACTCCGTTCGCGCGACCGACGCACGCCGTCCCTCGAGGACTTTTGGGTCCCGGCCGGCGTCGCGTTTCTCTCCGCCCGCCGCCGCCCCTCGGTTTCGATCGCGACGCGCCGCGAGTCACACTGCTTCCCATACGACCGCGTCGGCGTTGTGAACTTCATTCCTTGAGGACTTTCGATTCCGTCTGACGTGCCCCTGAACTCCACCCCGACGTCGCTCGCCTCGCGCGGACCCTGATCACCCTCAGATCGAAGACACGATCACGCTGTGCGCGGAGTGGGTCAACGACGACGAGGCGAAGAGCAGAGGGACCGCGACGTACACCGCGTCGTGGATAGCGCCCAAGGCGGACTGTCACACGCAGCAGTACTTCCACTACATGGGGCACGAAGGCGAGATCAGGGCGGACCAAGGCCACCGCGGGTACACGACGTCGACGGACGCCGACGGGTTCTCGCAGCTGAACCCGCTGTACATGGTGCGCGTCGTTCGTTTGACACACCGCGCGAATTCGTCCACGTCATCGAATCGTATCGCGTGCTGACCGATGAAATCTCACGTTTCCTTCCTTCGTTTCTCCGACAGAAATACACGCCGTCGCCGTCCGGGCAATTCGCCGGGCAGCAAGGGTACGGGTACAGGAGCATCGAGGAGTTCGTGAAAGCCGCGGAGGAGATAAACGCCGGGACCGCGACCGTCAAAGAAGTGTGCGACAGGGACGTGCTCGCGACCGTGGACCGAACCGCGCGAGTCACCGCGATGTTGGAAGCCGGGCGAGTGAGTCTCGACAACGGCGGCGCGGGGGTGCGGATCCTGTATCCGGAGGGCGGCGGCGCGGGCGCGGAGCCCATTTGGCTCGCGCTCGAGGGCGACGGCGAGCGTGCGTTCGTCGTCGGCGAAGGGGGGGCGGAGCGGAAGCGCGCGCGAGAGGGGGAGTAGTGCGGAGCCAGAGCAGCGCGCGTCGACCTCGACCTGTAACGTATTCATCAATCTCGTCCATTCTGACTGGACGACGACGCGACGACGACAGATGGTCGCCGCCTTCAGATCGACGCGCGCGGCTCGCCGTCGTCCGCGGCGCGCGGGTCGTCGCGAGGGAGCGCGCGAGGATCTCCGCGCCGGCGGCGTCGCATCGCGTCGCGCGCCATGAGCCGGAAAGGGACGTGGTACGCGGACGAGGACGACTGGTACGACGACGACGACGACGACGACGACGACGACGACGACGACGCGTTCGACGCGTACGACACCGGATCCCTCGCGCCCAAGGCGAAGCCCGGGAAGGGCGGCAAGGCCGCCGCGGCAGCGGCGAAATCGGGCGGCGCGGGCGCGGGCCGCGGCCGCGGCCGCGGCGCCGGCGCGCCCGCCGCGACGTCGACGTCCGCGGCGGGCTCGACGACGCGCGCGGCCGAGACGTTCCCGGTCGCGCCCCCGCGCGCGCCGCGACCGCCGGGCGCGCCGCCGGGCTTCGCGTTCGACACGCCCTCGCCGGACGACGTCGTCGCCGCCGCGAGGGTCAAGGGCGCGCCGCCGCGCGCGAACGTCGGCGACGTCGAGAGAGGCGTCGTCGCGCTGACGACGCGCGACGACGACGACGAGGGATCGGCCGCCGGGCGGCGGAGCGTCAGATCTCTCGAGACGAAGCCGAAGGCGGCGAAGGCGGCGGGCTCGAGCGGCCGCCGGCCGCTCTCGGAGTTCGTCCCCACCCCGGACGAGACGCGCGACGCGACCGCGCGACGCGACGGCGTCTCGCGTCGCCGCGCGCACGTCGTCGTCCTCGGCCACGTGGACGCGGGCAAGAGCACGCTCATGGGCCGCGTGTTACACGCCGTCGGCGCCGTGGGTGCGCGTCCCGCCTCACACCGGTCCCCGTACGACCGCGTTCGCGCGGTGCGCGCCGTTCCTTGAGAACTTTTGCCGGCGCCTTCTCCGTCGCTCCCGTCCAATGAAACGTCCACGTCATCAAATTACTCACCGATCACATCACCTCCCGCCGCGTCGCCCGCCATTCAAACGCGCCCCCGAACGCCCGCAGACGAAAAGACGCGGCGCAAGCACGAGCGAGACGCGACCGCGGCGGGGAAAGGCTCGTTCAAGTGGGCGTGGGCGCTCGACGAGCGGCCGGAGGAGCGCGCGCGCGGGGTCACCGTGGACGTGGCGCAGGCGGCGTTCACGACGGGACGCACGGAGGTGACGCTGTTGGACGCGCCGGGGCACAGAGATTTCGTGCCAAACGCCATCGCGGGCGTCAGCCGCGCGGACGTCGCGCTGCTCGTCGTCGACGCGTCGCCCGGCGCGTTCGAGAGAGGGTTCCAGGGCGGCGGGCAGACGCGAGAGCACCTCGCGCTCGCCGCGATGGCGGGGATCGCGAGCGTGATCGTCGTCGTGAACAAGATGGACGCGTGCGGATACGACGAGGCGCGGTTCGAAGAGATCAAGCGCGCGCTCTCGCCGTTCGCGAAGAATGCGAATTCGATTTCGAACGACGCCGGGATCGCCGGGATCGCCGGGTTCGGGCACGGTTCCGGGTTCGCGTTCGAACACGTCGCGTTCGTCCCCGCGTCCGGGATCGACGCCGCGAATCTCGTCTCCCCGGAGGCGCCGCCGCCGCCGGCGCTGGCCGCGTGGTGGCGCGGGCCGACGGTGTGCGGCGCGATCGACGACGCGCCCGTCTCCTCCTCCGCCGCCGCCGCCGCCGGCGGCGGCGGGCTGGGACCGACGCGCTTCCCCGTCGCGGACGTCATCGCGGACGGAGGCGGCGGCGGCGGAAGAGGCGCGAGGGCGACGAGCCTCGGCCCCGCGGCGGTCGGCGGCAAGCTCGAGCGCGGCTCTCTTCGCGTAGGGCAGCGGCTGCTCGCGCAGCCGTCGGGCGTCGCGTGCGTCGTCAGGCGCGTTCTATACACTGGTCCCCATACGACCGCGTCGGCGTGGTGAACGCCGATCCTTAAGGACTTTCGCCGGCGCATCTCTCCGCCCACCCCTCGCTTTCGATCCCTGACCTCCACGCCTTTCGACTCCGACTGACGCCTTTGAACTCCACCCCGATATTCGCTCGTACGGAACGACCCTCAGGGCGATCGACCTCGGCGACGGCGCGGTCCGATCCGGATCCGGATCCGGATCTGGCGGCGGCGGCGACGTCAGGGCGGTCGCGTACCCGGGCGACGCCGTGGACGTGGGCCTGGACGGGATCGATCCCGCGTGCCTCGCGCCCGGGAGCGTCTTGTGCGACCCGGCGTTTCCGCTGACGCCGGCGGCGAAGGTGCGTTCTACACAAACGTTTTTCACCCACCGCTCGGTTTCAACATTTGATCGCTCCCCCTTTCAACTGACCGGTGTACTGTTTTTGTATGGAATGGCCCCGCAGATTCGCGCGGAGATCTTCGTGCTCGCGGACGTCCGCGTGCCGATACTCGCGGGGACGACGGTCGGCCTGCACTTCAACGGCGCGCGGTGCGAGGCGTCCGTGTCGTCGCTGGTGTCATCTCTGGACGCGACCACGGGGGAGACGGTGAAGGTGCGCGCCGCGTCGTGCGATTTGTTTTCACCCGTCCCTCGCTTTCAACGTTTGATCGCGCCCCCTTTCGACTGAAACCGACCGACGGACTTGACCCCTTCCGCGTCAGACCCGGCCGCGGTGCCTGACGCGAGAGACGCGCGCGGTGATCGAGCTCGTCCCCGAGCGACCCGCGTGCGTCGAGCGCGAGGCGGACGTTCTGGCGTTGGGACGCATCGCGCTTCGGAGGAACGGCGCGACGGTGGCCATCGGGATCGTCACGGAGACGTGGGGGGAGGACGAACTGCGCGCGCTCGAGAAGGAGAAGGAGAAGGAGGCGGCGACAAACTGATGGCGCGCCTTGGGGTAGTCTATATCATAGTCTGCTATCAACTCTACTCTACCCGCCGTCGCGGCGCTCGCCGTCGCGCGTCTGGCTGGTCTATCGCGACGAAGAACGCTTCGCTCTGACCTCTCTCTCACGGACGCTCGTTCGCGCTCGGCGGCGTCGTCGAGTAGACGACTTGGTTCGCGCCTTCGAAATCGAGAAACGCCATCTTCCCGCGCGTTTTATTCACGAGGTACTCCACGAGCTGCCGTCGCTCCGTCACCTCCGTCGTGCGCTGTTTCGAGACGCGTCTTCTCCCTTCTTCTGAACGTCCCGCCGCTTCGTGGGCGGCTCCCTCGTCCGCGACGGTTGGCGTTCCGTCTTCTTCTTCTCCGTCTTCTTCTTCCTCCTCCGCGTCGACGGCGACGGCGACGCGCCGCGGGAACAGCCGCGGAAACACGCAACACGGCACGACCGCGAACGGCACGTCGCGACGCAACGCGAAGTCCGCGATGGCCTCCGTGGCCTGGTCCGGATGCATCCCAACGATCACGGAGACGTTCGCGTACCGGTCCCACGTCGCAGGCTCGAACTCCGCGCGCACTTGCGCGCAGAGCGGCGCGTCGGCGTCGGCGGCGCCGAGCGACGGCGGACGATTCTTCAAAAACTTTCGCTGCGACTTGCTCAGCTTCCTCGCGCGCGGCTCCACGAGCGTGCACTTGACGCCCCGTCTGTTGTACAGCTCGAACGAGACGTCGCCTCTGCCGCCGGCGACGTCGAGGACGCCGTCGCCGGCGTTCAGAGCGTCGACCCCGAACGTCCGCACGAGCCACTCCGCGAACCGTTCCGCGCGTTTTCCCTTGGAGACCGCGTCCGAGCCGTGCGGGTCGCCCGCCTCGGCGGCCAGCGCGCGTCTTCTCGCGCGCCGCGCTTCGATCCACGCCCTCGCGCGGCCGCCGCGGTCGTCCGCGTGCGCGTACTTGCACGCCGCGCCCTTGTGGCACACGCCCTGGTTGAGCCAGAACTTGCACGGAGGACGCGGCGGCGGGTCGGCGTCGTCGTCGTCGACGACGGTCCGATCGATCGACGCCGCGGGCGCGTCTCTTCTTCTCTCCGCGCCGCCTCCGCCTCCGCCTCCGCCTCCCCCACCCGCCGCCGCCGCGCCCTCCTCCTCCGCGCGCGAGAAGTGCTTCCCCGGGTTCGCGTCCGCCCACGACGACACGAGCTCGACGCCCTCGCACGCGCAGCTCCACTCGCCGTCGTCGCGTCGCGTCCATCGTCCGCGCGCGCGGACGACGTTCCCGAGCTTGAGGACGCGCGATCGCGCGTCCGCGAGCGCGTCGTCGTCCTCGAACCCGCCGTTGTACGCGCGCGTCTTCGCGATGATCTCCACGCGGCTCGGCAGCGGTGGCGGCGGCGGCGACGCGGAGGAAGACGGAGGAGGAGCGTCGACCGACGCGGACGCGACGACCGCGGCGACGCGAGATCGCGCCTCCGCGGCGTCGAACGCGCCGCCGCCTCGCCCCGCGCCGGCGACGTCCAGGTCGAAGAACGCGAGCCGCTTGCTCCGGTTTCGTCGCCCGACGACGACGCCGAGGAGGACGAGAGAGTCCGCGCGCGGCGGCGGCGGCGGCGGCGGCGGCGGCGAGGACATCCCTCCCGTCGCGCGCCCGCGCGGGGGCGGAGTGCAGTGATGATGAGTGATGGAGATTTACAAAAATACCTTCGAAGGTAGTTTAGCAGATATCGCCGACGCCGACGCCGACGATCCCGCGCGCGGGGTGGCCGACGCCGACGCCGAAGTCGCGCGCGCGAGCGCGACGGACGACGAAGCCATCGCGTCGTCCTCGGCGCGTCTCCCTCTGGGCGCGACCCGCGACCGCGTCTTATCTGAAGCTCGCCAAATTCCCGACAAAATCCTACGAAGGTACAGTCTAAAACAGCAGAGGTACTCGTATGAAAACCTCTCGTATGAACAGATCACATGTTTTGCCCGGATGGGTTAAGTTGTTAACTTAGAGCTCAGTCTTTTTGTAATCAGATAAGTTGTTCGCATCGACGCTCCGCGCGCACACGCGAACAAACACCGTCGCGTCGCGCGCGACAGAACGCTTTCCGCGCCCGTCGATCGGTCGACCGGACGCTTTTCGCGGGGTAGATTCCCCGATCCCGCGTCAAATAATATCGCGCTTCTAAATCGCGCTCCCCACCCCTCGAGCGCGAGCCGTCGAGTCGATTTCACGACGAAGATGCCTTCCACGGTGCGTGTCGTCCGTTGACACCCCCGTCCACGCGATCGCGTCGTCGCGTCGTCGCGTGAACGAACCGTTCCGAGTGTCCGTCCCCAAGACGACAATAAATTCTTGCGCGACCTTTCAGGCGACCTTTCGCGAAAGGTCACAAGTCTGTTACAAATCTGTTACGAATCTGTTCGCGAGACGCGAAGAGGAGAACAGTTTCGGGAACGGTTTTTTTTTTTCGCGCGCTCGCGAGCGTTCCTCGACTGACGACGAACGCCACGTCTCCCGCCCGCCTTCCTCTCTTCTCGTCGTCTTCAGAAGCGCGACAGCCGAGGCACGACGCCCGCCGCGGACGAGACCGTCCCGCTCCTCGGCGACGCAACCAAGCTCGAAACGCTTCAAACGAGACAGCGCCGCCGTCGCGCCGCCGCTGGCGCCGCCGCGGCCGCGCTCGCGCTCGCGCTCGCCGTCGTCGCCGCCGCGACCCGCGCGCGCGGGGGGGGGCGCGCGCGGGGGCGCGCGCGCGTTACTTCGCCGAGCACGGCGACCTCGGCACTTCTCCCGCGCCTTTCGCGGGCGGGAACGACGACGTTTTCACGCGTTCGGCGGCGCCGCTCGGCGGCCAGCCGTGCCAAGACATCAACGTCGATATGTGCGCCGTGCCAGAAAAGTCATGGACGGACGCGGGCGCGTGCCAGCCGTACTATGGAGATTGCGAGTTGGACATGTTTTCGTCGTGCGGCTGGGGCGCGTATCCGACAGGCGCTAAAACGTGCGCGAGCAAATATGGTATACCATACAAGTGGAGGTACAAGTGCAAGGCGATACCCGTGCCATACAACAACGGCCAGTGCTCCGCGTGCATGCCCGGGTGCGAGCTCATCCACGGATCCAGGGATACGTGCGACTGCTCGAAAACCAAGTTTTACGATGAGCTGGACAACGCGATCCACCATGTGGGCGAGCAAGCGAAGGACGCGTGGGACGACGCGAAGGGATTCGCCAAAGAGGTCGGCGACGAGCTCGGACCCATCGTGGATAAAATGAATGATTTCCCTGAAGACGCGCTCAATTGGTTCAAAGATCAAATCGATAAACCGTGCGACGTCAGTCCGTCGGATCTGAACGATGCGTTTAAAACGTTCTTGGACGCGATGAAACCACAAGACGTGAATAAGATCATGAAGGTGTTCTCTGACACCCCGTCGAAGGTCGAGGACATAATGGAAGGCCTCGGCTCGCCGGTGTGTGACTACATATGGACGTTCGGGCTGCCCGCACCGAACATCTTGGCCCAAGTCGTGAAGTCGTTGAGCACAACGCTGAAAGATAAGTGCCCTCTGGTCTTCGACACGGGGAAGAATTCCGCCATCACTTTGGGATTGACCATGGACGTCAACGTGCAAAACCCCGCGACTCACCCCAACAAGTACACGGCCAGCGGCGGCGTAGTGCATGACACATACTCGGGCGGTATGGAACTCGGTGTCGGCGTCGACATAAACGGCAACCGATTTTGCTACGTCGGCGGTTGCACCATGAAAGGGAAAGTCCTTCAGCTCAAGACACCAAGTCTTGGCACGCTCGACGTGGGCATGGCAGTGACCGTCTACGGGGAATTTGCTAACGTTCCTGGCGCAGCCCAGGCGACCACGTTTGGCGGCGGCATCGAGATCCCTGCTCCTGTCTTCTTCGGAAGCGGGCTCAAAGCCGAAGGTTCCCTCACGCTCATGTACGGAACCGGAGATAAATGTGGTGAAGACGAAAATGAAAAATGTGAGCCAAAACATGCATTCGGTGTCTCCATAGATGTCGAAGGCAACCTCGCCGCGGCGTCGTTTGGCGTCGAGGCGTCTTTCGCGGAAGGCCTTTGCTACACGTCATTATGCGTCCTAGCGGACGGAGGGCACTGCGATTCAAAATTCGGCAATGAAGACAATACCTTGAGCTCTCAGGTCAAGGATTTTGGAGACAGTGTCGCACACTTCTTCGGCGAGGAAGCCTCGGCAGCGATGAAAAAACATGATGAAGCGAAGAAAGCAGTTGAGCTGGCCACGATGGACCCCATGCCGGGCTCCACGACTGTCGATGAGTTCAACTCGGACAACTCCACAACAGTCGATGAGTTCAACTCGGACAACTCCACAACAGTCGACGAGTTCAACTCGGACAACTCCACAACAGTCGACGAGTTCAACTCGGACAACTCCACAACAGTCGACGAGTTCAACCCGGACAACGCTACTGCGGTGCCCGAGCCCGAGCCCGAGGATTACCACTACGAAAAAATCGCGAATAGAGCTGTGCGAGGGCATGGAGCATCAGGCGCGTGCGATGAAAGATTGTATTACGGAAATGATTCTGGTGGAATCCAAAGGTGCGAAGAGCAGTGCAATCAGTGCGCCGACTGTAAAGGCTTCGTGGATAACCGAGACGCTTCACCCGCATACTGCGTTTTCAAAAGTTCGTCGAATGTGTACGAGAAGTCATCGAAGGATTGGTATGGAAAGCAATAAACCGGAATGCAAGAACAAGAAGAAGTTGCCTTTCAAGAAGAAGAAGACGAAGAAGAAGAAGAAAAACAAGAAGAAGTGGCCTTTCAAGGGATGAGCCGCCGTCGCCGCCGTCGCGGGAGTTTTGTTCAACAAATCTCGCCGCCGCCGCAGCCGCGTCGGGGCGGACGAAGAAACGCCGCTCGTCGAGGGTACCAAGTACGGCGCCGTGCACGTGTGAGCGAACGATCACCGAGTGTTTGCGCTTCATCGCGCGTGGCCTCCGGGTCGTGCGTGTGTACATATTTTACATCGGCCGAAGAGTGTGGAAGGGGTGACCCGAGCCTGGCAAATGCGCCCTTATAGCTCACTTCGGCGGGCGCGAACGCGCGAAAGCGCGAACGCGTCGACCGTCAGCCCCCCGGGTCTATCCTTACATAATTGTACATATGCAATTTCAATTATTTATTTTTAACCGATGTCGCACGCGTGGTCGTCGGCTGTGGTGGTTGAAGGGTCGATCCCTTCATATTCAAATCACCTTTCACTCTGTCGCATCGGCGCTCAGCGCGGTTCCGGCGCCGACGCCGGCGCCGCGTCGCCGGCGTCTGCGTTTGATTCGACGACGCGCGGGTTGGATAGACGCGCGTTCTACACGTTTGATCGTCGACGCGCTCGTGCGCGGCGTCCGAATGTACGGCGGGAAGATGGCACTGCGGTCGGTCGACCGTGGAGGAGGTGGTCGCGGAAGACGGCCGCGCCGTCGGCACGCGACTGATGAAAAGAAAAGAACAGATGTGCAGTCATCAACGAGAGCTCAGTTCTCGCGGCGCCTCGCGGCGCCTGCGCCATCGCTCCCCGCGCGGGACATGGCGTCCTCTGTCGCGTCGCCTCGCGTCTGCACCGCGTCGCCGTCGACGACGTCGCGTCTGTTGCGTCGTCGTCGACGAGCGACGACGACGACGACGACGACGACGACGACGACGACGACGACGACCCGCGCGTCGTCGTCCTCCTCTGGATCGATCGCCGACTTCCCCGAAGAGATGCGCGCGGCGTGCGAGGCCGTGCGCCTCGCCTCCGCGCTCTGCGCGTCCACGCAAGACGCGCTCCTCCGCACGGACGCGACGAGCAAGTCCGACGACAGCCCCGTCACGGCCGCGGACTTCGCCGCGCAGGCGATCGTCTCCGTCGTCCTCGCCGCGACGTGCCCCTCGATCGCGCTCGTCGCGGAGGAGACCGCGGACGCGCTCCGCGCGGACGCCGACGGCGCGCGGCTCCTCGCGCGCGTGACCCACCTCGTCAACGAGACGCTGCGCGGAGAGACGGGCGCGTCGTGCGCGTGCGGCGGCGGCGCGCTGACGGCGAACGCGGTCGCGGACGCGATCGACCGCGGCGCCGCGGCGCCTTCGAGGCGCGGCGACGTCTGGATCTTAGGCGAGTTCTCCTCGCGCCGGTCCCCGTGCGACTCCGTCGGCGCGGTGAACGCCGTTCCGTGAGGACTTTCTCTCCCAGCGGTCGTATCTCTCCGCCCACCCCTCGGTTTCAATCCCCGACACACCTCGACGCCGTTCAACTCCGCTTCTGACGCCTTTGAACTCCGCCCCGACGTTCGTCGCTTCGCGCGGAACGACCCGCATCAGATCCCATCGACGGCACCAAGGGCTTCGTCAACGGGCGGCAGTACGCCGTCGCGCTCGCGCTCATGCGCGACGGCGAGATCGTCGGCGGCGTGCTCGGGTGCCCGAACTTGCCGCGGCGCGCGATTCCAAGGACGGAGACGAAGATACAGACGTGCGATCGCGGCGACGGCGGCGTCATGTTCGCGGCGTTCAAAGGGCTCGGGTGCTTCGCGATGCCGCTGCGCGACGCCGACGCGGCCGTGCGCTACGACGCCGCGACGCGATGCGCGACGAACGGCGACGTGGTCGACGGCGCGGGCGCGCGGTACGCGGAGTCGTGGGGGGACTCCATCGTCGCGGATCACGCGAGGACGAACGCGCTCGCGTCTTCGTTGGGGATCGCGACGGCTGGGTTGCAGACGGACAGGCGAGACTACTTCCCATACGATACGACTCCGTTCGCGCGGTAAACAAACGTCGTCTCTCTCGAGGACCTCTGGACTTCTTTCGCGCGCTAGCTGGGAGCCTCACGTTTTGACACGTGGGCATGCTATCCACCAATCACGCGCCCGCGCGCCTGACGCGCGTCTTCCCTCGTCCGAACGAAACGATTCATCAGCATGGCGAAGTACGGCGTCGTCGCGCGCGGCGACGCCGAGCTGTACTTGCGGTTCCCTCCCGCGGCGTACAGGGAGAAGGTCTGGGACCACGCCGCCGGGTACGCGGTCGTCGTGGAAGCCGGCGGGGTGATGACGGACGCGGGAGGGAACGCGCTCGATTTCGCGAGCGGTCGGTTTCTGGACGTCGAGAAAGGCATCGTCGCGAGCGCGAGCCCGGAGCTGCACGCCAAGGTGCTGGCTGCGCTCGCGGCGGAGGACGAGTGACGTGATGGCGTCTCGTTACGCGCGCGGCGACGCGAAGGCGCGGTGAGGGAGCGCGCGTGTTTATCGCGCAGCTCGACCCGGCGTCGTAACCTCAGTTTATGCACGCGTCGCGACGATTCGCGGTCTATTTATTATACATCTGCACGTCGCGTCTCGATCCCGACGTCTGAGGTATCTACAGCTCGTCCTCCTCCGCGAGGATTCCGATCGTGAGCGCTTTGTAGTACGAGGCGTGGACGTCCCACGTCACGCGGCCGATCCCGAGCGCGATCTCGCGCGCGAGCGCGTCCACGTCGCGCGAGACCCCGAAGCCGGAAACGCGCGCCGCCGCCGCCGCCGCCGCGTCCGGCCCGAGCAAGAGACGCGCGCACAGCGCGTCGCGCACCGCCTCGCGCAGCCCGACCGCGTCTGGATCGTCCTCGGACGTCAGTCGACGCAAGCTCGCCTCGTGCGCGGCAGCGGACGCCGCGACGGATGACGTTCCGTCTTCCGCCGTCGCGGGAGACGGCGTCGTAAACGTCGCGAGCTCCAACGCGAGATCGGCGAGGCGCACGCCGCCGTCGTTCAGCAGCGCGTCGAGGCGTCTCCGAAGCGACTCGAGACTCGGCGCGTGCGATTTCGCGTTCGCTTTCGCGTCGTTCGCGATAGAAACGCACGCGCACATGACCGTTATCTTCTGAAACGCCTCCTGCGCCGCCGTTATTCGATCGCCGTCGAACTCGAGCGTCTCCGGAAGCGATTCCTCCGAGAGCCTCGAGCACTTCGATACCAACAACGCGAGCGCGACGCGTAGTAGCCCGCGCGGGGAGACCGGCATCGCGGGCGTCCACGAGGACGCGATCCGCCTTCGATCGTCGTCGTCGGCGTCCGCCGCCGCGTCGGCGGCGGAGCTCCGCCCCCCCGTTCGCATCGGGAGCGGCGTCGACGCCGCCGCCGTCGCCGCCGCGAGCGACGCGTCCAGCGCGTGCGCGCGCGACAGCCCGCGCGTAATCCACGCGCGCGTCCTCGGCAGCGCGTCCTTCACGCCCTCGCACGCGCCCGGAACGTTGATCGCGCCCTCCTCGCGGAACGCGTCCTCGAGCTCGTCGCGCGTCGGCGCGCCAAATCGAGCCGCGAACCGCTCGCGCGCGTATCGCGCGCCGCCGACGCCTCGCGCGAGCGGCTCGAGCGCGAGCACGCCCGCGTTCGCGACGTCGCGCCGCAGGTCGCGGAGCTCGCGGTGCAGGAACGAGAGCGAGGACGTCACCGCGGCGGCGACGGCGCGCGCGGCGGCGCGCGCGTCGCGCGCCGCCGCCGCCGCCGCCGCCGCCGCGAATCGCTCGCTGAGCTCCGCGGTCTTGGCATCCGCGCGCGCCTCGGCTTCGTCGTCGCGCGCCGGCGCGCCCATCCGCCGCAGCATCGCGGCGGCGGCGTCGTGGATCGACGCGAGCGCGGCGCCAGCGGCGATCGGGTCGTTCGGCGCGGGCGTCAACGCGTCGCGGACGTTTTCGGGGGTCAACGCGCGCTCCAGTAAATCGCGCTCGTCGGCCGTCCGAGCGCGAGGCGGGCAGAGCGACGCGAGCTCGTCGCGGAGCTCGGTCGTCAGCGCGACCGCGCGCGAGACGTCCGCGAACGCGAAGGTGTCGGCGCCGGTCGACGTTCCATCTTCCGCTCTGCTCGGCGCGACGTCGAGGAGGGAGTCTTCGAGCGATTTCCAAAATTGGTCCTCCATCGCGCGTCGAAGTCGGCGCTCGACGACGGCGGCGGCTTCCGCGGGCGTGCGAGGCTCCGACGCCACGTCGACTGCCACGTCGTCATCGCGCCTCGGGAGTCGCCAACTCGGATCGAGCAGGAGCTCGTGCATGATCGCCTCGTTCTCGCGCGACGACGAAGCAGAAGCTGACGTGGCAGCTGACGTGGCGCTGTCGGACGCGGACGCGGCCGCCGCCGCCGCCGCCGCCGCGCGTCGACGCGCGATCTCCTCCGCGAACGCGGCGCTTCGTCGCGTCCTCGCCGCGCGCCGCGCGTCCTCGGCGGCGCCGTCGTCGGCACCCGCGTCGGCACCCGCGTCTGCACACGTGGCCGCCGCCGTGGCGGCGGCCGCGGCTTCTTCCTCCGCCTCGACGGCCAGGAACGTCTCCGCGAGCGCGGCGTCGAACGCCTCCGCGCCCGCGTCTCCCGCGAGCGCGACGACTTTCCCGCGGAGCAGCGCCTTGTCCGCGTCGCACGCCTCGCGAATCGCGCACTTATCCTCCGCCGCGAGATCCGATACGTTGCTGACATGTCCGCTGACGTGGCATCCGTCGTCGTCGCGCGCGCCGTCGAACCGCGAGTCCGGGGACGTCATCCACCGCGTCCCGCACTTTCTCAGCGCGGAGCGTTCGAGCTCGACGGCGACGCCCACGAGCGCGGCTTGTAACGCCGCGGCGTCGTTCGTTTTCCAGGACACGAACGCGCGCGCGTACGCGCGCCACGCGTCGTGGAACGTCTCGGTCGTCGCGCGGGTTCGATCCCTCGCGGCGGCGTCGACGGCGTCGACCAGGGCGGAGGCGGCGGCGGCGAGCGAAGATTCGATCGCGCCGAGTCGCCGTCGCGCCGTCCGCCGCGCGTCCTCGTCTTCGTCTTCGTCGTCTTCGACGCCCAACACGATCTCCGGGTGCGCGACGATCATGTACGCGCAGAGCACCGCGCGCGTGGAGTACGGGAACGCGAGCGTGAACGAAAACGGTCTGGGAGGAACCGTTACCGTTTCACTTTCTCGGGCGATCGGCGGCGGCGCGCCCCGGCGTCCTCCGCCTCGCGAGGGAGGGAGCATCGCGCGAAGAAGCGACGCGAGCTCGTCGTCGGCGTCGTCTGTCGCTGTCGTTTTTGAATTCAAATTCAAATAATTCAAATTCAAACGATCGATCGCGCGGAAGAACGCGCCCGCGGCCTCGATCGCGCGCGCGTCTCGCAACGTCGCCGCGAACGCGTCGAAATCCGTCGCCGCCGTCGCGGCGCCGCGCGAGAGCCCGACGGCGGCGAACGCCCTCGCCGCGGTCGCAGCCGCGCGTCGTCGCCACGCGCGTTGGATCGTCCCCGCGGCGGCCGCGGCCGCGGCCGTCGCGTTTGAATTTGAACGCCCCGAATGATGCGACGTCGCGGCGTCGCGGCGCCTGCGAAGGGACGCCACGCGTTGGGCGATGAGCGCCTCGCGTTTTCGCTCCGCCGCGGCTAAGGGTCGTTCCACACGAGCGGACGTCGGGGTGGAATTGAAAGGCGTCGAGGGCGGAGATTGAAACCGTGGTGTGGGCGGAGACAGACGACGGCAAAAGTCCTTAAGAAACGGCGTTCACCACGCGAACGCGGCCGTATGGGGACCAGTGTACAGAACGTGCCCATCTTCGCGCGGAGCGCCGTCTCGAGCGCGCGTCGTCGCGCGCGTCGCGCGGCGGCGGCGGCGGCGACGCGCGCGGTGACCGCGCGCGCTTTCGCGCGCGTGCGCTCGAGCTCGTGTTCCTGTAGAGAGAGGGGCGCGGGCGGGCGGGAGGGCGGACGGTCGGGGGGTCGTCGGTTTCGATTTCGTTCGGTCCTTTCTGTTCCTGTCAGCCTGTCGGAACTTCCGAGGCGAAACTGAATCATGCGGCGTGACAAGACATCGACGCGAGGCGCGCGGGTCGAGCGACGCCGGGCGGCGGCGAGCGCGCGCCAGGACGCGCCGTCGCGCGCGCGTCGCCGTAGATGACACCGACGCGCGCCGGCCGCGTCGACGCGCGGGGATGCTCGCGGCGAGACGAGACGCCGCGCGCGCGTCGTCGGCGTTCGTCGCGTCGTTCGCGCGAAAAAACAGTCGCGAGAAAGTCCTTAAGGAATGAAGTTCACAACGCGAACGCGGTCGTATGGTAGTATGGGAACCAGTGTGAAATAAATAGAACGCGCTTTACGACGCGAAGAGGGAAGAAGAAGACCCGCGCGCGCACCGTTCGCTTCTTCTCCGCGGCGTCCAGCCGCCGCCGCGTCGTCTCCGCGCTCGCGACGTGCCGTCCGCACCGCGACGAGCTCAGCTCCAGGCGCGTTCGCAGGCGCTTCGGGAGCGGCGACGTCGACGCCGCGCGCACTCGCGCGTCGAGACTCGACGTCTCATCCGACCCGCGGCTTTCGCGGTCGTCGGTGGCGTCGTCGTCGTCGCCGCCGCCGCCGCGGCCGCGCGGTGGGATGCGTATCGGCGCGCTCGCCGCGCGCATCGTCGAGGCGGCGTCGGGAGAGCGCGAGAGGAACGAGGAGGGCGCGAAGGCGACGGCGTGCGCGCGATATCGCGCGCGTCTCGAACTGTCGTGGTCATCTAGTCATCCGACTCATCAGGGTCGTTCCATTCCACATAAAAATAGTTCATCGGTCAGTTGAAAGGAGACGCGATCAAGTGTTGAAACCGAGCTATGGGTGAAACTTTTGTGTGCAACGCAAATCACTCGCGCCGCGCCTCGAAACGCTCGACAAGACCGCTGATCTGCTCGCGCGCTCCTCGAAAGACACGTGGCGCACTCCGCGACGCGCGAGGCGCGCGATGGCGACGACGACGACCGCCCCCGCGACGCTCCGCGGCCTCGCGCGAGGACGAGGACGCCGCGCCGACCCCTCGCGTCGTCGCGGCGCGCTCCGTCGCCATCGAGGACGCGCCGCGACGACGACGACGACGACGACGACGCGCGCGCTCTTCGGCGACGGCGACGACGTCGAGACGAAGATCGACGACCCGCTGCTGCGCCGCGCGGTGAAAGAGCCGATCGCGTTCTTCGGCGGGATGGCCGCGGGGATGTTCGGGCTGGACGTCGGCGAGGACGGGCCGCTGAAGCGGTGGGTGGAGGACGCGAGCGGCGGCGGCGGGAGACGGGGGGTGGAGGACGCGGCGGCGGCGGCGGCGGCGACGGCGGCGACGACGGCGGCGACGACGCGCGCGAGCGCGAGCGTCGACGGGTTCAAGGACGAATCTCCGAAATCGGCCTCGGCCTCGGCCGCCGCCGCCGCCGCCGTAGATGATGAAAAATAAACGCGCAGGCCTAAACCGTCGCACTACGTCCGAGCCTTCGGCGGCGCCCTCGGAGGCAGACGCTTCAGCGTCTTCGCGTCGAACTCCCGCACGTCGTCGATCCCGAACGTGTTTTTATATCTGTCATCGGACGACAGCGACACATCACGATCCTGTCAGATGTGATTTCCCGCTCGCTCCGCCAACCCGTCATAAACGCGGAGACCTAGACAGTTACATAAATAAATGTGCTACGCAGACGAAGACCTCCGTCGTCGTCGTCGCTCGCTCGCTCGCTCGCTCGCCCACTCTCGTCGCTCACTCCGTCCGAAGCAAACACTCCACGTGCGCGTACAGCTTCTTCACGCTCAGCAGCCCCACCCGTCTTCGCGACAAATCCGTCGGCTTGGCGTAAATCTCCATGGCGATCCGCTGCTGGTCCAGGCTCGGGTCCAGCTCGCTCAGCGTGAAGAAGCACCACGCCTTGGTCGACGTCTTCTTCTTCTTCGGTTTGTAGTGCTTAAACTCGAGAAAGATGGCGACGTCCTCCTCGAGCTCGCTCACCGGCGTCTGCGGAGGACGCGCGGGAGACGGACGCGTGCGGACGTGGATTGGTCAGCCGCGTCGGACGAGATACGATCAGATACGATGAAATACGCTGACGTGGATAAACGAGTGGCGGTAACGACGGGGGCGGTGGTCGAGAGAGATTCGCGAATTATTCGCACGCGTGGCGCCGCTGCCACCGCGCGAACGCACCTGCACGTGCACGCTTCGATCGAACACGACGTACGTCCCCTCGCTCGTCTCCTCGCGGTCGCGCGCGATCGGCGTGTCTTGACTCGCCTCCACCAGCGTCCCTATCGAGTTCACGACGCTCAACGTCGCGTGCGGGTCGATGAACGCCTCTCTCCCTTTGAACCCGAACCGGTCGATCTTCACGGTCAGCGCCATGTCCCCGCGGTTGCGAAGCCGCGGCGGCGGCATCAGAGACCCGGTCTCTCTGGCGGTGACGCCGCCCGCCTGGCGACGCGACACGACACGTGGAGGAGATGAATTGGTCAGCAATTGATGACGTGGCGTGAAATGTGGTCGTCGCGCGCGCAGAGAGACGCGCGTCGCCACGCACCGCGCCGCCGCCGCGAACGTCGTACGTGCCCGCGGGCGCGAGTCTCGCGGGGGGCGACCGGCGGTCGACGCGCCCCCCCCCCTCCGCGTCGTCGTCGTCGTCGCGGTAGTTCCCGTACCCATAACCGTAACGGTCGCCGCGCGGGTGTTGTTTCTGTTTCGGCGGGGAGTTAAACCCGAACGTATCCTCCCGGTGCGCGCGGTCGTCGACGCCTCGAGCGTGCTGCCGCCGCGGAGACACCGCGAGCGCCTCCATCTGCAACGCCACCGGCGCCTCGCCCACCGCCTGAGTTTGATTGGTGGGTGATGTGGCGGGAATTTTTTTTATTGGTTAGTTATTCGATGACGTGGACGTTTCATTGGACGAGAGCGACGGAGAGGGCGCCGGACGAAGTCCTCAAGGATCGGCGCGCGCCGCGCGGACGCGGCGCGGGGACCGGCGAGACGCGGTGCGACGCGGGGACGCGCCTCGGGCTCGACGTCGAACGGGAACTCCGCGCGGACGTCCAACAAGAACGCCTCCACGAACGGCCTGATCTCGCGGCACGCCTCCGCGCCTATCCCCATGTCCTCGTCCGTCCGCAGCTCCTTCACGCGCAGCGCGAGCATCGCGGTGAGACGCGCGCACTGCTGGAGCTCGTGGTGCGAGAGTCGGACGTCGCCGCGCTCGACCTCGCGCTTGACGCGGACGTTCAGTCGGCGGTACGTGTCCTCCGCGGCGTCCACCTGCGGCGCGGCGCGAGGCGCGAGGCGCGGGGAGAGGGGGGGGCGGGGGAAGGGCGTCGGGGTGGACGTCGGACGGGGGACGGGCGCGTCGACGACGACGAGAGATGCGCGACGAGCGAGACGAAGCGCGCGCGGGCGCGCACGTCGCCCCATCCGTCGCACTCCAGGGCTTTGAGGTACAGCTCAAGGATGCCGTCGTGGACGGCGCGCCGGACGTCCATCTCGAGAAGACCGGACGGACGCCGCGCGCGACCCACCGCGTCGCGTTCTGCTTGGAGGGGTAGACGTTGCGTTGTTGCACTGAAAACGTTCACGACTCATCATTCCGAGGCGGCGCGCGCGTCACTCGCGATGGCGGCCGCGACGCGTCTCGCGCTCCTCCCTCGCGTCCTCCGCCGCGTCGCGCCGCGATGCGCCATCGCGTCCTCGAGGACTTCGTCGTCCGCGACGACGACGACCGCGGCGGCGACAGCGGCGGCGCGCGCGCGCGCGTCGTCGCCGCCGCCGCCGCGAGCCATCGTCTGGAAACGTAACAACAACGACCGCGTCGTCCGCCGTGCGTCCTCCTCCTCCTCCTCCTCCTCCTCCTCCTCCTCCTCGAACCCGCCCCCCGTCGAGCTCGGCGGCGTCGACTGCGTCCGCATCGCGTCCCTCGCCGGCGTCGACGTCGGCGAGCTCGAGGACGCGCTCCTGTCCGCGGGCGCGACGTGCGTCGTCGTCGAGGACGCCGATCGCGGCACGACGGAGGAGCGCGAGATCTTCGGCGTCGGCCAGGGCGTGTGGCGCCGATGCGACGTCACCGCGATGTTTAAGCCGGGCGCGGACGTCGACGACGTGATGTCGCGGACGACGGAGATCCTCGGGCTGGCCCCGGACGCGCTGCGATACGTCGCGGAGCACGTCCCGGGGGAGGATTGGGTCAACGTCGTGAAGGCGCGTTCGTTCGTCGTTCCCGTGCGACTCTTCCCTTCCCGCGCGGCGGCGTCGTTCTCTCGCGCGGTCTCGACCACACGTTTCGTTCATTTTGACACGTGTACTGTACTGTACACGCGTTCTACCAATCGCTTTCACGAACGACTGACGCGCGTTCACCCTCGACCGATCGAACGCCCTCGCCAGGATTCCTTCGCGCCGACGAAGGTGCTGGACGGCGCGTGGATCGTCCCCGAGTGGTCGCGCGACGCGTCGCTGTCGCGGTGGGGCGCGAGCGACGCGGAGAGCGAGACCGCGCTTCGCGTCGTCTTGGAGCCCGGCCTCGCGTTCGGCACGGGCGAGCACCCGACGACGCGGCTGTGCCTGGGCTGGCTCTGGAGGCGTCGAGAGGTTTTGCGCGGCGCGAAAGTCGTCGACTTCGGCACGGGAAGCGGCGTCCTCGCGATCGGCGCGCGGCTCATGGGCGCGACGCGCGCGGTCGGGATCGACCTCGACCCGATGTCGATCAGAGCCGCGGCGATCAACGCGGAGTTGAACGGGATCGCGGTCGGCGGGGCGAACGACGACGACGACGGCGACGACTCGTTCGTCCTCGCCGTCGCAGACGGCTCGAGAGACGAGGATCTTCCCGACGGGCTCCGCGGCGACGTCGACGTCCTCGTCGCGAACATCCTCGTCGGGCCGGTCGTCGCGCTCGCGCCGCTGTTCGCGAGTTACGTGAAACCGGGGGGCTCGGTGTGTCTGTCCGGGGTGTTGGAGACGCAGACGCCGGCGGTGATCGAGGCGTACGAGGCCGCGGGGTTCGAGGCGTTGACGCGAGAGAGCGAAGACGGGTGGGCGGTGGTGAGCGGGGTGAGGAAATAAACGACTGGCACGATGGCCGCGCGCGGCTGTGCACAGCTGTGCGTCGTCGCGTCGCGCGTCGATGTCGGGGTACCGTAGTATCGTATTCGAGTAGTGTCGATCGTAGGAGCAGGTGGAAGGAAGGGAAGGGGAGATTTCGTCGCCCGGTCGCTGCTCTTCTTCTCGAAAAGACTCGTCCCCGTGCGACCCCGTTCGCGCGCCGCGCGCCGTTCCTTAGTTCGTCGCGTCGACGTCGTCGTCCGGGACGAACGCCGGAGAGACGCCCTCTTCCCCGTCCTCGGACACGACGTCGCCGCCGTCGTCGATCTCGCCCTGCGCCGCCGCCGCGGGGCCGTGCGACCGCGCGCGGTCTTCGCTTCTCGTCTGAGGGTCGTTCTATACAAGCGAACGTCGGGGTGGAGTTGAAAGGCGTCAGTTGGCGTTGAAAGGCGTCGAGGACGGGGATTGAAAGCGTGTTGTGGGCGGAGAGAGACGACGGCAAAAGTCCTTAAGGAACGGCGTTCACCACGCGAACGCGGTCGTACGGGGACCGGTGTATAGAACGCACCTGATGCCCTTCCAACGTCTGCTGCTCCCGCTGGTTCTCGCCGTCGCGATCGCGTTCGTCCTCCCCGCCGCCGTCCGCGCCGCCGCCGCTCGGACCCGTCCCCACCGGCCCGGCGGCGTCAGGCCCGAGGTCGGCGCCGCGCGCGCCCGCGCCGCTGACCGCGCCCCTCGCGCCGCCGCCGTCGCCGTCGTCGCCGCCGCCGCCGCGCGCGCCGCGATGATTTTGGTTTCCGCCGCTTCCGCCGCCGCCGCCGGATCCCAACCCGCCGCCAACGCTGCCGCCGCCGCCGCTGACGCCGCCACCCTGCATCGCGACGCCGTCCTCAGAGTTAATTTCGCCGCCGTGACCGCCGCCGCCGGTGTCGACTCCGCCGTCGATCATCGCGTCCCCGCTGAACCCGCCGGAGAAGCCCTCGCTCAGCGCCGGCGCGTACCCGTGCTCCTCGTCGTCGCCGTCGCCGTCGTCCATCCCGTACGCGGCGCCGCCGATGTCCATCCCGCCCGGGCCCGGCGGCGCGCCCGCCTCGCCCTCGCGCGCTTCGCACTCGCCCTCCGCCTCCGCGCGCTCTTGCGCTTGCACAGCCGCCGCGGTGCCGGGGGGCATCGGCGAGTGCGCGTCGCGGCCGCCGCCGCCGCCGCCGCCGCCGTCTCCCCTCCCTCCCCGTCCACCGCCCCTCCCGCCGCCGGCGCTCCCTCCCGCGGACGTCGTCGTCGCCGCGAACAGCGGCACCGGCGGCGGACCCGCCGCGCCGGACGTCGCCGCGCCGAGCGCGAGCGAGTGCGGCATCCGCGCCGGGGGCAGCCGGCCGCGTTTCACCCCTCTCCCCGACGACGCGCCGCCGCCGCCGCCGCCGCGCGCCTCCGCGAACCCGTCGCCGATCGCGCCGAGGGAGTGGTGATACCCCGCGTCGTCGTCCGCGCACGTCGTCGGATCGCTCGCCCCGTTGACGTCGTGCGAGTCCGCGGCGTAATTGTAATTCACGCCGTCGCCGCCGCCGCCGTCGACCTCTTCGCCGTCGCCGTCGCCGCCGCCGCCGTCGTTGGTCGCCTCCGCGCTCTTCGCGCCGCCGGCTGCGTGGGTGAAGCGATCGGTCAGTCGAACGTCTTACCGGTATAGCGTTGAAAGGGAAACGCGGGTGAAGAGTGACGACGGGAAAAGTCCTTAAGGAACGGCGTGCACCACGCGAACGGGGTCGTATGGGAAGCAGTCTCACCTCCGCCGCCGCCGCCGCCGCCGCCTCGCCCGCCGCCGCGCGTGCTGTCCACCGCGCGCTCGCCTCGGTCGTGATCCGCGGTGTTGCTGTCGCCGGCGCTGTCCTCGCGCGAGCTGCCGGCGCCGAGGTGTCGCTCGCCGTGCACCGTGGACGTGCTGCCGGTGGCGCGGTCGCGGAGCCGCTTGACGGTGAAGACGGAGTTACCGATCGAGTGCGCGGGCAGCGCGGGCGCGGCGATGGTCGATCCCGCGGCGGCGGCGTTCGCGTTCGCGTTCGCGTTCGCGTTCGGGCCCCCGCCGGACGCGATAGCGCCCGCGCCGCCGCCGACGCCGGTGACGCCGGCGCCGCCGCTGTGCGCCGCGGCGACGTGCGCGTTCGGCGCGAACGCGCTAGGGGGCGCGTGCGCGTGCGCGCTGTTCTCGAGATCGCCCGCCGCGCCCGCCGGAACGAGTTGCGCCCCCGCGTCTCCGTCGGTCTCCATCCCCGTCGTCTCCGCGGCGTTCGCGTGCGTCGCGAGCGCGCCGTCGCCGCCGCCGCCGCTCGCGGCGTTCGAGCCTCCCGCGGAGTCCGCGGGCGCGGGCGGCGTCATGCTACAGGGCGCGCCCTTTTGAAAGCTGCGCTTTAATAATCCACGTGGAAACGGACGAACGGATCGCGCCTCCGCGCTCGCCGTCTGCCGGCCGGAGCGATCGACGTCGCCGGCCGCGCGCGTCGGTCGTCGATCCTCGGGGGCGCCCGCGATCGAGTCCGCGACGACGGACGCGAGCAGCGCGGTGTGACGACCGGAAGAGGAGGACCGTTCGGCGACGCGCTCGCGGTGCTGATACGTGTAAATTCTTTTCGTCGTCGACGAACACGACTCGAACGTCTCGAGAGGGGTAAACCCCCGGGCCCCGGGCACGCGACGGAGTCGACGAGAACGCCGCGACGACCTACGCGTATTCTCTCTGCTACAAACACATCTCTCTATCGCCTCCGCGCGGCGCGCTGAGCGAGCCGCCCGTCCGCCAGTCGCGCTCGGTCGATCGTCAGTCCTCCATTCCCCCGCCGCCGCCGTCCGACGCGTCGTCCTCGCCGAACGCCGACGGCTTTCGCGGCGCCGCAGACGCGGGGCTCCGCAGACGCGGCTGGTGCGTCGTGAACGCCTGGCCGAGCATCGCCGCGTGCTTCGCGTTCGTCGCCGCCTGCGCGGAGAGGAAGGAAGGAAGGGAGGAAGGGAGGGAGGGAGGGAGGGAGGCGCGTCAGAGAGAGCGCGAGATCGACGTGCTGGGATTCGTTCGTTCGTTCGTTCGTTCGAAGGAGGAAGAAGGAAGATCTGGGCGGGGCGCCGTCCTCTCGCACCTGCTGCGCGAGGTTGTTGAACTCCAGCGTCGCGAGATGATGTTTGCTCCCCCTCGTCGCGACGCCCGCGGTCGCGCCGCCGTCCCTCGCGACGACGCCCGCGACCGCGCCGGGATTCGCCGTGCTCGCCCCGCCCAGGTCCTCGTGGTCGCGCATCGCGTCATCCTCGCCCTCGAGAACGACGAGCTCCGCGCGCAGCGCCGCGGCGAACTCGTTCAGGTCGACGCTCCCCTCGCCGCCGTCGCGCATCGCGACCGCCCACTCCATGAGCTTCCGCGTCGTGTGCCGCGCGCCCGCGTTGAACGCGCGCTTCTGCGCGTGCACGCTCGAGGTGTACAGCGAGCCGAGGGCGTTCGCCGCGCTTCGAAAGGTGGCGTAGAGCGCGCGATCCATGTCGCGGAGCTCGTCGTGTGGGTCCGCGGAGGCCTTGCGCTTCTTGTTGCGCGACGACGACGCCATCGCGCGCGGCGCGAGGACGAGGGGCGGGACCGCGCGCCGACGCGCCGCGGGGTGTGCGCGCGCCCGAGGCGAAACCGAGTACTCCACTCCACTGGAAGGGACGCGGACGGAGAGCGGACGATGAGTTTTCGTCTCCGCGGTCGCAGAACCTTTAAAAAGTTCATCGGTCGGTTGAAAGGAGACGCGATCAAATGTTGAAACCGAGGCGTGGGTGAAAAACGTGCGCACATCGCGCCTCATCAATCAGCGGTCGTCGCGGAGTCCCGCCGTCTGCGGGCGACCCAGAAGCCGACCGCCGCCGCGCGTCGCCGCCGCCGCGTCGCCACAACGCCAGGCGCGTCGCACCCCACGCGACCGCACTTTCGCTCTCTTCGCTTCGCTTCATCGCGAGAGCTCCGTCGACCGCACACGTCGAACGCGCGACGCGCGTCCCGCGAGCGCGACTCCGGCCCTCCACCGCGCCGGCCACGCTCGTCCACCACAACTCTCATCCTTCCAGCCATCCACCGTCGCCTCCATGTCCTCCTGGGCCGACGACGCGAACGACCTTCCTCCGCCGCCGTCGGGCGGCGGAGGCGGCGGCGGCGCTCCCGCGGGGTGCGTCATCATCGCGTCGTCGCTCTTCGCGAGGATTCGCGGCGTCGCGTTGCGCTCGCGGCGCGCGTCTCCGCGTCTCCCCGCGGAATCGCGCGGGATCGGTCGACCGCTCGATCGACGCGACGACGCGACGACAGACGGCGCGAGAAAAGCGGCACCTTTTCCTCGCGCGTCGCCTCTCCGTCGTCGTCGCTGACCGCGCTCCTCCTCGATCGTTCTCCCCCGTCGCAGCGGTAAATCTTCGTACGTGCCTCCGCATCTGAGGAACCGCCCCGCGGGCGGCGGCGGCGACGGCTTCGGCGGCGACCGCGGCGGATTCGGCGGCGACAGACGCGGAGGCGCGTGTCGGCATCTCTCGCTTTTTTTTTGGGCTCTTTTTTTTTCCCGCGCCGACGCGATCGGCGGTCCGGCGGCGTCCGAGCGCGCGCGCGTCGACGATTCGCGGCGCGCTCGAGCGTCTCGCGCGCGATGACAACGTCCGCGGCGAAGTCGAGGACGCGCGCGGGGTGGCGTCCGCGACGACGCGCGTTCGGGGGCTCGCGCAAACCCTAAGATTTGATGATGCGACGTCGTCGATTGGATCGATCGACGGAATCGTCGCTCGCCGTTCTTCTTCCTTCCCTCTCTGACCGACGCGTCCCCCTCCTCCCCCCCCCACACACACACAACCGCCCACCCTTCAGGCGGCGGCGACTACGGCGGCGGGTTCGGCGGCCGGCGCGACGACCGCGGCGGCGGCGACTACGGCCGCGGCGGCGGCGGCTGGGGCGGCGGCGGCCGCGACGACCGACGCGGCGGCGGCGGCGGCGGCTGGGGCGTCTCGCGGCGCTTCCGCGAGGAGGATCCGTTCGCGAAGCAAGAGAAGGAAGACATGGAAGCGAACGCGTCCTTCGGCGCGCCCGGGAGCATCGACGTGTCGGGCGCGGACCCGGACGCGCCGACCTACGGCGAGTCCACGGCCATCGACTTCGACGCGTACGAGGATATCCCCGTGGAGACGTCGGGGGAAGCGTGCCCGGAGCCCATAGCGTCGTTCCAGGACGTCGACTTCGGGGCCGCAGTGAACAAGAACATCGCGCGGTGCAAGTTTAAGAACCCGACGCCGGTGCAAAAGTACGCGATTCCAATCTCTTTGGCGCGTCGGGATCTCATGGCGTGCGCGCAGACGGGGTCGGGGAAGACGGCGGCGTTTTGCTTCCCCATAATCTACGGGCTGCTCGACCGCGGCCTCGCGGGGTCGCAGCGCGGCGGCCGCAAGACGTTCCCGCTCGCGCTCGTCATCGCCCCCACGCGCGAGCTCGCGATTCAGATTCACGAGGAGTCGCGGAAGTTTGCGTACCAGACGGGCGTCGCGTCGTGCGTCATCTACGGCGGCGCGCCGGCGGCGCAGCAATTTCGCGAGATGGAACGAGGCTGCGACATCCTCGTCGCGACGCCCGGGCGGCTCATCGACCTCGTCGACCGCGCGAAGATCTCGCTGAGCGAGGTGCGCTACCTCGCGCTGGACGAGGCGGACCGGATGTTGGACATGGGGTTCGAGCCGCAGATTCGCCAGATCGTCGAGCAGCGAGACATGCCGCCGACGGGGGAGCGACAGACGATGCTCTTCTCCGCGACGTTTCCGAGGGAGATTCAGCGCATGGCGTCCGATTTCTTGAAAGACTACATCTTCCTCACCGTCGGTCGCGTCGGGTCCTCGCACACGCTCATCACGCAGCAGATCGAGTACCTTCGATCGTACGAGGATAAGAAGAGCATGCTCATGGACCTCGTGCACGCGGTGAAGGGGCTGACGTTGGTCTTCGTGGAGACGAAACGCGGCGCGGATCAGCTCGAGGATTGGCTCAGCCGAGAGGGCTTCCCGAGCACGAGCATCCACGGCGACCGCACGCAGCAAGAGCGCGAATACGCGCTCAAGTCCTTCAGGAGCGGGCGGACGCCCATCCTCGTCGCGACGGACGTCGCCGCGCGCGGGCTCGACATCCCGCACGTCACGCACGTCATCAACTTTGATCTGCCGTCGGACATCGACGACTACGTGCACCGCATCGGACGCACGGGGCGCGCGGGGAAGAAGGGGCTCGCGACCGCGTTCTTCACGGACAAGGACGCCGGGCTCGCGCGGAGCATGATCGAGCTCATGACCGAGGCGGGGCAGGAGGTGCCGAGCTTCCTGAACGGGTTCTCCGGGAGGGGAGGGTTCGGAGGGGGAGGGAAGAGACGGGGCGGCGGCCGCGGGGGGGGCGGCTTCGGCGGGAGGGATTTCCGCAGCCACGGCGGGGGAGGCGGCGGCGGCGGCGGCGGCGGCGACTGGCCTTCACGAGGCGGGGGAGGCGGCGGCGGCGGCGGAGGATGGGGCGGCGGCGGCGGCGGCGGGTACGGCGGCGGCGGCGGCGGGAGCGCGTGGGACTGAGACCCCGCCGCTCCTGGCTGGCCCAGCGCGAGGCCCCAACCTTCCTTATTATTTGTGCGCGACGTGTGCGGTGTGAGAGTTGATTCTTTTCCCGGGTCCGGAAACCCGGCCGGGATGTTGTTAAACGAACGCTCGAGCGTTTGTTCTGTTCGCTCTCTCTCTCTGGTCGCGCCACCTGATTTTCATCCGCGAACGAACGAGCGAGCCCGGCGACGACCGAGGTACTCATCGCATCATCACGCGCCGTCTCCGTTCGAAGCGGGAGCGTCCGCGGGCGGCATCGCCCCCGCGGCCGCGGCGACCGCCGCGGGCCCGCCCATCGGCGCCATCGGCGCGGGCGGCCGCCCGCCCGGGGGCATCCCGAACGGCGGCATCTGACGCATGAAGCCCGCCGTCGCCGCCGCCTGCGCCGCCGCCGCCGCCGCCGCCGCCGCCGCCGCCCTCGGGTCGATCATCCCGGGGCCGCGGCCCACGCCGCCGTACATCCCCATGTTCGCCCCCATCGCGTACATCGCGGCGGGGTTCATGCCCACGCCGCCCATGGGGTAGCCGGGGTAGCCGCCGGGCGCCACGGGCGCGCCGAAGGCGGTCGGCGCGGCGGTCGCGACGGGTTTTTTCGCGGCGGGGACGAACGCGGGCGCGGACGCCTTCAACGTGAACGGCTTCGCGTTCGCGCTGAGCGTGGACATCTTGGCCGCCTCGGCGGGCGCGGCGAGCGTCGACGACGAGACGCCGGCGGCGGCGACAGTCGCGGCGGGCTTCGGGATCGCGCCCGCGGCGGCGGCGGCGGCCGGAGGCGGCGGCTTCACCGACGCCGGCACGGCGCCCGCGGCCCACGCGTTCCGCGAGGGCATCGGCGCGCCGTCCCTCGTCGTCTTCGCGTCGTGCGCGCCGCCGTGCGCGGCGCCGGTGCCGATGACCGCGCCGTAGCGGTCCTCCTCGTCGTAATCCGTCGTCGTCCGTTGCCCTCGCTCTTCCTGCACGTGAACGTTCGACGAAGCCGAGGTCTGAGGGTCGAGGGTCCATACGAAGCGACGTCGGGGTGGAGTTCAAAGGCGTCAGTTGGAGTTGAAAGGCGTCGAGGTGTGTCGGGATTGAAAGCGAGGGACCCTGGGCGGAGAGATGCGCCGGGAACAAAAGTCCTTAAGAAACGGCGTTCACCACGCCGACGCGGTCGTACGGGGACCAGTGTGAATCAGAACGCGCCTGAATCTCGTGCGCGATGCGCGCCGCCTCGCGCTCGGAGATCCCCGCCTTCGATCGGTCGATGGAGGTGGTGTACATCGACTCGTCGAACGTCGTGTCCACGCCGAACATGTTCTTGTTCGCCGCGAACTGGTCCCACGCGCCGCCGCCGTTCGCGCCGCCGCCGCCGCCGCCGCCGCCGCCGCGATGATTCGACGCGCGCTTGGCCGGGTCCTCGAGGAGTCCGCCGCTGGGATCGCTCGGGTCGTCCTCCCCCGGGGTCCACGCGACGAGCTCGCGCTCGAGGCGCTCGCCCTTGGAGATGCCGCCGTCGGTGAAGCCGTCGCCCATCGCGCGGGAGGGCCCGACGGCGAGGTCGCTCATGCCGACGTCGGCGGCTTTGACGGAGACGACGTCGGCGACGACGAACGTCGTCGACGGCGAGGGGATCGAACGCGTCGCGCGCTTCGGCGCGGAGCCGTCCGCGCCCTTGGGGTGCATCTTGAGCTCCGCCATCTTCAGGACGATCTTGAAGTCGTTCTTCTCCCACTGCGGCGTGGCGTTTGTTCGGGGGGCGCGGGGGGAGAGACGCGCGTGAGTCCGGGAGAAAGAACTTGGAAACGACTCTCGCCCCGCGCCTTGGAGACGGACAAAACCTACGCGGGCGGACGGACGGATCCGTCGAGGCGCGCGATCGCGCGCGATCGCGACGCGCGCGCGCGCTGTCGACCGCTCGTCTTCGCACCTTGTCGTCGGACGGAGATCCGGCGTGGAAGACGCCCTCGTACACCGCGCCGTTCGTGAGCTGCGGCGGGGGAAGCGCGGCGGACGGGGGAGGGAATCGTCGTCAGCGAGCGCGCGGGGCGAGCGCGCGCGGGAAGATTCGTTTCATTCGTTCGCTCGACGACGACGTTCTGATCGGATCGCGGGGGCGGACGCGTCGGGACGCGCACCGCGACTTCGACTTGGTACCCGACGAGGACTTGCGACACGAACGCGAGGCGCTCGCGCGCGGGGGTGAGCGTCGACGCGGCCATGGCGTCCGCGAAGAGGGCGCGCGACCGCGCTTCTCAGAGCGCGACGTCGGACGGACGATCCGATCGATCGTCGGTCGGTGTATGGGTCCCTGGTCCGCGCGCGGAACGGGGAGATCGCGCGTCGCGAGAGGGGTCACCGCGCGCGTGTGCGTCGCGTCGATGGACGGCGTGCGCGCGTTGAGAAACGACCGTACGCACCCCTCTCCCGCGACGCCCGCTCTCGCGCGCGTGGGAGGAAGAGAGGCGCGACCGCATACACCACACGTAACCTTACTGTTTAACTGTTGACTGTACTCAGCTTAAAAGCCTTCCTTTCTTTACTTCTCTACCTTACCCGATCGTCATCCTCACGATCGTCTCCTCCAAGCTCGCGATCTGATCCTGCATCGCGTCCAGACGTTCGATGACCAGGCGCGCGAGTCTAGCCGCGTCGTCCCCGGTCGCCGGCGTTCGAGCTTCCAACCGCGCGCCCGGGCGCGGCGGCGCGTCCCACGGGCTCGGCTGCAACGCCGCGAACTCCGCGGTCGGCAAGACCTCGACGTCTTCCGTCCCGACCCCCGCGCCGCCGCCCGCGCCTTCCTCCTTCTTCTTTCCCTCCATCTCGGTGCTCTTTCGCGCGAGGTCATACCTAGACCTAGACCTAGACCTAGACCCTAAACCCATCTCGGTCAACAGCGGCAGCACTTTCATCTCTTCCTTCGCCTTCGCGAGCGCCTCGAGCCGTTTCTTCTCGCGCCACTGCGCCATCTGCGACTTGCGGTATTCGTCCACGAAGTTGGAGCCGATGAGCGTGATCGGCATCGCGATCACGATGATCCCGGCGAACAACGTCAACACCGCGATGAACCTGACGCGACGCGGAGGAGGGGCGCGATCGGTGAGACGTGAAGACGACGCGGCGCGTGCGCGGTAAAAACAAAACGAACGCGCGGATTGGACGCGTCGGGAACAGACGGCGCGCGAAGTCCAGTCCTCGAGAAGGATCGATCGACGCGCGAGAGACGCGCGAACGGGGGTCGCGTGGCGAGGAGCAGTCGCGCACCGTCCATAGAGCGTGATGGGAAACATGTCGCCGTATCCGACCGTCGTCATCGTCACCGCGCACCAGTACATCGAGCGCGGGATGGAGTCGAACGGCGCCGCCGGGCCGCCGATGGAGTCGTTGGTTTCGTCAGACGGGTTGTGCTCGTTCCCCAAGTTTTCCGCGTAGTAAATCGCGCTCGAGAAGAGGATGTTCGCGATGAGCATGAAGTAAAACAGCAACGTCAACGGCTGCACGGATCGCTGCAACGCGCGCGAGAACAAGTCCGCGCTCGCGTTATACCGGTTGATCTTGAACACGCGGAACACGCGGATGAGGCGGACGACGCGCACGACCGAGAACGCGCCGGTGCCGCCGCCGACGATGAGCTCCAAGTACCACGGAATCACCGCGATGATGTCCACGACGTTCATCGGATTCTTCATCCACTTCTTCAACCCCCGCGCGTATTTCCCATCCTCCAGCGGCACGGACGACATCCGCACGCTTATCTCCAGCGTGAACATCGCTATGCAGACGCCCTCGAGGATGGAGAGCGCGTACATCGCGTCGTCGTCGCGCGCGACGGTCGGGATCGTCTCCACGATGAAGACCACCGTGGCGATGACGATGAAGAAGATGACGAGGACCGAGACGACGAAGTTGACCGCCTTCGTCGTCGCGGACGGACGATCGCCTGGGTTCGTGGGCGGCGTCGAAAGGCAAGGCGCGTCGGTCGGAGTTGAAAGACGGGCGGGCGTCATCGCGGCGTGTGCGCGCGCGCGTCGGGAGGGATCGAAACCGAGGGGCGGGCCGGGCGGAGAGAGACGAGACGACCGCCACCAGCCCGGAGAGAAATGCTTCCGGGAACGGCGCGACCGCGTTTTTTCACGCGGACGCGGACGCACCTCGCTCTTCGAAGTACGTGTACAGCGTGAGCTGCCAGTGGTACCGGAACGAGACCGGCTCGTCGTTCGTTCGCACGAGGATGAAAACGTCCCCGCCGCCCTCGCGGCCCTGCTCCGCGAGGAGGTGTATCTGATACTTGCGCCAGGCCCTCTGAATCTGAATCGCGGCGCGAATCTCGAAAGAATGCTGCAGCATGTGCTCTCGGTTCCGGGCCTCGTCCTCGTGCGCCTCTCTGTCGGCGCGGTCATCGCGCGGTGGGCGGCGGCGGGGTGGGCGATGTCAGCGGTGGTCGCGGGCAGAAGAAAGAAGAATCATCGATCGCGGCGAGACGCGAGGCGCGGGCGCGCCGGGACGCCGCGACGAGACTTGTCTCCCGTTCGCGTCGTATGCATCACAGAAAGAAACATCGCTCGCGACGCGTGCGGAGTCGCGAGCGGCAGGGTTCGCGCGTCTCACCTAATTGTCTTGAACTCCATGGTCTTCGTGGACAGGGACGCCGCCGCGGCCGCCATGACGCGTGTGCGCGTTGACGACCGCCGCGCACGCCGCGCGCGAGTGCGTGTGCGCGCGCGACCGCTTTTCGAGGTTAAGTGTGTGTAGATCTGATCACAAAAAGACTGATGAGCTCTAAAGAACCCATCCGGGCAAAACATGTGATCTAAATGCGAGCAGACCACACTACGAACAATCCTCTCACGTAGTACTGTAAGCAACCCCACGACAGGATTCATGAACCCCATGTGAGCCTCACGAGCGCACGGAGCCGCGGCGATGTGGAAAGCCCTACGTGTACGTGTACAGTACATTCATATGCAGAGTTGGCGGACGCGATTTGCATTTAATTTTTTCGTCGTCAGCGCGTCGCCCCCCCCGTGAACGCCCTGAACCCCAGCTCCCCAACCCTCCCCGTCTTCACCGTCCGCTCCCTCGGCGCGCCGTCCCCGCGGCGAGGCACCGCCGCCGCCGCCGCCGCCGCGGCTTTCCTCGCCTTGGCCCTCTCCCTCTTCTCCGCCTCCTCCCGCGCTCGGATGCGCTTCGCCTCCGCGTTCCACGCCTCCCCGACAAAGGCGTCGTCGACGCCCTTCTCCGCAGCCTTGACGCGCGCGTCGAAGAGCGCCGCCTTGGCCTTAGCGTCGCGGTCGCGGTCGCGGTCGCGGTCGCGGGCGGTCGCGGTCGGCGGCGGCGGCGGCGGCGGCGGCGGCGCGGCGGCGGCGGCGCGCGTCGCGGAGTCGGCGCGAAGGCGCGTCTCCGCGGCGAGCTTCCGCGTCTCGCCGCCGTCGTCGGTGAGTCTGCTTCCCATACGACCGCGTTCGCGTGGTGAACGCCGTTCCTTAAGGACTTCGTCGTCGCCGTCGTAGAGACGCGTTCGCTCCACCTTCTCCCAGAGCTCGTCCCTGAGAAGCGACAGCGCGCGGAGCTCGCGCGACGTCTCCGTATCCGGTCCGAGCTCGCCCATCTTGAACTTGTGCAGGTGACTCCCCGGTTCGCCCGCGTCGGTGGAAGCCGCGGCGGCCGCCGCCGGCGCCGGCGCCGGGTTCAGCCGCCGTCGTCGACGCATATCCGCGTACGAAGGCAACGCGCGCTCCTCCCGCGGCGGCGGGATCGTGTCCGCGGGGAACGTCGAATCCTTCGCGACGCGTCTCGGGACGTCCGCGTCGTACGGCAGCGGCCAGAGCGTTTCCGGCGGCGGCGGCGGGTCGTGCGGCGGCTCGAAGAAGCGCGCGTTTCCCGGGTGCGCCGGATTTGGCGCAGCCGCCGGCGCGGCGGAAGCCATCGGCGGAGGGACCACCTCGGGCGGGTCCGAAGGCGTCGGGAACATTCGGCGGATCTCGTCCTGGTCTTCCGCGCTCAGGGGCCCCCCCTTCGCGGCGGCGGCCGTCCGCGCGCCGCAGCAGGACAAGCCCAACCTCCTCCAGGACGCCAACGCCGCCGCCGCCGCCTCCTCGATCTCCTTCGCGGCGGCGCCCTCGCGGTCAAAGTACTCCAGGAGCTCGTCCTTCTCGCGCTTCAGCGCGTTGAAGAACGCCGTCCTCGCGGGGTGGCGCCCGTCCGCCAACGCGTCGAACCCGTAAGGATCATCATCTTTCTCTTCTTTCGCTTCTTCGTCGTCGTCGTCGTCGTCGTCGCGGGGCGCGCGCGGCGACGGCGCCGGAGACACGCGCGCGGCGTCGACGCTGCCGTCGCTCTCGTCGCCGCTCCCGCTCGACGCCTCCTCGGTCCAGGTTCGAACCGGCCGCACGACCGCCGGCGGCGGCTTCGCGTCGAACCCGCCGAACCCGCCGCCTTCCGTGGCGATGCCGAAGCTCCGCTTGACGCGCTCGTGTTGCTTCAGAAGCGCGCTCTGCTGCGCGGCGACGCCGTCGGTTTTACTTTTATTTTTGTCTTTCGACGCCTCCGACGCCTTCGCCTTCGCGGGCGACGGCTTCGCCAGCGCCGCGCGCCTCCCCTTCTCCGCCACCGCATCATCCTCATCCTCCGAGAAATCCCCGTCGCTGACGTCGTCGTCGAGATCGAAATCCTTCTCGTCCCCGAGGACGTCGTAGTCCGGTTCGTCTTCGCTCGTCGCGAGCTCGTCCTCGAACGCCTCCCGCAGTAACGTCTCCTCCTCCTCCGTCACCTCCGTCGAGATGACGCTCTCCGTCCCGGGGCCGCCGCCGAGGAGCTTCGCCTTGAGCTTCTTCATCTTGAACTGCTCGTACTCGCGGTCGAAGTCCACGGTGGGGCCGCTCGGGATTTTCCGGGCGCGCGCCGCCGCGCCGCCGCCGTTGGGCGGGCCCGCGCCAAACTCGGGCGCGCGCGTCGCGACGAATCCGAGCCGCTCCTGATTGGTCGAGGGAATCCACGTGTCAGTTATGAATGCGTGTGATTGGTTGATACCGTTCCCGCGTGTCAAAACGTGCGGTTGACGTGGGACGTGGTCTCGGTTCGGTCTCACCTTCGCGCGTCCGACGGCTTTCGATTTCCGCGCGCCCTGCGCCGCCGGCGACTTCGGGCGCGGCGCCTCCGCGAACGCGACGCCCGCGCGCGGGTTGTGCAGAGCCGGCGGTTCCGTCATCCGTCGCGGCCCCGCGCTCGTCTCGTGCTCGTGATCCAGCGGCGTCGGGCGGCGGGGTTCCACCGGGCGGCCGTTCTCGTCGCGTCGCCGCGACGGCGGCTTGGATTCGTCGTCGTCATCCTTCGCGCGCCTCCGCGGCTCGAACCGCACGGGGCCGAGGCCCGCGCCGCCGGCGTCGCCGTTCCGCCCGCGCACGCGCGCCGGGGACGACGCCGCGTCGCGCGCGCCGCCGCGCTTGGACGGCGACGTCGAGCGGCTCCGGCTGCGGTCGAATACGCGCTGGTTCGCGCTCAGGGGGCGACGCCCCGGGCGGACGGTGAACGACCCGCGCGCGTCGACGCCGCCGCGGACGAGGTTCTTGCTCTGGTGCAGCGCTTTCTTCGCCTGCGAGGACGGACGGACGGACGGAGGGGGGATGTGACGGGACGGACGGGGGGACGCGGACGCGAGGTGAGCGGCCGGACGCGGAGGGAATCGACGGCGGGGGAGGAGGATGGGGGTGAGGGAGAGATGAGATGGACGCGACGAATTTGAAATCTCGGAGGGAACGAGCGAGGCATCTCAGCATCTCGCGCGCTCGACGCCGCACCTCGACCTCGTCGCTCGAGAGCTTCCACTTCTTCAGGTCCGACGTCGTGTCGTCCCATCCCGGGCGCTGGTCGTCGAACGTGATGTGCCGCGTCCGACGCTGTCGCGGCTCCCCGGGGCGCCCGAGGAGCGGATGCGGCGGCCTGCGCGGAACCTTCATCGTCGCGCCGGCGTGAATGCGACCAGACGACGCGTCGAACGGCTCTCCGTTCCCGATGAAAGGACCTGAAATGAAAGGAAGGCGCGCGCGTCGACCGACGACGTTGAACGCGGCGGGCGGATTTGATCGGACACGCAGGGTGAACAGTTGACCCTGCGCTCAGGTTCATAAGTAGAAGCAACACGCTCGAATTCGCTCTCTTGTGTACCCACCCACACGCGCGGGCGCCGCGGGAGGGTGTAGCGAGGAAGGCGCCATGGCGTACGAGCCCATGGCGTCCCGGGTGGAGGGAAGGAAGGACTGGACCTTCGGAATGGAGTGCGTCCTCGCCCGCGCCCGCGCCCGCGGCGTCGTCTCGCCGCGCTCCGCCCGACGTCTACGTCTCGCCCTAAAACGTAAATGCGCCGCGCGAATCTGAACACCCGACGTCCGTCCCTCTGGGCGCCCCTCCCTCCCTCCCTCCGCAGGGACTCGACCGTGCGAGACGAGCGCGACGACTCGTTCATCACGCACGACAGCTCCAGCTCCAGCTCCAGCTCCAGCTCGGACGACGACGAGGAGGCCGTCCGCGGCGGCGTCCTCGCCGGCGACGTCTCGGTGCGCGGCGCGCCTCGTTCGATCGAACGAATCACACGTCGATCGATCTCCTCCGCGGTTCCTCCGTCGCCCGCCGTCGCTTCATTCTTCCCCCCCACCCCGACGCTCACGCTCGCGTCCCCCTCCACGTCTGTCTCGATCGCGTCGTCGCCGCAGGACACGGACAGCGAGCGCGGCGACGATGCCGCGGCGCCGCGCGCCGCGCGCGAGGAGGAGCGATCGCCGATGCTCCCGCGACGCGGCGGCGAGACGAGGACGAGGAAGCGCGACCGCAAGAACGTCGCGTCGTGGCTCGCGTCCGGGCTCGAGAACGCGTCGTCCGACGACGACGACGACGACGACGTCACGCGAGGAAACGACGCGGAAGCGACGCGACGCAGAGCGAATCGCGAAGCCGGCGCGCCGATCGCCGTTCGAGATGGAAATGGAAATCGAAATCGAAATCGATTCGCCGACCACCCCGGCAACGCCGCCGCCGACCCGACGCTGCGCGCGCGTCGGCACGGGCACAAACAGAAGCGTCGCGCGTCGCGACGCGACGTCGAGGGCGCCGCGGAGAAGGCGAACCGGCGCGAGACGAGGGAGACGAAGCGACGCCTGGCGAGACGCCGCGCGTACGCGCCGGCGTCGGCGGCGCTCGTCGCGAGACTCGCCGCGATGTATTTCGCGTTCGTCGTGATCGTCCTCGCGGACGTCTTCGCGACCGCGATGGCGTGCTACGTCAACCCGGGCGCGCACGTCATGAACGACGGCGCGGACGCGACGTGGACGGCGTTTTGTCTGATGGCGCTGATCGGCGCGCCGGCGATGGCGGCGCATCTCGCCGGGTGGTAAGGATCCTCTCCCTTCACCGTATCTTCGTTCGTTTTCGTTTCATGTTCTACACGTTCGTTTCCGCCAGTTCCGTCAGATGACGACGGCATCTCGCGACATCGTCGCGATTTACTCTGTCTATTTCATCGCTTCGTCTTGCGTTGTTTTTTTGGGTTCGTCAGGGCGATCTCATCTTCATCCCGAGCACCCTCGGCATCATCTCCATCTCCCTCCGCACCGCCCGCGGGCACTGTCGTTGTCGCTGTCGCCGTCACCGTCGCTGTCGCTGTCCTCTTAAACTGCTTCGGTTGGCATCGGTTGCGTCGTCCTCGGGATCGGCATGGCCCAGAACTTCGATCATCAGTCTGTTCCGTCTGCATCACTCAAATTACACCGTCCCACCTCTTATCTACCGCTTCGGGCTCCCCACGTCTTATATCGCTCGCGTTATAACTTGACAAACTACTCGGGCGCGTGCGTGTCTGATTGTTTTTTTGTGCGGGTGTCTCTATCGGCTGGGCGCTGTTGCCCGCGGCGTGGCCCGAGACGTTTCCGGACCTCGAGAAGAAGATCGGCGAGCTCGGCGGGAAGCTCTTCTTCCGCTTCTGCCGCGCGCGCGCCGACGGCGGGGACGCGCGGAGGGGCGGGAACGCCGGCGGCGGCGCCGCGCGGACGCGCTTCGCCGTGAACGCCGCGCGCGAGACGTTATCGCGGGCGCTGCCGAACACGACGTGGGAGATCGAGTTCGTCGGCGAGGAGCCCCTCTCCGTCGCGTCCGCGAGCGTCAGGGAGTACACGTACCCGGAGTCCGTCGCGCTCGGCGGCGGCGGCCGCGTCGGGACGTGCGACCTCCTCGCGTTCGCGTCCGAGCGCTCCGCCGCGGGGTGGGGCGATTGGGTGATTCACATGGGCTCCGACGGCGTCTTAAATCAGAGAGCCGTCGACGCCGTCGCCGCGCACTGCGCGCGCGAGTCGCGCCTCGTCGCGCTCGCGTCGTCCGCGGAGCCGCACGCGCGCAGAGGCGCGTTCGGCGCCGTGTTTCCCGGGGTGTCGCACCTCTCCGGCGCCGACGGCGGGTGGCTGTTAGACGACGGGTACGGTCGCGGCGCCGGCGAGCTGACGCGCAATCAGGCGCGTTCTCCTTACACTGGTCCCCATACGACCGCGTCGGCGTGGCGAACGCCGTTCCTCAAGGGCTTCACCCGGCGCATCTCCCCGCCCACACCTCGCTTTTGATCCCCGCCCTCGGCGCCCGTCAACTCCCGACTGACGGCTCTCAACTCCACCCCGACGTTCGCTCGCACAGAACGCGCCTCTCAGGACGACGGCGTGGTCGTGGCTCGCCGGGTGCGCGGCGTCGCGCGTCGCGGGGGAGACGCTGGGGTCGACGCGGCTGTGCGGCGACTTCGGCGCGGTGCTGACGACGCTGCCGTCGTCGTTCGTCGTGCTTCCGAGCGAGCTCGAGCGCGGGAGGGGTTGGGCGTCCATCGCGGGGGGCGGCGGCGGCGGCGCGAGGGGGCGGCGGGAGAGCAGAGGCGACGTCTCGACGACGCTGATCGAGGACGACGACAGCGAGAACGCGACCGTCGCCGCCGCCGCTTCCACCGGCGCGCCGCCCGGCGCGGGGATGGAGCTCACCGCGTTCGCGCTGCGATGCGCGCGGACGAAAGGCACCGAGTTCGCGTGGCTCGACGCGGGCGCGCACGCGAGGGTGATCCCGGACGCGCTCGCGTTCTTTATTCAACGCGCGCGGTTTCACGGCGCGGGGCGGACGCTCTGGTGGCGAAACCGTTCGGGGTCGAGCGTTTCGGAAGGGAGAGTGGGGAAGGGCGCGGGGTCGACCCGCGACCGCGACCGCGACCGCGGCGTCGATCGACCGATCGCGCGCGGGTGGCCCAGGATTTTCATCGCGACGCACGCGCTCTCGAGCGGGTTCGCGCGGCTGGCGCCGTTGCTCACGACGGCGGCGCCCTTCTTGCGCCACGGCGCGTCCACGCCGCTGTTCGCGATGAACGCCGCGGTCGGCGTCGTGACCGCGTCGGTCAGGGCGGAGTACGCGGTCGGGTTTTTCGCGTCGGTGGGCGGCTCGAGGCTCGCGTCCGGCCGCGCGAACAGCGGGCTCGCGTTCGCGGCGCTGTTTCTGTTGACTGTCGCGCTCGTGCCCGTGTTCTCTTTTTTCGAGCTCGGCGCGCTGGTGGGGTCGCTGTTCGTCGGCGCGGGCGGGCGAGGGGGAAGGGGCGACGTGGGGGTGTACGGGAAAGGGTACGACGAGGCGAAGATACCGCTGCGAGCGGCGGGGGCGGCGGCGTCCGACGCGGACCCGGGGGCGGCGGACGTCGAGCGCGGGGAAAGAAGGCGCGTGCGGTGGACGCGGGAGACGCGCGTGTAGACTGGACGACTGACGCGACGCGCGCGCTATGATACCACCCTGTGTAAGTTACAGTATGATACGAAGGTATTTATAACGTCACGCGCTGCACGAAGACTGCAACGCACGGCGCGAGACGATAGATTCGTCTCGTCCGTCTACCGAGGGTTGACGTGGTCGCGGTACCGACGAAATTTCAGGCACACGAGCGGCGGGTCTTCGAACGGCGAGCGCAACCCGCGACGCCGATTCTTCTCCGCGGCGGCGACCGCAGCCGCGGAGAGGACGCCTCCGCCGCCGCCGTCGTCGTCCGCGTCGGTTGACGTTCCATCTTCCTCGCGAACGTCGCGGCCGTCGAGCGCGTCCGCGATGGTCCTCACGACGGCGCTCGCGACGCCCGCGACGGCGGCGGCGGCGACGCGCGCGGCGCCGGCGACGCCGCCGTCGCCGCTCCCGTTTTCGTTCCCCGCCAGCCGCGTCTTCGCCCCGGGTCGGAGGTCCGCGTCGTGATCTTCGTTCGACAGCGTCGTGAACGGCGGCGGGAACCGAAACGCGCTGAAGCCGGCGGTCATCGCACGCGTCTCCCCCGGCTTCATTCCCTCCAACGACGACCACGACTTCTCGCCCTTCCCGACGTACGCGTGCGTTCGCTCCAATCCGCGAACGCCGCGCCCACGGCGGTTGACTGGTTCCCATACGACGCCGTTCGCGATGTGAACGCCGTTCCTTGAGGACTTTCGCTCGCGCGCGCGGCGGTCTTCTTCCTCCGAGTCGTAGTCGTAATCGTGATCGTCGTCGTCTTCGTCGCTCGAGTCCTCGTCCTCCTCCGAGTCGTCGAAGACGATAACGGGCCGCGCGAACATCTCTCTCGTCGCGCGCGCGGCGTCCCTCTCGGCTCGCGCCGCCGCGTCGTTATTATTCCCTTTTTCTCCGCGGTCGAAGATCGCGTCCCCCGGTCCCAGCGCGCGCGCGCGGCCGCGTCGCCCCGCGCGCACCGCGTCCGCGCGCGCGAAGACCAGCTTCGGCGCGCGCGTCGCGACGCCGCTGACCGCTCGCGCGCGCGACGGGTCCGCGTCGTCGACGACGACGACCCCGTCGCGGATCGCGACGCGATTGTGATGATCCTTCGAGAAGGAGGTCCTCTTCTCCAGCCGCCTCTCGCTCGCGGCGTCTTCGACGGACGCGAACGCGACGACGCCGCGCCCGCGCGCGACGACGCACGCGCCGTGAACGCTCGAGAAGAACCCCGCGCCTCTGGGCGCGCGCTCCGCGCGGCGAGACGCCTCTCTCTTCACGACGGCGTCCGCGGCGACCGTCGCGGCGTAATAATCGTCGCTCTCGCCGTCCGACGCCGGCGTCCACGCGAACCGATCGCCGAGCGGATCCGCGTCGGTCGACGTTCCATCTTCCCCTCCTTCGTCTTCTCCGCGTCGTCCGCGCGCCGCACCCTTTCCACCCTCGTCCTCCTCCTCCTCCTCCTCCTCCTCCTCGTCGTCGTCGTCGTCGAGCGCCGACGGCGTCCGTCGCGGATGCGCGCCGCCGCTCGGCAGGCACCGCTCGTCTCTTCGAATCTCCCTCGCGAGCCTCGCCCTCGCCGCGCGCGCGCCGACGATCGTCTCCGCGCGCGTCCACACGTCCAACCCCGTCTCCCCCGCCGCGTCTTTGCGAACGTCCGCGAGCGCGTACCGCGTCTTCGTCGCGTCGTGCGCGAGGACGTAGTACGAGCTCTTGGACTCTAAGATCACGTAGCCCGCGTCGTCGATCGGGGTCGACGACGTCCTCGTCGTCGTCGTCGTCCTCCTCCCCGTCGCTCGCGGCGGCGGCGGCGGCGAGCGGCGGCGCAGCGCGCGGAGCGCGGACGTCTTTCGCGTCTGCGCGTCGAGCTCCGCGCGCACGACGCGCGCGCGCTCGCGCCGCGTCGTCGTCGTCGTCGTCGTCGTCGTCGTCGTCGTCGTCGTCGTCGTCGTCGCGGTCGACGCCCCGCCCGACGACGACGCGCGGTCTTCGTCCTCGTCTTCGCCGCCGCGGTCGCCGCCGTCGCCGTCGCGCGCGGCCGTCGCGCCGAGGTGCAGGCGCTGCGGCGTCGCGTGCCGCGTCGACGCGACGGTCGCGTCGTCCGCGGCGCGCTCCTCGCGCGTCCGCGACGGCGCGTACCACGAGTACCGCCGCTCGATGCGAAATCGCCCGTCGCGCGGCGCGCCCTGCGCGACGACGTGCGGCGCGAGGGGTTCCTCGCGCGGCGGGTCCGGTGCCCTCTGCGCCGCGAGCGCGCGACGCGCGGCGTCGCGGTCCGCCGTCGCGCGCTGGTCGTCCACGCGCGACGCGCGCGACGTCTCCGCGCCCATGTGCTAGCGCGCGATCGATCTGTTGTCGAAAAAAATATTCGCGCGCGGTGAAAAAGGCAAGAGCATGTGAAGTTGTGAACTTTCGAGCGATCGACCTGAGCGGTCGCGTGGAGCCTGACCGGTCAAGCTCGGGTTCAACCCGATGAAACGTGTACACACATTTTTTGAGTGAGACTGATTTGCATACACGAGATTTTGTACATAAAAGCTACGAATCCGAGATTACAGCGCGAGACATTGATTCATTGATTTCGAACCGCGCGCCAATTTTTTTTTAACCCACCCCACAGTTCCAACTTTTGATCGCGTCCCCGTTCAACTCACCGATGAACTTTATCCGCCTCGTCAGATACGAAGGTACCGAACGCGACAACGTTTACTTTTCCCGTCGTCGTCTCCGTCGAAGCGCGCGCACACGCGCGCGCGCGAGCGAGGCGCGACGGTCGCGCGCTCAATTTCGATCGCACGGCCGCTCGAGCGACCGCGCGAGGGGTGACGCGCGTCGTCGGCGTCGCGAGGCCTCGGAGCGCGAAAGCTTTCCCTGGTTTTCGCTCTCGTAAAAAGAGCGCCCGCGTCGATCGCTTTTTCCGTTCCTCGCTTCCGACGTCAATCGCGGGATCCGCCGCGCACGGCGTCTCCGAGCGTCGCTGCGACGGCCCGCGCGCGTCCGAAGCGCTCGAAGCATCGCGAAGGCGAGGAAACGCCGCGATAGCGAGCATGACGGACGTCGTCGAGCCCGCGACGACCGAGAATGCGACGGTCGAGCGACGACACCAGCGAACCGCCTTCGCCGACGAGGAGGCGCGAGCGCCGACGGATTCGGGCTCGGACAGCGAGCACCGCGACCGCGACGCGCCTCGCGACGGCGACGCCGAGGAGGATAAACGGTACGCATCATGAGACGAGCCTCCGCGGACGCGCGACGGCGTCGCGCGCGCGTCGTCCCGTCCCCGGCCCCGGCGGAAAGCCGGGGTGCAAGATATTTTTTTCGCGCACAAGTGGAGCCTCGGCCGGTGACTCATCAATGCTGGCGCGGCAACATCATCCGCGGTCGGTCTTCGTCGGTTTTTTTCCCCGAATCAAATCAATCGTCCGGACTCACATCGCCTCCCTCCCCCGCCCCCCACCCTCCTCCGCAGCGTCCGACGGATGCTGTCCAACCGCGAGTCCGCGCGCCGCTCGCGCCGACGCAAGCAATCCCACCTCGGCGACCTCCAGGCCAAGGTGGACGCGCTCCAGGCGGAGAAGAACGACCTGTCTCGCGCGTTGCGGGCGATGCAATTCAACTTCCAACGCGCGCTGGAACGCAACCGGTACGTTCTATCTCACACTGGTCCCCATACGACCGCGTCGGCGTGGTGAACGCCGTTTCTTAAGGACTTTTGCCGGCGTCTCTCTCCGCCCACCCGTCGCTTTCAATCCCCGCCCGCGATGCCTTTCAACTCCACCTGACGCCTTTGAACTCCACCACAGGTACGCGAAGCGCTCGCTGAGTTACCTCCGCGAGCAGGTGATGAGCGACAGGACGCTGAGCCGCGAGGCGATCGTCGCGGCGACGACGGCGGTGATGATGGAGCGCGCGCCCGCGCCCCAAGGGGAGCCGTGCGTCGGAGGAGGAGGATACGGCGGCGCGCTCGAGGCGCGTCCCATACACTGGTTCTCATACGACTGCGTCGGCGTGGTGAACGTCGATCCTTAAGGACTTTTCCCGGCGTCTCTCTTCGCGCACCCCTCGCTTTCAATACCCGCCCGCGTTGCCTTTCAACTCCACCTGACGCCTTTGAACTCCACCCCGACGTTCGCTCGTATGGAACGACCCCGAGGCGGCCACCGCGGGCGCGGGCGACGCGCCGTCGGCGGCGGCGCGTCGTCCGGCGGCGGCGGCGCCCGTCGCGGCTGAGGACGACGCGATCGATCACCACCACCACCGCGGCCACCACGGCACGCACCCGGTGCTGCGTCAGATGAACATGCACGACGCGCGCGCGAACGGACTCTTCGGCGTCGGCGGCGCGAGCGCGGGGTTCGCTTCTCTCGGGTTCGTCGGGGCGGTCGACTCCGGCCCCGGGCCGTCTCTCGGGTTCTCCGGGGCTGGCGACTCCGCGACGACGACGACGACGGGTCCCTCCTTCACCTCCCCCGGCGGGTTCCTCGGGCGAGGGAGCATCGGAGGTTCGTTCCAGGGCGGGTTCAGAGGCGTCATCGGCGACGGGCACGAGGGGTTGATACTTCCCTCATCTGGCGACGACGGGGTACGCGGCGGGATCGGCGTCGGCGGCGTCGGCGGCGGAACGTCGTCCGACGCCGAGGCCGCCGCCGTGGTGTCGCGTCGGTTCCACGCGATGCCGTTCCCGGGGCCGCTGGGGGCCGGGGACGACGACGACGACGACGCGCTCGCCGCCGCGGCCGCGGCGGCGCGAGGCGCGAGGGAACCGAGCCACGGCGGAAGCTCCGGGAACAGCGAGTACGACGCCGTGGCGTTTCGCGCGGAGGACGGGAAAGGCGGCGACGGCGACGGCGACGACGACGACGACGACGACGATGACCCTCTCGACACGCTCCTCCGCTCCTGCACGAACGTCGACGTCGCCGCCGCGGACGACGCGCTCGAGCCCATCGCGTGGGTCGCGGGCGTCATCGACCCGGACGTCGTCGACCCCGCGGGCGGCGGCGGCGGCGGGAGCGCGGAGAAGACTCGGGCGGCGGCGGCGACGAAGTCCTTAAGGAACGGCGTTCACCACGCGAACGCGGTCGTATGGGAACCAGTCACGACGACGACGACGACCGAGACGGAGGACGCGCCGTCGCTCCTCGAGTCGCCGCCGCCGCCGCCCTCGACGACGACGCGTCCGATCAACAACAAGAAGATGGACCGCAGTGACTCGATGAACAGAGTCGCGTCGCTGGAGAGGATGAACTACCAAAAGACGCGCACCGCGACGCGGGGGGGGTCGCCGTCGCCGCTCGGCGATCCGCAGAGAAAGGCGAGCGCGGCGTCAGCGATCGCGTGATGGGGGGAGGGGGCGGACGGGACGGGACGGGACCCCCCGCGCGGACGACGTCTGAGACGCGCCGCGCGCGCGCGATGTACGAACATCACGACACTATTACGCTTAGCTACTACTAACGTCGCGAGACGCGTGTATATCATACTACGACCGCCGCCTCGAAACCGCGAAAGACGATCGAACATCGAATCGCGTCGAATCCCTCATCATCTTCCTCCTCCTCCCCCTCCCCCTCCCGTCCCCAGCGCGTCAACCTCCGCGAGCAACGCGTCGACGTCGAAGTCCGCGCCGTCGTCGCCGTCCACGTCGTCGTCTAAATACGGCAGCGCGGACGTGTGCACGCGGGTGTACATCCCGCGCGCGGGCTCCAGACGGTTCACTCGCGGCGCGCTCGAGTCGGACGACGCCGCGTCTGAGTTCGCGTCCGAGTCCGAGTCCGGCGGCGGAGGCGGACGTTCGTCGTCCGAGGACGAGAACGACGGCGACGAGCGCGACCACGCTCTCGCCGCTTTCACCTCGATCACCGTGGACGAGGACGCGGCGACGATTCTCGGGCCGGCGCGCGGCGGCGGCGGCGGCGGCGGCGGCGGGTCGACCTCGTCGTCATCGTCGCTCGCCTTCGTCGTCGTCGCCCCCGGCGGCTCGCGGCGTTCCGGACGCCGCTCGCGCCGTCGCGAGCGTTCTCTCTCCGCCTTGCCCTCGGACTGCCACGCCGGGGCGGCTCTCGAGTCCCCTCCCCCCCCCCCCCCGCCGCCGCCGCCGCCTCCTCCTCCTCTCTCGCTTTTCTTCTTCTTCTTCCTCCTCTTCTTCTTCCTATCCCTATCCCAACCCGCGGTCTCGTCGATCTCCCGCCTCGGCGCCGGCGGCGGCAGCATCGACACGATCCACGCGTGCGTCGCGCCCTCGCGCGTCACCGGCGTCGCGCGCGCGTCCCTCGCGAACCGAGACGACAGTCGCGCCTTATCCTCCCCCGACGCCGCGCGTAACGCGTCCGAGATCTGCCGCCGCCACCGCGCGCGCCCCGTCGCCGCGGGCTCGCCGCCGCCGTCGTCGCCGACGCCGACGCCGAGGTTACACGCGAGCCTGAGAAAAAGGTCGAGGACCGCGGGGGAGGACGACAGCGACGGCACGGAGAGGAGACCCGCGGGCAACGCGTCGCGAAGAGGATCCGACGCAGCCGCCGCCGTCAACGTCGCGCCGCCGCCGCCGGGTCGGTCCGCGAGAAGCCTCTGCCGTAACGTCCCCATCTTGAACGTCGCGACGCCGAGCGCCGCGAGCGCGTCGCACGCGCGCGTCCGCGCGCGATGCGCGCGCGCCGCGTCGCTCGACGACGCGCCGCGCGCTATCGCCATCGCGCGCGTCAGTGACGGCGTCAAAATCGTCTCGACCATCTCGCCGCCCGCCACCGCCTTCCGGAGCTGTGTGCTGCGTTCGTCCGACGCGAGGAGGAGGTTACTCACCGCGCGCATCGCGTACATCGCGGCGTCGGCGTCGGCGTCGGCGTCGGCGTCGGTGCCTCCGCTCTCCGTAGAAACGCTCGCGTTTTGACCGTTATCGCGATCGCCGCGCGTCGACGACGCCAACGCCGGACCGAGCGCGGCGCACGCGCGAGGGATCAGATCGATCTCCAGCGTCGTCTTCACGAGCTCCGCGCACTGCCTCTTGAAGTGCATCGCGAGCGTCCGGATGTCCTCGTCCCTCTCCCCGCTCGCGAAGTGCGCGTCCGGAGTCGTGAGCTCGTGCATCAGCTGCGCCGCGTGCCGACGAAGGAACGACGCGTCCGGGCATCCGGATCCGACTGAGGGTCGAGGGTCCGCACGAGCGAACGTCGGGGTGGAGTTCATAGGCGTCAGGTAGAGTTGAAAGGCGCCGAGGTGTGTCGGGATCGAAACCGAGGGGTGCGCGTAGATATGCGCTGGGAGAGAAAGTCCTTCTTAAGGAACGGCGTGCACCACGCCGACGCGGTCGTATGGGAAGCAGTCTAAGGGACGCGCCCGAGGCGGCGTCCAACGCGTCGACGACGACGACGAGCGCGGCGGCGACGGACGCGCGCGTCATCTCGAGGACGTCCGTCGCGGTGAACGCGTCGCCGAGGACGCGGAGGAGCGCCTGAAGCACGCGCGCGTGCAGCGGCGACGGCAGCGTCGTCGTCGCGTCCTTCTTCTTCTTCTTCTTCTTCGACGCCGACGACGACGACGATCCTCTCTTCTTCCCACTGCTGCTCTTATTCGCGTTCGACGCCTTCGACGCCTTCGCGTCCGCGTAGAGCTCTTCGTCCTCGAACGCGCGCTCGAACGCGTCGTCGAGCGCGCCGAGGACGCTCAGCACGAGCGCGTGGTTCTCCTCGTGCAGCGCGAGCGCCGCGACGAGGTCGATCGCGACGCGCCGCGAGCGCGCCCCGCCGACGCCTCCGTCGTCGTCGTCGTCGTCGCCGCCGTCTCCGTCGTTATTCATCTCTCGCGCGAGCGCGTCGCGCAGGAGCGGAGCCGCGTGCGACGGCACCGCGCGCGGGCGCGTCGTCAGCGCGTCGACGAGCGACGCGCACGCCCTGCGGAACGCGCGGCGGTCGCTCCCGGCGGCGAGGAACAGCGACAGGAGCGTCGCGTCGTCGGGCGCGGGCGGACGCGGACGCCGGTCGTCGTCGTCGTCGGCGGCGGCGTTCGTCGCGCTGACGTCGTCGTCGTCGGCGTCGTCGCTCGGCGCCGCGGTCGAGGACTCGCGGCGTCCTCTCGGGTCGCGCCCGCCCGGCGCGCGCTTCCCGCGGCGGTTCTTCCCCTTCCCGAAGAACTTTCGGAACATCGCGGCGCGCGTCCGCGCCGCCCGCCCGCGCGACGGCGCGTCGCTCGTTGTGTCGTGTACGCTCGATCGAGTCAGCAAATGCGATACGCGAACGCTTTTCCCGACGAGCGTAGACATCCTTTTCCAATCCATTGTCGACGCGCGCCGAGCGCGCACTCGACGCGTCCACGATGCTCGCCGCCCCCGCGCGCGCCGCGGCGACGCTCGCGGGAGGCGCGCGCGGCGCCGCGCGTCGTCGCGCCGCCGCCGCCGCCGCCGCGCGCGTCGCCGTCGTCCGCGCGACTTCGTCTTCGTCGTCGTCGTCGTCGTCGTCGTCGTCGTCGTCGTCGTCGTCGAGCGTCTCGGACGCCGCGCCGCCGGAGACGACCGTCGCGCCGTCGACCCCCGGGGACCCCCGGGGACCCCCCGCCGCCGCCCCCGCGCCAACGCCGCGCGCGCACGCCGTCGCGCGGGACTCCCCGCTCTTCGCGTCGCACCCGCTCTTCGCGTCCACCACGGGCGGGCGCGTCGTCGCGGACCTCGCGCTCGTCGTGGACGAGATCCCGCTCGGCGTCGTCGACCCCGTCTCCAGGGTCGAGCGCGTCGCGAAGATCGTCCGCCCCGCGTCCGAGGACGAGGTGCTCGACATGTACGTCGAGCTAGGCCTGCTCGATCGCGATCCGTACTGGGCCGCGCTGTGGCCGTCGTCCATCGCGCTCGCGCGCGGCGTCGCCGCCGCCGCGGAGCGCGACGCGCGATGCCTGCGAGCGACCAGGGGGAGCGCGTCCGCGAGGGCGGCGGCGGCGGTGGCGGGGAAGGACGCGTGCGATCTGGGGAGCGGGCTCGGGCTCGCGGGGATCGCGGCGGCGATGTGCGGCGCGAGGGAGGTGGTGTTCTACGACCGCGAGCCGCTCGCGCTGCAGTGTTGCTTGCTGAGCGCGGAGCTTAACGGCCTCGACGTGAGCGTTTCAGGGCGAGGGACGGCGTCTGGCGGCGGCGGCGGCGGCGGCGACGAAAAATCGACGCGGCTGTGCGACGCGGAGACGTTCGACTGGAACGCGGTGCCCGCGGACCAGCGGACGTTCGATCTCGTCCTCGCGTGCGACGTGCTGTACGAGCCCGGGATGGCCGCGCCGGTCGCGAGCCTCGTGCCGACGCTGACGCGGCGCGGCGGTGGACGGTGGCTTCTCGCGGATCCGCCGAATCGCGCGCCGCGAAATCGGGAGAAATTTTTGGAGCTCGTGTACGAAAACGGAAAGCGCGACGGCTGGGGGGGGAACTGCGAGACGTCCGAGCCTCGAAGGGAGATCGTGACGCACCGCGGGTCCACGGACGAAGTCTTGCTCATGGACTTCATCATCAAGTGAACGTCGTGTGCGGTGTACAAAACAATAAGATATTAATATTAACTCATCATCGTGTTCCTCCTCACTCGGAACCTCCATCTTCGCCGTCCCGGTCCGCTTGCCTCCTCGCCACCGCGGCGGCAGCCTTCTGGAACTTCTTCAGAACCGCGGCGTCGACCAACGACGCGACGCGCATCTTGTCGTCGCGGACGCCCACGCCCTCGACCCACCGCGCGTACCACGCGCAGAACGCGTCCGCCGCGGGCGTCGCGCGCGGATTCGCCGATTTTTCAAACGCGTCGTCAAACGCGTCGTCGTCTTCGTCCACGCCCTCGTCGTCGTCGTCGCCGTCGCCGCCGCCGTCGCCGCCAGACGCCATGTCGCGCGCGATCGCGGCGTACCTCTCGAGGAACTCCTCCTCGGTCTCGTTCGCGACGCCGCCGGCGTCGTCGGAGTCGGAGTCGGAGTCGGAGCCGTCGTCGTCGTCGTCGTCGTCGTCGTCGTCGCCGTCCTCCTCCCCCCCGTCCGCGTCGTCCGCGGCGACGAGGTGCGCGACCCCCGCCATGGCCTCCTCCAACGCCATCCCCAACCTCTTCTTATCCGGCGCGTCCGCTCGCCTCGCGTCCGTCATCGCGTCCAGCGCGGCGGTCAGCGCATCCACGTGCGCCGCCGCGCACGCGTCTCGCCCGTCGACGCACTCCGGATCCTTCAGCGACCACGCCGCCGTCGCCGCCGTCTCCAGGTACGCGCGCGCGTACCCGACCGGGTCCGCGGTCGCCATCTTCGCGGGGACGCCCACGGCGACGAGGAGGTGCAGCGCGGCGCGCGCGGCGCGCTTCGTGACGGCCGCTTCCGCGGCGTTCGTCGCCGCGGCGGCGACGTTGGTCGACGACGCGATGGACGCCGACGCCGCGCGCGCCGCCGCCGCGAGGGCTCTGCATCCCGCGAGCACGCGCGCGGCGTCGTCGCTGTCCTCGATGGTGCTCGCGGCGACGGTCGCGCCGGGGTTTGCGATCGCGGCGACGCGAGCGCGCGGCGCGGCGACGACGACGTCCGCGAAGACGTCCAACAGGTCGTCGTCGACGAGGCCTTCTTCTTCGCCTTTCTCGTACCACGCGGGTAGATGTAACGCCCAATATTCGACCGTTTTCCAGACGATATCAGCGCACTCGGACGACGCGCCGCCGCCCGCGTTCGAGGTCGCGGTCTCGACGCAAAAACGGAGGAGCGGCGCCATCGCGGCGTGCGCGGGAGGCGTCGTCGCGCCGTCGTCGTCGTCGGCGGCGGCGTCGGCGGCGGCGTCGGCGTCGTCCGCATCCGGCGGCTCCAACGCCGCCGCCGCGCGCCAGTACGCGAGCACGTGCTCGCACGCCGCGGCCGCGATCGTCGCCTTCGCGTCCGCGTCCGTCTTCTCCGCGCTCGCCTTCGCGGCGGCGTCGACGCCGTCGTCGTCCATCCCGGGCGTGGCGCCCTCGTCGGCGGCGTCCGCGAGGGAAGCCACCGCGTCGACGGACGCCTCCCAAGCGTCGAATCCGGGCGCGTCCACGTCGTCGTCGTCGTCCACGTCGTCGTCCACGTCAGCGCCGCCGTCTTCCTCGCGCGCGAACGGCGCGAACGCGGCCACGATCCTCGCCGCGATCGCGCTCGCGTCCGCGGGCGTCATCGCTCCGCGCGCCGCGTCCGCGAGCCCGCTCAGCGCGCGCAACGCCGGCGCCGCCGTCCCCGGGCTCGTCTGACGGTCGTTCCGTCGTTCAAAGCGACGTCGGGGTGGAGTCCAAAGGCGTCAGATGGAGTCGAAAGGCGTCGAAGGCGGGGATCGAAAGCGAGCGGTGGGCGGAGAGAAACGTCTTTCGGGAAGAAAAGTCCTCAAGGAACGGCGTGCACCGCGCCAACGTGGTCGTACGGGGACCAGTCTGAGGGACGTGCCTCGATCAGCGTCGTCAGACGCGCCGCGCACGACGCCACCGCGCCGGACGCGGCGACCGCGCCGAACGCCGCGGGCGCACACGGCGCGTCCGCGAAGACGGACCGCGCGGTCCACGACGCGATCTCCCTCGCGACCGCCCACGCGTCCTCGTCGTCCACGTCAGCGTCCACGTCAGCGTCCACGTCAGCGTCGACGCGTCGCTCGAGCGCGGCGATCAACGCCGACGCCGCCTCCCTCGCGACGCGCTCGTCCCTCATCGAGCCGCTCACCGCGTCGACGTGCGCGCACGCGGCGACGACGACGTGCGGCGACGCCGCGGCCGCGATCGCGGGGAAGCTCTGCCTCGCGAGGAACTGCCGCAGCGCGCTCGCGGAGGGCGCCTGACGTCGGCGCGTCTTCGCCGCGCTCGCGAGCGCGCCGTGGAGCGCGAATAAACCGACGTACGTCGCGCGCCCCATCGCCGCCTCCGCGCCGGGAGGGGCGTACGTCGTCACCGCGCCGGCCGCGGCGGCGGCCTTGGAGACCTTCCCCTCGAGTTTTTCTCTCGGCGCGCGGGAGAGGAGGTCGTCCACGACGGCTTTGAGCGCGAGCTCGCCGGCGGTGGGCGGTTTTTTTCCGCCGCCTTCGTCGTCGTCGTCGTCGTCGTCGCCATCCTTCCCCGCCTTGTCGCGCTTGCGCTTGTTCTTACCCCCCCCCCCGCCGCCGCCGCCGCCCGCGGGGGCGGCGGCGACCGCGGCGTCGTCGCACGGCGCGACCGTCGTCACGAGCGACCGCACGAAATCCAACGCGGCGGCTCTCGCGGTTGCCGCGCCGCCGCCGCCGCCGCCGCCGCCGGCGAGCGCGTCCTCGATCGCGTCCCCGACCGCAGCCTCGCCGACGGCGTTCACGCGCGCGTACTCCTCCGGGTCCTCCCGCAGCGACGCCTCGTCCGCGTCCGTCAAGCAGACGTGCGGTTTCACGCACGACTCGATCAACTCGACCAACGCGCGCGTCGCGTCCGTCGCGTCCATCGCGGCCCCGTCGACGCCCCGGGTGAGCGCCCTCCACGCCCTCGCCCTGAGCTCGCCCGCGGCCGCCGCCGCCGCGCCGCCGCCGCCGCGCTGAGGCGCCCCGGCGACGTCGAGGATGGACTCGAGGAGCGCGAACGCGGCGGCGACGGAGGACGGCGAGGCGATCTGAGGGCCATTCCAATAAAAAAAATGTTCACCGGTCAGTTGAAAGGGGGAGCGATCAAATGTTGAAACCGGGCGATGGGTGAAAAAAATTTGTCGCACCTGAGGCGGCGCGGAGGCAACCGCGATCGCCGCGCGCGCGAGCGACGAAAAGTTCTCGGCGGAAATTTTCGCGGAGTGCCGCGCCGCGAGCGTCGTCGCGAGTCGCAGCGCGCGCTTCGCCGCGGTCCAGTACCCCGGATCGGCGTCGCGGTCTCCGTCTTCTTCTTCTTTCAAAATGGGAGCGCCCGCGCACGTCGTCTCGATCGAGTCGCAGATCGATCGGAGGGTCGCGGGGTCGTCGAAGAGCGCGGCGGGCGCGTGCGCGCGCGTCGCGCGAAACAGCGTCTTGAACCCGACTCGCGCGGTGAACGCGAACGCATCGCGCTCGTGCGTTTTCCCTCCTCCTCCTTCGCATCCTTCGCGCAGCGCGTTCGCCGCGGCGGCGCACGCGGGGACGATCACCGGCGCGAGGACCTCCGCCGCGAGCGTCTCGAGCGCCGCAGGCGTCGCCTCCTTCGCCGCGGTCAAGTCGCGAAAGTATTGGAACCGCGCCGCGGCGGCGTGCGTCGCGAGGAGCCCCCCGGGGTTTACGGTATCATCGCCCGCGCCCGCCTTTATCAGCGCCGCGACCTCGCGAACGAGCTCTGACGACGCCGCGTCGTCGGAGGAGGAGGATGACGCCGCGAACGCGGCCGCGGCGTCGCCGGACGACGCGTCTCCCGACGACGACGACGACGTCGTCGTCGCGATCGAGAGGCAATCCGCGATGAGCCTTCGCGTGTCGCTCGGCGCCTTCACGAGCGCGCGCAACGCCGCGCTCGTCAGCGCGCGCGGCGACGGCAGCGCGATGGAAGCGTCGCCCGCGCGCGCCTTGCGCAGCGTGTTCCTGGCGTACGTCGCCGCCGCGAGGCGTCGCGTCGCGGACGCGGACGGGTCGCGTCCTTCCGCTTCGACGTCGCACGCGATGGATAACAGCGCGACGCACAGCGCCATCGCGTCTTTCCCCGCGGCGGCGGCGAGTTTGCTCGCCGCGGCGTCGCGTTTGGACGCGTCGAACGACGTCACGTCGTCCAGCGCGGCGTGCAGCTTCTCCGGGTTTAGCGTCGTCGCGGCCGCGCTCGTCGTCATCGTCGTCGTCGTCCTCGTCGTCGTCGTCGTCTTCGCGTGTCCTTCTCGTATCGCCGTCGTCGTCGCGCACGTCGTCGTCGGCACCGCGTTCGTGACCTCCGCGAACGCGATCGGCATCGACCGGCGCCGCGGCGACCGGCTCGAGCGCGCGGGCGGGTGTCTTCGCGCGCGGGGGGTGTGCGGCGACGCCGGAGAGATCTGCGAGGCGTTACGATCTGTACTTCCCCCCGCCCGCGCCACCCTTCCCTTCTGTTCGAAAGAACCGCGCAGCGCAGCGCGTAGTTTGAACGACGACGCCGCGGTCGCGGAGCGATGTCGGTCGGTTTCAGGTTTCGCTTCATCGGACCACGCGCTCGATTTGAAACCAGGCCGTGACACCGTGATTTCAGTTAAAAAAGAGTGTCTTCTTTTGTGTGATCTTTTGAGGTCTTTTGTTGGGGCTTTCTGAACGGAGCGGGGGGCTTTTATCGCCCACTGTGAACTCGACGCGCGAGAACAGATTCGCGCGCGCGCAGGGACGAGGCGCGGACGCGGACGCGACGCATTCACGCGACTCGCGATCGCGATCATGACGCGAAACGAACCCGCGGAGGACGCCGGCGCGATCGCGACGACGACCGCGAGGGGAATCGCGTCCGACACGCAACGCGTCGGGCTGACCGCGAACGCGGCGAACGCGTCGGAGGCGCCCATCAGCGCGGAAGATCTCGCGACCGCGGCGGAGCTCTTCGGGTTGCGCCACGCTCAGGAGGCGCCCACGGGCGAGGGCGAGAGGGAGGCCGCGTCCGGGGTCGCGCACGCGCGCGCGGACGCGACGATCGAGACGGACACGCCGCCGTCGACGGAGGCGAACGCGCCCGCGCCCAAGGCGACGACGACGCGCGAGACGAGCGGGAAAGAAGGAGGAGAATTGGCCGCCACGAGCGCGTCGCTGGGGCACTCGTCCGGGGCGACGACCGCGAGCCTCGCGACGACGTCTGAGGCGACCGGGATCACGAACGCGACGAACGCGACGACGACGACGGGGGGCACCGCGCGAAGAGGAGGGCACGGGCGCGCGCATCCGGTCAAGTTCAAAGGTTGCTGCCTCGTCGACAATTGCGAAAACCCGCGGAAACAGATGCTCCAGAGAGCGCGAATGTACCTCACGTGCGCGGAGCACGCGCGCGCGAAGATGGTGATGTTCAAAGACGAAGAGTGCCGCGAGTGCCAGGCGTGCCGGACGTTCCATCCGCTGAGTGAATTCGACGGACTCAACAAGACGTGCGAGACGCGGCTGTCTCGGAAAAAGGTGAGATATCGCGCGCGGACGCAGTCGGGCGCGGTGTCTGGCGGGACCGTCGGTTCAGGGGGTATGCCGCCGCTCAGTGGCGCAGGGAGTGTGGGCGCGGGAGGAGGAGGAAACGCCGCGAAACGGCCGCGCGTCGGGGGTTACAACGACGGCGATCACACCGCGACGACGCCCGGCGCGGCACTCGCGGAATCGCCGCTGTACTGGCCGCCGTACGGCGGCGCCCCCGGCGGTCTGGGCACGTTCCCCGGGTCCGGTCCCCCGGTGTCCTCGGACGCGGCGTGGATCATCGCGGAGGCGTCCGCGGAGGCGTTCCGAGCGGCGGTGCAGCGATCGGTGGCGAACGCCATGGGCGCCGGCGCCGGCGGCGCCGGCGCCGCGCCGGGGTCAGTCGGCGGCGGAAACGGGTTACCCGGCGGCGCTCACGCGATGGGAGCGTTACCCGGCGGTGTTCACGGGTTACCCTGCATTCTCGGCGGCGCCCCGGCGACGGACGCGTTAGCGGGCATCCCGGGGGGGGCGCACGGCTCCGCGGTGATGAACTTGGAGTGGATGCGCGTGAATCAACTTTTAGGGATGGCGCAACAGTTCCAAGCGCAGCAAGGCGCGGAGGGGTCCAACGGGGTGTTTCCGCCCGCCCCGCCGGGTCCGGACGTGGGGTCGGGTGGGAACGGCAGCGCGGGCGCGCCGGGGTGCTGCGTCATGTGATCACCGGGGGCGGGGTTGGGAGTACGGCTGGCAGTCTAAAAAAGTTGTGGACTGCGGCGACGAAGATATTTTCTTTCTCCATGAGATGGCGGCGACGCCTTCGAGGGCGCCATCCGCGATGGTGCGCGCACCGAAGGGTTCAAACATCAGCGTCAAACGACGCTCGTGCGTAGCTGTAGTTCATTTTTCAAGCACAAGAGAAGAACGCCTCCCGAGTCGCCGACGACCCCGGGAAGAAAATAGGGCTACGTGTACTGAAAAACGACCGATCCCAGTCTACCCGTACGTGTACCAGTCGCGAGGCAGGCAAAGCGGCGTCCGGGCGCGGGCGAATCTTTAGTCGGCCGGTCATAACCGAGGGGCGCTCGTCAGTCGACCATGGCGCACGCGCCGCAGCGCCCCGTGCGGCTCGAGCCCGGCGCGGTGCTCTCGAACGGGCGGTACCGCGTCGGCGCGGAGATCAACCGCGGAGGGACCGCGGTCGTGTACGAGGGATTCGATAACGCGCTGAGCATGCGCGTCGCGCTCAAGGCGCGCGCGCGCGGCCGCTCGTCTTTCTCTCTCCGCCCCGTCCTCGCCTCGCGCCTCGCGTCGCACGCGACGCGCGAAAGAGAAAAAAAAGACGCCCTCCGACCCGCGCCCTCCTCCCTCCCTCCCTCCGCAGGTGATGAACGTGACGCCGGACGGGACGATCGCGGTCCCGCTCCCGGCGGTGAAGCGCGAGATCAAGTACGCGACGAAGCTCGGCGCGAGGGCGCCGAGGGCGGGCGAGGCGAACATCGTCCGCCTCCTGAACGTCGTCCAGGAGGGCGAGGCGAGGCTCGACGTTTGCCCTCTCTCGCCGTCTCTCGCCTCTTCCCCTCCCTCGCTCGCGCGACGACGTCCCTCCCTCCCTCGTCCGCGCCGCGTCGCTCACGCGCTCCTTCCGCCGCGTCCTCCCCGACCCTACGCCACGGCGATCTTGATCCTCGTCTGGGAACTCGTCGACGGCGTCGACGTCCTCGACCACCTCAACGCGCGCGGCGGCAGCCTGAGCGAGCGCGAAGCTCGAGGCTTGTTCCGCCAGCTGTGCCGCGGCGTCTCGCACATTCACGACCACGGCTTCTGCCACCGCGACATCAAGCCCGAGAACTGCATGATCGAGCGCAGCACGCACGCGCTGAAGATCATCGACTTCGGGCTGTCCAAGCACCTCGACAGCGCGAAGACGGTAGGGATCGGCACGCCCGACTACATGGCGCCCGAGATGCTCGCCGGCGCCGGCCGCGGCGCCGGCGGCGACCCGTCCTACGACCCCCAGGCCGTGGACGTGTGGGCGATGGGCGTGATGCTCTACCTCATGCTCACCGGAAGCTACCCCTTCGAGGACCCGAGTCGCCCGGGCGACCTCACCGCGACGCTGCGGCGCGTGAGAGAGGGGCGCGTGAACGCGATGCCGCGCGGGTGCGGCTCCGCGTGCGTGCGCGATTTGCTCGCGCGAATGATTCGCGCCGCGCCGGGGGAACGCGCGACGCTGCGGCAGGTCGCGTGCCATCCTTGGATGATGGAGATGGACGAGAAGGAGGAAGGCGTCGACGACGACGGGCGCGGGCGCGGGGCAGAGAACGCGCCCGCGGTCGCGAACGCCGCGGAGAGCGGCCGCCGCGGTCGCGGCGGCGGCGGCGGCGGCGGCGGGTTGCCCGGGTTCGCCGCTCGCGTCAAGCGGTTCATGAGCATGAAGTGAGGGCGACGCGGCGACGCGGCGACGCGACGCGCAGGGCGGGGTAGGGCATTCGACGACGAGGAGGACGAGGACGACGTGAAGAGCGATGCGCGAGCGTGAAGGCCTTCGGCGAATGACGACGACAACGACGACGACGACGTGAGAGCTCACTTAGAGGCGCACAGCTTGCGCGTTTTGATGAAGCCACTGCATCAGTTAGTCAGTGTGGTGCGTGCTGTATAGTTTCCCGGGGGGGAAGGCGCTCAGGCGGACGCGTTGACGCGACGGAGAGAGGCGCGGACGAGAGCGAGAGAGCGACGCGACGGAGAGAGGCGCGGACGAGAGCGAGAGAGCGACGCGACGTCGCGACTGACGAAAAAGATGCATGCATTCCGTCTCGATCGAACGCCGCGTTTTCCTACACTACTCGTAGACTGCCCGTAGACTACAGTACCCGTACCAGCTCCGCGCGAGCGGCGGCGCGTGCGAGTGTTTCAGCGCGGAGACGTGCTCGGGGGATCATTCATCTTACAATATACACAACTTAACGACCCTTCTTCGATTTTACTTTCATTTTGGCAGCAGCGTGCACCGCGGTGATGGCCCCTGTTTTTTTTGCCGTTGGCGCCAGATTGACGCACGTGACTTCTTTATACACGGCGAGGTAATCGTTACCCTGGGTATCGTTCACCCCGAGGAAGATTTTCTTTGTTTTCGCTTCATTTACGGCGCCTTTGACTTTATCCATGAACTCGTCCTTGAAGGCTTTCCTCGCCGCTATTTTGAAATCCTTGTTGTACTTTTTCACCGCCGTCGCCGCGTCCGCCGCTTCTTTCTCGTTCTGCTTTTCCTCCTTCTGGACATCCGCCGGTGTCTTCGCGACGTGCATGTCCGCAATCCCAACGGGTTCAACCGCAGACGTGCTCGCGACATTATCCGCGTGTCCGATCCACGTTTTCAGATTTGGGAATTTAAGCTCCTTACGCGGCCAAATGTGCACCAGAGTGATGTGCGGTTCCGCCGTGCCAACCACTGCCTCGGCGTCTTCTGAGGGGTCTTTCTTTTTCGCCGCGGCCAAGGCTGCGTTCAGTGCTTTGATCGAGAAGCCTTCAAAAGTGATGCGAATATCGAGTTTGTACTCGGGAACTCCCGCGTAGAAGTACTTGCCGAGGGCCATTTTTTTACTGTCCTTGCACTTTGTCTTGTCCGCCTCCTCGTATTCGAGGTCGACGAAATAAGGCGACGCGTCCGCGGACGTCGGGGCGAGATCCACTCCGACGGCGAAGGGCCAAAACATTTGGAAATGCGGGCCAACGCACGCGCCCAGCAACCACGGAATTTTTGCACATATCTCGGCGTGGAGTTTCAAAACTTTAAACGAGAGCCCGACTTGGATCGCCGCGGTTTGCTCTTTCGGGGTGCCGAAAGAGATTTGATCGTTGTGCCCGCTGAGGTGAATATGCGGCGGTTTCTTACTCAACGACATTCCATCCGCGGCGTCCGTGGATACGGTCCAAGGCCAACGGAATTCAAAGGCGATGTCGACGATCATCTCGCCCTCGTGATAGAAACTCCACGGGAGCAATATTTCGAAGTCCGCCGTGAATTTCAGTTCCATCATCTGTCCAAACCATTTAGAGTCGTGGCTGAAGATGTAACTAAGCTTTTTTCTCAATTGCGCACATTGCTCCATCATCAGGTAGCCGCCTTTGTACCCGTTTTGCGTCGATTTTGTCTTGAATCCGGGGAGATCGACGGATATGACGAATTCCAGGTGTTCGGTGAGCTTGATCGCCGAGACGTCCTTCATGTCGAGTTTGTCTATCACAGAGTTCTCCGTCACATCCTCGTCACCGCCGCCGAGGTTTGCGGAGACGTCGACCGCGGCGTCGCTGTTGCGAAGATCCTTCGTGATCCGCTTGACCTCGCCGAGCAGGTGCTCTTCCAATTCACCCAAGAAGGCGTCGTAGTTTTCATCGTCGTGAATCCCGAGCGTCGTCCCCAGGCCCGGCGGAAACGAGTCGTCGTCCGCGTCGAGACCGAGATGAGACATGAAGTGCGGAAGATAGCTGGGAAGAGAGGTGACTCCCTCTACAACGCTTTTCTTCCAGCTCTTTTTATTTCCGCTGGGTTTAGGCTGGTCGTTTACGGATTTTTCAATCTTACCATCCGCGTCGAAAACTTCACCAGCGGTGACCTTGGGATTGATTTTGGCCCACGTCTGAGTTAGTTTCTCACGAATCGATTTCCCGGGGGGCTTGTCCAAGTCCATCGTTTCGTCATCGTTGATTTTTGCCTGGAGGTCCGCGATCGACATCGCGAGAGCCTCTAACTCTTCCTCGGCCTTCTTGATCTTGTCCACTTGGTCCGCTTCATCATCGATCGCTTTGTCAGCGGCACTTCGCTTCGCAGTTCCCCCCGCGGAAGATTCCTGGGCAGTCTCCAACGCGTCCACCGCAGTTTTCTTCGCGGTAGAGAGAGGACCCAGAGCTTTCTTCAAGTTATCCAAGGCAGTCTTCTTCTTTGTCTGCTCTGCCTGAAGCTTCGTGAGCTCAGCTTTGTGATTTGCCAAGTCGACCAACTGCGATTCCCGCTCTTGCATTTCCGCCGCAGCTGCGTCTGCCTTGCCCTCCGCGTCTTTGCACGCCTTAGCCGCGACGTCTGTCTTGCACTCCGTTTCGACCACTTGTTGATCTTTATCGAATGCTTTATTCGCGGCCTTCAGTTTCTTGTCATTTTCTGGGTTCGGGCATTTTTCTGGGTTCGGATTACCCCTCTTGCGCTCCAAATAGCACGTGAAGGACCTGATCTTCGCCCATAACCATTCGACGCCCTCGAGGAAACCGTTGATAGTGAACGCGATAAGGTCCAACACCGGCGAGATCGCGGCGATGAACGCGTCGAATGCCATCGATGCGATGGACTTCAAGAGGCCGCTGGGTATCTCCAAAAGTTTCTCGGTCGGGCACGCATCCTTCGAGGCCGCCGTGTCCACATCGATTGGCGTCTTTCGGATACAAAGTCTGACGCCCAATCCCATCCCGGCTTTCACCTCCAGGGCGCGAAAGATTCGTTCTTCCTTTTTTCCGGCCACGGCATCCCATACTCACCGGACTTATACTCACCTTCATCGGCATCCCAAGTGGCACCATTTTCGTACCCCCACGCGAGATCGTTCTGGAGATCATCGGTCGAATCGTCGCAGTCCGCGAAAAACTTCCAACCGAGTCGCGCGGTCGGCATGGCTTCGTGTCTCTCCCGCGCTCTCACCGCGTCCTCGGACAAAGGCTCGTCTCTGATGTCCGAGCGTATGATCGAGCGGACGAGGTCCCAGTCGACGACTTCCGTGAACGCGGAACCGAGCGAAGCCTTTTCCGGCGCGTCAGGCCCCAAACGATCTTCGATCTCGGCGCCGTATTTCTGTTGCATGAGGCAGTCGACTTTCTTCTCGCGCGTGAACACGGCGTCGAATAGTTTTTTCCCGAGGTTCATCACGTTGTCCTTCATCTTCGACAGCTCCGCCAAGAGATTTTTCATCCCCGCCGCGGTGTTCATCATGGACGTCTTAAACACGTTCACGAACGAAAACGGCAGAGACGGGAGTCCCACTCCCAGAGTCGCGACGTCGCCGCCGGCGAACGCGAACTGAGCTCCGGGAGGGACGCCCTGAAAGAAGTGCCGCGCGATCCGCGCCTCGCGCGCGTCCAGCGAGTACAGCGGGTCGTTCGGCGTCGGCGTCGTCGGCGTCGCGCGCGCGTCCGGGTAGCGGTACGCGCTCGCGAGTGGGAACCGAAGCCCCCCGAGAGCGCTCGCGCTCGCGCTCGCGCTCGAACCGAGCGCCGCCGCCGCCGCCGCCGACGACGACGACGCCTCGCCGCGCGCGTGCGCGAGCTGCGTGACGCCAAAGGTGGCCGCCGCCGCGGCGACGGCGACGGTGGCGACGAAGAAGAGAGAGAATCGCAACTCGCGGAGACGGTCCGCGCCGCCGCCGCGGACGCCGCCGCCGCGCGCGGGCGTCAGCAGCAGCGCGTCCGCCGCGGACGCGTACCTGGGGATGCTCTGCGTGTGGCGTCGACGACGAGGCGACGTGGGGAACGAAGAGTGGACGGCGCGTGAACGGGCGGGCGAGAGACGGTGAACGAATGAAATGAAACGAAACGAAGTGATGGACGTTCGTCCGGTAGATCCGGCCGCGCGACGAGTAGACGCGAACCCTCCGATCGATCGCCGCGCCGCGTCGTCGCGTCGAGCGAGGGGACGACGAGTGAACGCGACCGCGATCGACGCGCTCGACGAGCGAGCGAGCGAGCGAGCCAACTCGCAGCGAGCGCGAGGTTCACGTCGCGGCGCGCACCGTGGTCGCGGGCATCGTCGAGGCGCTCTCCTACTCGCTCTCGACAGCGCGCGAGCGGGGGTAGGGTTGGAAAGAGCGTCTCCGACGGTCGTTCGGCCGGCGCGGAAAACGTCTTCTCTCGCGGGACGCGACGTGGTCGTGCTCGCGCGCGCGGAGTTTGCGTTCGTTCGCGAGAGGTGGACTTCAGATCACCGGTCGACGCGCGCGAGCGCGAGCGCGACGCGTGCGGCGCGCGTCCGAGAATCGTCCCTTGAACGTCAGTTGTAACCTCGTGGTGTGTTACCTCCGAAAATCGAAAGGTCGCGGTCGGGCGGTCGCGCACCTCGGTCGCGCTCGCGGTCTACAACTACTGTACGTGACAACGTTGTACCGAAGGTACCTTCGTACGAAATATCCCCCGTGCCGCCCGAGTTGCAGATTTACGCCGGTCTACGGGCAATTAGTCAGAGACGGCCTAAAGTACGTACGTGAAACTCAAGTCGAACGCGTCATCACCCGCGTCCTCCGCGTCACTGGGAGAGGCGCGACGAGGCGGAGGCGGTCGCCCGCGCGAAGGGATGGCGCGCCTCGCGGTGATCCCCGCGCTGTTCTTCGTTCTCCTCGCCGCGGCGACGACCGGTGCGTCGCGCTCGCGCGTCCCCGCTCGCGCGACCCCCTCGCGTTCGCGCGCGACGAGAATAACACGTCACCGCGATGAGAGGACGCCTTCCCCCGCTGAGGCTTCGCGCTCCCCCCCGTCCCTCCCTCGTCACCTGCCTCCCGTCGCTTCCGCAGGCGGCGCCGGCGCGCGCGACGCCGATTCCTACGGCATCCGCGACGCGCTCGCGTTCCATCCGGAGGCGAACGCGACGTCGCCGTCGCCCGCGGCCTCCCGCGACGACGCCGCCTCGTCGTCGAGGGACGGAGGAAATGATACGGACGACGATCTCGACGCGGTCGACGTCCCGTCGCGCCGCGCGCTCGCGGCGACGCCGACGAACACCCTCCCGATCGACCCCTCCGGCACGCGCGCCCCAGGCTCGGTGGCGCTCCCGGCGTCGTGGGACCACCGAACCGTGGACGCGTCGTCGTGCGACGGCTTCCTGCACGTGGAGCTATGGGACACCGAGCGCGTGGACGTCGCCACGGGCGAGTACACGCCCATGCCGCGCAAAGCGCACCCGCTGCTCGCGGTGCGGTACGGCGCGGACGCGGCGCCGACGTGGGACGCGGCGTCGCGCGTCTGGAAATTCGACGCGTCCGCGAACACGGACGCGGACGAGCACGGGTTCGAGCACAACCGCGCGTACATGCACGTGTCGATCGACTTGCGAACGTGCGCGACGAAGTGCTCGCAGCACGGTAACTGGGACGGCGGCGCGTGCGCCGCGGCGTGCGTCGCGGACCCGCTGAAATCGAGCTTGTTCCACATAGGCGTGTACAACTTCAATGGGTGGGCGACGCGGACGCTGCGGTACGATCTGAAGGCGGCGTGCGTCGCGTCGACGCAGCCGCCGTGCCCGCGGCCGCTCGGCGCGGCGGGGGGGTATTGCGGCTCGACGATGGCGTGGAGTCGCGGGACGTGCGGGTGGGTGAACGGCGATTCCGGGCGCGTCACGCCCAAGGACGCGGGCTCGAACCGCGACGACACGGCGGACGACTACGGCGCGTGCGCGTGTAACGATGGGTACGGGAACGTCGGGTGCGAGAGCGCGGTGACGACGCTGAGGTGAGACTGCTTCCCATACGACCCCGTTCGCGTGGTGCACGCCGTTCCTTAAGGACTTTTCCCGTCGTCACTCTTCACCCGCGCTTCCCTTTCAACGTTTGACCGGTAAGACGTTCGACTGACCGATCGCTTCACCCACACAGGCACGGCGCGACGCGAATCGGGAGCGCGGATCGATCGGAGTGGGCGCTGTACACGGTCGACGTCGGCGCGTCGTCGTCCTCGCTCGTCGTCGAGATGACGCGCTCGTCCGGGGACCCGGTGATGTTCGTGAAGCCCGCGGGGGAGTTTGGCGAGACGCCGAGCATCGACGACTTTGAGCTGCACGCGGACGTGGACGGGTTCCGGTCTCGCGAGAATTTTCACTACAAAAGAATCGCGCTCACGACGGGGACGTACTACGTCGGCGTGTACGACAACGATCTGTACGTGCAGGAGACGGCGAACTTCGTCGTGCGCGCGTGGTGGTCCGCGCCGACGCTCGGGCCGCTTTTGTGCCCCGCGAACTGCGACTCGCCGAGAGGAGGCACGTGCGTCGAGTCGGGCGCGACGAGCGACCGACTGGGCGAGTGTCGCTGCGCGGAGAGACGCGGCGGCGAGCACTGCCGAGGCGAGGTGCGTTCTATACACTGGTCCCCATACGACCCCGTTGGCGTTGTGAACGCCGATCCTTAAGGACTTTTGCCGGCGTGTCTCTCCTCCCACCCCTCGCTTTCGATCACCGCCCTCGACACCTTTCAACTCCGCTTCTGACGCCGTTGAACTCCACCTCGACATTCGCTTGTATGGAACGACCCTGAAGCTCGTCTCCGCGGGGTTCGGGTACGTCGTCTCCGGGAAGATCGCGGAAGGGAAGTGGTTGTACTTGCAGTTCGAAGTGTCCGCGGAGCAAGCGCGCGCGTCGATGCGCGTCGTCTTCACGAAGAAGGGGGGGCATCCGACGTTGCAGATGAAGAAGGGCGACTTCCCCACGTTTCTCTCCGCGGACGTCGTCATCTCGCAGACGCAGTTTCTCCCGGAGCAGACGACGTTCACGATCCGCCCGCGGTACCTTTCCGAAGGGACGCACTACCTCGGCGTGTTCAACATGGGATACTACGCGGACGGCACGTGCGAGTTCGTCATCGAGCTCGTCACCGACGCGGATGAGTGGTCGTGGATGCCGCCGCGGCTCTTGACGATCGCGATCGTCGTCGTGCTGATCCTCGCCGCGTGCTTACTCCTCGCCGTGTGCAAGCGCTGCGTGGAGAGGAACCGCGAGCGCGAGCGCAGAGGAGAGGCGGTCACGATGTTTGGGTTTCCGAGGACGATGGCGGAGCTCGCGCGCGCGGGGTTGCTCGGCGGACACGTCGCGCCCGCGGGGTGTCCTCGGGAGGTGATCGACGCGATTCCGTCGTTCAAGTACTCCCCGGAGACGTTCGCGGACGTCTCGGGGGGGAAAGAGGACGCGATATGTTCCGTGTGCATCGATCCGTTCGAGGAAGGGGACGAAGTCCGAGCGCTCCCGATGTGCGAGCACGCGTTTCACAAGGAGTGCATCGACGAGTGGTTGTCGCAGAACACGACGTGCCCCAACTGCCGCGCGTCGTTGCCGTTGCCGGAAGTCGAAGGCGGCGGCGGCGGCGGAGACGGCGACGGAGACGGCGGAGACGATGGCGCGGCGTCGCCGCGGCCGGTGACGCCGAGGGACATCGAACTCGGCGCCGTCGCCGGCGAGGGAGTCCCAGGAGAGGTCGAGACGCGGTCGACGCCCCCGGGCGCCGCGCCGCCGGCGAACGAAGACCGACGACGGTTAAATCCGTTCGCAGAGCCGCCGACGGCGCCGCCGGCGCGGCTCGCGACGAACCCGTTCGGGAACCGCGCGCTCGAGCCGCCGCCGGCGTCGCGGCATCCGGACGCGCCGAGGCGCGCGCGAGGGACGAACCCGTTTTCGTCGCCGGGCTCGAGAGGGGGGACGCCGCCGGGGGGGTCGGGGCGCGTGCACCCGTCGCCCTAAACCCTAACCTGCCGCGATGATGCGTTTTTATTCTTTCGGAGTTATGTTCGTACTGTATTTATATACGTTGTACGCTAGTTAGCCAGCTTTGTTGAAACACTTATCTCATAAATTAAGTCACGCGTGATGAGAACGCACGCGCGCAAATCACCGTCGGTTGTGCCCGCCCGCGCCCGCGGCGGCCGCGAGCTCCGCGGGCATCGTCCCGATCGCGTGCGCCGCCTGCGTGAGCGCGTGGTACTTCGACGTGACCGCGACGCGCTTCGCCTCCGCGTCCGGGTGCTCCTGAAGCAACACCCCCGCCGTCGCGGGGTCGTACAACGTCTGAATCAAGTACTGCTGCAACCCTCGCTGCACGCTGTTCACGAGAAAGTGCATCACCGCCTTCGGGACGGTGTCCGCGAGAACGCCGCGCGAGATGGAAAAGTACGACCCGAGGAGGATGCGCGTGACGAGCACCTGGAGGAGCTCCTCGTTCGTCTGCGGCTCGCTCGCTTGGATCTTCCCCGGGGGTTCTTTCAGAGACACGACGCCGTCTTCGTGCGAGTAGAGCTTCCCTCCCGGCGGGCTCGCCGTCGCAGTCGCCGTCGCGCCGTCCTCCTTTTTCAGCGCGCTCGTCGTCGTCTTCGCGAGCTTCTTCGAGCGGCCGTTGACGTCGCGAAGCGCCGCGCGGCGTCCGTTACCGTTACCGTTACTGTTACCGTTACCGTTCCCGCCGCCGCGCGTGTTCACGCCGTCGCCGCCTCCGTTTTCCTCCTCCTCGTCGCTGTCAAACTCGCCCTCGAACGCGTCGCCGCCTCGTCGCGCCCTCAGCTCTCTCTGCGCGAGCCGCATCGCGACGGAGCCGCCGACAAAGTCCGGGTGCGTCGTGTTGATGTGCGCGAGCTGGCAGTCCACGAGGCTCCCGATCATCGCCTCGGCGGGGTCCAGCCCTTCGCTCAGAAACTCCCGCGTCGCCGTCTCGATCGCCGACGCCAGCCTCGGATACCTCGACAGCTGGTGCGTCTTCAACAGCGCGCTCGAGATTCGGTTCAGCTCGTCGTGCACGATCCGCGCCGCTTTCAGACACGGGTCGTTCATCTTCTTGATCGCCTGCTTCACGAGCACCTCGAACGGCTCCTCCGGGAGGAGCAACGTCCCGCGCGTGCCGGCGGCGTTTTGAATCGCCGTTCGAATGTCCTCCTCGCTCATCGCCTCCGTGGGGTCCAAGCTCTGGAGCCCTCGCACGAAGATGTCCTGCAGGACGTAGTGGATCCGAGCCCCGCCCTCGAGGTTGTGCGTGTTCAGGTCGTCGTTCCGGCCCGCGACGCACTTCACGAACGACGCGCTGAGGGCCATTCCGTACGAAGCGACGTCGGGGTGGAGTTCAAAGGCGTCAGCTGAAGTTGAAAGGCGTCGATATCGGGGATTGAAAGCGAGGGACCCTGGGCGGAGAGATGCGCCGGGCAAAGTCCTTAAGAAACAGCGTCCACCACGCGAACGCGGTCGTATGGGAACCAGTGTATGGAACGCACCTGAACGCGTGCAGCTTCTCGAGCACGAAGCTCGACTGCAGCCCGGGATCGTCCGGCCGCCCTTCGCCGAGCTCTTTCATCTCCCTCGCCGCCGCCTCCCTGCGCTTCGACACCTTCTCCGCGAGCGTGGGCAGCACGTCCGCTATGTGGTCGCCCAGGATGCGCGACACCGTCCACCCGAGCGCCTCGACGCCGCACTTGTGCTGTACCTCCGCGTACGCGGGATGATGCCGGAAGAATTCATTCTCCGCCGCGCGCGCCTCGCGGATGCTTCGTCGCTGCGCGATGTCTTGCTGGCACCGGTTCACGACGCCGATGTACCCCAACCGCAGCGGCACGACCTCGTTGCTGAGATACGCGCACGCGTCCGTGCCGCGGTCCATGATGTCGAGCTTGGTGATGACGCCGATGGTGCGTTTGCCGTCGGGGTCGACGGCGCGCGACAGCGTGAGCGCGTCTGAGGGTCGTTCCGTACGGGGCGACGTCGGGGTGGAGTTGAAAGGCGTCAGATGGAGTTGAAAGGCGTCGAGGTGTGTCGGGATTGAAAGCGGGAGACCCTGGGCGGAGAGATGCGCCGGGAAAAGTCCTTAAGAAACGGCGTTCACCGCGCCGACGCGGCCGTATGGGGACCAGTGCACAGAACGCGCCTGAATTCGCGAGGTCCGAATTCGCGGGCGACACCGCGAGTATGAGGCACGAATCGCGCTTGATGTACGACAGGATCATGTTGCGGATCTGCTTCTCGATGTCCGCGGGCTGGTCCCCCACGGGCACGCGCGTCACCCCGGGAAGGTCCACCAGCGTCATGGTGAGGACGTGCGGCGAGTTGATCTTGAGTCGAATCTGCTTGTCGCTGACGCCCTTGTTGGATCCCACGCCGCGGTTCGTCTCGCACTCGATCTCTTCCCTGATCGCCTCAAAGTCCGTGAAGATCTCCCCTGGGCGGTGCAGGAACTCGCCCCACTCCGCGGGCGGGCCGTGGCCGCCGTGGTGCGCCGCCGCGTGCGCGTGATGCGCGCCGTACGGCGTGTGCACGAGCTGTAAGACGAGCGGACGCCGCGTGCAAATGTCGGGTCCGCGCGGGAGGAAATCGCGCCCCACGAGCGCCTCGAGCACGGAGCTCTTCCCCGAACTCTGCGACCCGACGACGGCGATCTGCGGGAGCTCCAAGTCCGCGATGCCGCCCTTGGCGTGCGCGGAGGATTGGTCCACGACGCCGGCTTGCGAGAAGATGTCTTGGAGACGATTGATGAGCGGCACGAGGCCGTCGCCGAGGGTGTGCGCGTGCTGCGCGGGGCCCGGCATGGCGACGCGCTGGGGGTCTGGGGGGGGTGGCGAGGGGTGCGTTCGCGGTGGGGTGCCTTCGCGCGCGCGTGTGCGGGCGGGCGGGCGGGCGGGCGGGCGTCGCGCGCGTGGCAATGCCGACGCGCGTGTCGTAGCTTTCGTCCCCCCGTCGCGTTTTTTTTCCGCGACAGCTGTGATTCGGATCCTGTGCTGTGGCCAAGTTTCGGATCCCGAATTTAAAGCAGGTTATGGGTTTGAACCGCTCGTCCAACAGCTCCGCGCCGGTCCTCTCGACGCGCCACACCGACACACGTACACATACACACCGACGACGCACCACGCGCGCGCGCGCCATGGGTCTCATGAGCATCGTCGGCAAGGTCGTCAAGTTCGCGGAAGACCACGCGGTGCGCCGCGCGTCTCGAACGTTTCTCCTCGAGCGGCGTCGATCGATCCGATCGATCGCGCGCGCCCGCCCCCGCTCTCGTCTCGCCCGCGAGATCTGAACCCTCCTCCTCCTCCTCCCCCTCCTCCTCCTCGCTCGCCTCCGCCCCCGCAGGATTACTTCCACTACGCGATGATCCCCGCGATCATCATCGTCGGCATGCACACGACCCCGCGCCCGGGTCTCGCCGCGCTCCTCACCCCGGTCTGAGAAGACGAGACCACCGCGACGGGCGAGAGGGGAGGAAAGTAGGGTTAGTAGAATCGATCGAATATTAGAGCGGATCGGCTCGGATCTGTTAGAGCATGAAGCGGGAGAGCTCGGAGAAGAAACAGGAGAAGAAGACGAAAGAACCGAAGAAGCTCGCGTCGTCGTCGTCGGAGAAGAAGACGAAGAAGCCGCCGGGTTTGAGCAAGTCCCCGAAGGTGTTCCACGCGAAGCAAGCGCTGAAGAAGAAGCTCGCGCTCGTCGAGCAGTACAAGGTGCGTTCTGTAGCCTACGAACGTTTTTCACCCGTCCCTCGGTTTCGACACTTGATCGCGTGGGCCCCTTTCAACTGACCGATGAAGTATTTTTGTATGGAACGACCCCACCCCAGGCGCTCAAGGCGAAAGGCGCGGTGGACGAATTTCTCTCCAAACGTCGGAAGAAGCTTCTTCACAAGGATCATAGGCTCCTCCCGCGCGCGCGCAACGAAGCGACGGGGGGTCCCGCGCGGGCGGCGAAGCGACGGTGACGCGGACGAGCGAAGGGATCACCTCCCCCGGTGCAGGGGTGGGACCGCGCATGACGTCAGCGTCGGCGGCGTTCGCGTTCGCGTTCGCGTTCGCGCGCGCGCTGCGGCTCTGGATCCCCGCGTTGGCGTCTCTCCTCTTCGCGTCTGTCGCTGGCGTTATGGTCACACTGGTTCCCATACGACCGCGTTCGCGTGGTGAACGCCGATCCTTAAGGACTTTCTCGACTTTCTCTCCCGGCGTGTGCGCGACGATTCGATCCAAGCTCGAGCTCGGGGACAAAGACGGCGACGCGGGATCGCGCGTGGTATCTCGAAACGCACGACGCGAAACGCACAACAACACGGGGGAAGATGGAACGATGATCGTCGCGCACGTGGACGGGAGCGTCGAGCCGAAGAGGTTTCCCCCCGTCGCCGGCGTCGGCGTATACTACCGGTGCGTTCTATCTCACACTGGTCCCCATACGACCGCGTCGGCGTGGTGAACGCCGATCCTTAAGGACTTTTCCCGGCGGTTTTTTCCGCCCACACCTCGCTTTCAATCCCCGCCCTCGATGCCTTTCAAATCCAACTGACGCCTTTCAACTCCACCCCAGCCCCGGCGACGCGCTCAACTACGCCGCGCGCGCGCCGCTCGCGGAGGACAACAACGCGACCGAGCTCCTCGCCGTGTTCGTCGCGCTCGTCCGCCACCCGCGCCGGTCGCCGATCACGATACGCACGGACTCGAGGGCGACGCTCGACGTCCTCGAGCGGCTGGCGCGCGGCGACGGGTTGCGCGCGTTCAAGTTCAAGGGTGCGCGCGGCGCCGCGTCGTGCCGCGCGACGTTGTTTTGGCTGCGCGCGGTGTTGTTTTGGCGCGAGGCTGCGACGGCGGTTCGGAAGGTGAAGGCGCACGCGGCGGCGACGCCGGACAACGCGACCGCGGACGCGCTCGCGCGCGTGGGCGCGAACGCGTCGGCGAAGCGCGTCGTGCCGTACGCGCCGACGGGCGGGGGATTTTTTCGTCTCGGCGGCGGCGGCGGCGGCGGCGGCGGCGGCGGCGCGCGGAGGTATGAGGTCGCGTTGTTTTTCGAGATCGCGAGGTTTCTCTCCGGCGCGCGCGGCGAAGGCAACGGCGCGCTGGAGGATATAGTGGACTCGTAGAAGACCACCTTCGTACGACGAACGCGTAACCGTTGAACGCGTACTGTATCGTCGACGCGCGAGGGTGGAAGATGAAACAAAATCAGTCGACGTTCTTTTATTCCGACCACAGCACGGGACTGCGCCCTCCTACTACTTCTCCTCCTCCTCCTCACTTCTCTCCCGTGCGCTCTCGCAACCGCCGCACGAAGTCGTCCGCCTCGAAATCGCTCGCGCTCTTCGCGGACGAGAACACGTTGTCGTCGCCGCCGCTCGCGACTCTCCGCCGCCCGCCCCTGCCCCGCGTGCGCTTCGCCGCTTCCAACTTCGCCGCGAGAAGCTTTCCCGGTCGCATCAGGCTCTTCGACGCGTCCATCCGCGCCGCGTTCCTCTCCTCGATCCCGGCGTTCTTCCGCTGGCACCACGCCCATCGAAGCGCGGGGATGGCGAAAAACGCCACCGCGTACGCGCTCAGCCCCGGGAGCAGCGCCGAGACGGCTTGCACCAGCTGCGCTTTTTGCGCGACGATCTGCGGATCGACGCACAGCCTCCCCAAGACGACGACGCCGACGAAATTCAGCGCGCCCAACCCCGCGGCCATCGCCCGCTGCGCCTGTGTCGCGAGCGAGAAGACGTACGGCTCCTCCTCCGCCATCGCGGTGCTGAACCCGCCGTACTTTCTCGCCTCGGCGAGGACGGCGTTGACCCTGTCGAACCCGCCGCCGGTGGCCTCCATGGATTCGAACCGGTACACGATCTCCCCCGAGCTCTCGTCCACCTCCGGCGCGCCGTTGAATCGCACGAGCGCGGGGAGGACGAAGCTCTCGTCGTCCGGGTCGTTCGGATCGCGCTCCAGATACGGCGCGAGCTGAGAGGCGTTCCATACAAAAACAGTTCATCGGTCAGTTGAAAGGAGACGCGATCAAATGTTGAAAACTGAGCGGTGGGTGAAACACGTTTGTAGAGAACGCACCTGATCGGCGGCGACGACGCCGCCGCTCTTTTGAATCGCCAACCCCGCCAGCGCCCAACGCTTCGCCTCGAAGTCTTTGTTCGGGTCGCCGTCCCCGAACACGAACGAGAACACCGCCTCGAAGAAGTTCATGTCCTTCGCGCCCTCGCGCGCGGCGTTGTACGCGCGCCGCTCGTAGTAGTACGGATCGAAATACCAGAACACGTCGAACGGGGAAAAGTACATTCTCGGCCCGAAGAACATCCCGCCGCCGCCGCCGCCGCGGTCGTCTCTCCGGTCGCGATCGTCGCGGTTCGAGAGCAACGCCGCGATCGCGGTGTAAACAATCGCGATGGACGCGACGAGGGTCGTCCCGAACGTCACGCGCGCGAGGTAGGAGCCCACCTTCCCCGCCGTCTCCAGCGCGGGCTCGGCGCGGATGCGCAGCGACTTGGACGCGAGCTGAGGGCCATTCCATACAAAAAAAGTTCACCGGTCAGTTGAAAGGAGACGCGATCAAATGTTGAAACCGGGCGATGGGTGAAAAACTTTTGTATAGAACGCACCTTAGATCGGAACCCCGCGTCGAAGACGTACAGGAGGTCGCCCTCGCTCGACACCTCCAGCGCCGCGCCCGTGTCCGCCGCGAGCGCGGTCATCGCGCGCTCGGCGTCGGAGAGTTTCACGCCCGCGGCGGCGGCGACGTCGCCGACGGTGACCGCGAGACCGAGCGATTCGATCGCGTTCTCGACCGGCTCGCGGATCGACTTCGCGACGGACTCGGACTCGACGACGGACCGCGGCGGGCGCGAGAAGACGCCGCCGGAGGCGTCCGCGGCGAACGGGTTCGACGCCGCCGCGCGCGGCGCGACCGCGACGCGCCCGGCGCGCCGCGGAGAGGAAGAGGGGAGCGGGCGCGTCGCGCGGACGCCGCGAGCGAGGCGGACGACGACCGCGCGGTTCGCGCTCGCTCCCGCGATCGCGGCGCGAGATCTCGATCCGAGCGATCCCGCCGCGGCGAGCGCGCGCGGGACCGCGCGCGCGACCGTCGCCCTCCTCGTCGCGGCGGCGACGGCCGTCGTCGCGGCGGGCGACGCGAGCGTCGTCGTCGACGACGACGCGATCATCGTGCGCGTGCGTTCGTGGGGGCGCGGGCTACAATGTGGCGACGCGTCGACGCGCGTGCCTTCTTCCCAGCCTAGCCTATCTCGACAGGTGGCGACCGCGATGGCGAAAAGACCGAGCCACTATCAAAGCAAACGTTTTTCACCCATATCCCGGTTTCAATACCTGATCGCATCCCCTTTCAACTGACCGATAAATGTTTTTTGCTGGATCGTCGAAATATCTGAGCACCTGTCAGCGCGTCATCAGATGCAAAAAAGTACAGGCCGAGGGGCACTCCTGAAGGCGCGCGCGCGATGGGCCCGGGTTTCCTCCTCGCCGCGGTCGCGGCGGGGGTTCGCGCCGCGCGCAAGCGGCTCGGTCGTCGCGGCCGACCTCCCCCGCGCGCGCGCGCGGCGGCGCGCGACGCCGTCGACGACGACGACGACGACGAAAACGGAAAAGCGTCGTCGGCGAACGCGCGCGGGAGGTGGAGCCGAGCGGTCGCCGTCGCCGACGACGCGCCGCCGAGCCCGCCGCCGAGCCCGCCGACGCGACGCGTCGCGGACGCCGCCGCCGCCGGCGGCGACGACGACGACGACGCGGACGGCCGTCGCCGCTCGAACGACGCCGCGTCGTCCTCGTCGACGACGTTCGGCGCGTCCCGAGAAGAAGCTGGCGCGCGCGACGACGACGACGACGACGGCGACGGCGACGACGACGACGACGACGGCGACGGCGACGACGACGACGACGACGACGACGACCGAACCCGCGCGCGACCACCTCCCTCGCCGCGCTGGGCGGACCTTCCCGACGCGTGCGTCGCGCGCGTCCTCCTCTGCGCCGGGTTCCACGCCGCGCTCGCGGCGAGCGCGACGTGCAAGGACTGGCGCCGGGTCGCGCGATCGGATCAGGTGCGTTCTATACACTGGTCCCCATACGACCTCGTTGGCGTGGTGAACGCCGTTCCTTAAGGACTTCGCCCGGCGCGTCTCTCCGCCCACCCCTCGTTTTCGATCCCCGCCCTCGACGCCTTTCAACTCCAACTGACGCCTATGAACTCCACCCCAACGTTCGCTCGTATGGAACGACCCTCAGCACTTTTGGAGGAAGATGTTCGCGACGCACTTCGGCCGGGCGGAGGCAAGGGACGAGGCCGCGAAGATGGAACGTCAACCGTCGCCAACGCGCGAAGAGAATGATGAGGACCGTGAGGAGGAGGCGGGCGTCGTCGTCCGCGACGGTTCGCGTCGCGGTCGTCACGACGGTTCGCGTCCTCCGGCGGGCCCCGCGGATTGGCGCGAGGCGTTCAAACGCGCGGTGCAGACGGAGGTGCGTTCGATACGCTGGTCCCCACACGACCGCGTTGACGCCGTGAACGTCGTTCCTTGAGGACTTTTCTTCCCGTCGCATTTCTCCGCCCACCATCCCTCGCTTTCGATCCCCGACACACCGCGACGCCTTTCAACTTCAACTGACGCCTTTCAACTCCGCCCCGACGTCGCTTTGAACGACGGAACGACCCGGAGTGGCGGTGGACGCGCGGGCGGTGCGCGCGCACGGACGCGTGGGTCGGACACCGCGCGAGGATTCTCGGCGTCGCGCTGCGGCGCGGGAGGGCTCTCACGGTGAGCGAAGACGCGCGGGTCATCGTTTGGGACGCGAAGACCGGGACGTCGCTCGCGGCGTTCGAGCATCGCCGGCGGCGTTCGAGCGCCGACGACGACGAAGACGCGACGGAGGCGGAGGACGGAACGTCGATCGACGGCGGCGTCCTCGCGCGCGCGTTCGCCGCGCGCGACGGCGTCGCGGCGATCGGGTTATCGGACGGCTCCGTGAGCGTCTTCGACGTCGAGCGCGGCGCGAGGCTGCACCGGACGTCCTTAGCGAGGAACGGCCCCGTCGTCGACGTCGTCGACGACGACGAACGCGAACGCGGGAACGACGCCGTCGTCGGCGTCGCGATCGGCGGCGGGTGGATCGTCGCGCGCGCGCGCGGCGGCGCGATCAAGACGATGAGCGCGCGCGACGGCGGCGGGACGAAGACCGTCCTCGAACGACGACGACGCGGCGGCGGCGGCGGAGGCGGAGGCGACGCGGGTGCCGGGACGTCGTCGAGCGACGGCGACGTCGCGTCGCTCCGCGTCCTGGTCCCGAGCGATCCGCCGTATCTTCCGCACGACGCCGCCGCCGACGCGTCAGAAGACGGAACGTCGATCGACGCGTCGACGACGTCGACGTCGATCGTCGTGCACGCGAGGTCGAACCGCGCGCTCGCGATCGACGGCGCCGACGCGGTGCTCTGGCCTCTCGTCCTCGGCGAAGACGACGACGACGCGGGCGCGGGTGAAATCGCCGGGGACGAAATCGCCGTCAGACTGCGCGGGCACGCCGCTCGAATCCGCGCCGCGTGCTTCGCGACGTGCGGCGGCGGCGGCGTCGGCGTCTGCTCCTCCTCGTTCTCCTCGCGGCGCGTCTTCGTCGTCACCGGCGGCGACGACGCGAGCGTGCGCGTATGGGACGCGCGCGCCGGGCGATGCCTGAGGACGTTGGAGGGCCCCCCCGGGGTCGCGGAAGCCGTGCACGCGGGTCAAGTCCCCGTCGAGTGGTCGTACCGCCCGCCGCCCGCGACGCGCGTCGTGCGGGTGTGGGGCGGCGTCGTCGTCGACGGGAGGGACGACGGGAGCGTTCTCGCGTGGAGCGGCGTGTTCGACGGGCTGGACGCCGCCGAGGAGGACGCGCTGCGCGACGACGACGACCGACGCGCCGTCGGACGACGACGACGGATCCGCGGAGAGGACGGGACGTCGTCGACGCGAAGCCGAAGCAGCGCGGCGGGGGGGGAGACCGACGGCGTCGACGTCGACGTCGACGTCGACGCGCGCGCGTACGGTGCCTTTGCGCACGCGCGCACGCCGGAGAAGCGCGAGGACGAAGACGTCGAGGACACGGATACCGATGAGGAGGAGGAGGAGGAGGAGGAGTACAACGACCGCGAGATCGGCGGCGTGAAGGGGCTGATTCGTCAGTTCTCCGCGGAGAAGAAGAAGGGCCAATCGCCGTTCGCCATGTCATCGTCCTCCTCCTCCTCCAACACGCATCTCGGAGGACCCTCATCGTCGCCCGGTGGCGCGTCGTCGCCGTCGTGGAGCAGACGCCCGGCGTCGTACCGACGCTGGTGGGTGCACACGGACGCCGTCGCGTCCGTCGTCGTCCGCGGCGGTCGCATCGTCACCGTATCCGTCGACGGCGGCTGCCACGTGTTACCCCTCCCCGACGACGTGCTGTGTCGATCGCATCCTCATCATCACGCGGCGGCGGCGGGGGGGGGGTCGAGCGCGAGCGGGGTCAAGCGCGAGCACATCGCGGCGTACGACGACGACGACTTCGACGACGCGCTCGACGATCTCGACGATCTCGACGGCGACGGCGGCGCGCGCGACGCGCTCATCAACGCGTCGCACTGGCCGTCGCACGACCGCGTCGCCGGCGTCCCCGGCGGCGTCCGGCGCCTCTCCTCCGAGTTCATCGACGCCGGGTGCAGGGTCGCGCACCTCGCGTGGAGAAACGGGTCCGCCGCCCTCGGCCCCGTCTCCAACGCGTTCGGCTCAGGCGCGTTCTCCTCACACTGGTCCCCATACGTTCCCATCCGCGCGGTGAACGCCGTTCCTTGAGGGCTTTCTCTCCCGGCGCATCTCTCCGCCCGCCCCTCGGTTTCAATCCCGACACACCTCGACGCCTTTCAACTCCGCCATCTGACGCCTTTCAACTCCACCCCGACGTTCGCTCGCACGGAACGACCCTCAGCCGGCGCCGAGGCGTTCCGCGTCGCCGACCGCCTCACCTCCGGCGCGGCGACCAACGCGTGGATGGAGGGTAGGGAGCTCTTGGACGACTCGCTGTTCGCCGCGCGCGCCATAGGGCGAGAGTCGCGCGACGCGGCGGCGCGCGCGAGTCAACGCGTCGGCGCGGCGGTGGCGTCGTGGAGCGCGGCGAGCGGCGGCGTGACGTTTCGAGAGCACGCGGCGGCGGCGACGTTTGTCACCGCGGACAGGGAGACGCTCGTGACCGCGGACGCGCTCGGGTGCGTGTTCGCGCGGGATTTCGGGCCGGAGAGGGTGGATGGGGGCGGGGAGCGGTCCTTCGGCAGGGACCGAGCGTCGCGAAGAGGCGGAGGATGGCGATGATGATGTAGACTGAAAAATCCGACGCGTCCGAGCGCACGACCCGAAGGCCGCGCGCGATGAAGCGGAAAAACTCGGTGATCGTTCGCTCACGCGTGCACGGCGCCGCCGCTGGAACCGCGATTAGCGTTGATGCGACAGAGTTATTCCGAGGGGATCAACCCTTCGCCTACAGCGACCACGCGTGCGACACCGGTTAAACACATAAATAATTGAAATAGCATATGTACAATTATAAGGATAGACTCGGAGGTACTGACGGTCGACGCGTTCGCGCTTTCGCGCGTTCGCGCCCGCCGAAGTAGAGCTGTAAGGGCGCCTTGCCAGGCTCATGTTCATGTCACCCCTTCCACACTCTCGTCCGTTTGAAATATGTACACACGCACGACCCGGAGGCCACGCGCGATGAAGCGCAAAAACTCGGTGATCGTTCGCTCACGCGCGAGCGGCGCCGTACTTGGTACCCTCGAAGAGGAGCGTCTCTTCGTCCGCGACGCGGCTGCGGCGGCGGCGAGATTTGTCGAACAAAATTCCCGCGACGGCGGCGAGCGCGAGCGCAGGCGCGATGAATTTCGTCGCAGACGAAGACACCATCGCAGCGACGGCAGCGCCGAGACTCGCGCCGATCGTCGCTTCGTGACCGGTCATGTCGATCGTGATGTTGGGGTTCAAGCCGATGATCTCAGCGTGAATCGCGTTGAGGTCGGCGATCTCATTCTTCACGACTTTCGTCTTCGCGATCACTTTGTCGTGCTTCGTCTGGTAGTACGTGATGTAGTTCATGATGAGCGTCGAGTTCGTCGCGAGTGTCGAGTTCGTCGCGGGAGTCTCGCCGAGCGCTGCGCCAAGAGCGGCGGGTGAAGCGCTGAAACGGCAGTCCACGACCGGGACCGGCGTGTGCCCGACAATCACGCCGATGATCTCGCCGCGTTCCAAGCGAAGCGCGTCGATCTCCTTTTTCAAGTCCGTGGTGTCCTCGACGACTTTGTCGTGCGCCTTCTCGAACTCTTCGACGAGATCCACAGCGTGCGTCGACGTCGCCGCCGCGGCGTCGCCGAGACTGGAGGTCGCGCCGGCGGTCACGTTGTCCACGCTGAGGGTGCCCATGTTGATGGATGGAAGCGGAGGGTCGTCCACGGTCATGGCGATGAGCGCGTCGCGGTCGCTGGTCAGATCTTCGAGGTCGCGATGCACCTTCTGGGCCTCCTTCTTCAACGCGTCCGCGCTCGCGTAGACGGCGTCGTGTTTCGCCGAGTACTCTGCGATTTTTTGCATGATGAGCGTGTTCGACGAGTGGCCGCCCGGAGATGTTTCTTCGCCCGACGTCGGAGAAGTGTCTTCTTCAGCGGGAAGGGCGGGAAGGGCTTCTTCGCGGTTCGTCTGAAAGACGTGCGCGGACCCGGAGTTGGAGCCCTTGTCGTCGTCATACAATTCGCCGACGACAATGAGGGAGCCGGACATCGCGACGGACCTGCCGAAGTAATCGTGCGCCGCGCCGTCCGCCGCGGTGAACTTCGCGAGCTGCGTCACGGTGCCGTCCGCGCCCTTCTCGAACACGTACGCGGATCCGGAGGAGGAGCCCTTGTCGTCGTCATACCTCGCGCCGGCGACGATGAGTGAGCCGGACACCGCGACGGACCAGCCGAACTGATCGCCCGCCGCGCCGTCCGCCGCGGTGAGCTTCGCGAGCTGCGTCACGGCGCCGTCCGCGCCCTTCTCGAACACGTACGCGGATCCGGAGGAGGAGCCCTTGTCGTCGTCATAAGTCGCGCCGACGACGATGAGGGAGCCGGACACCGCGACGGACCAGCCGAAGTTATCGTTCGCCGCGCCGTCCGCCGCGGTGAGCTTCGCGAGCTGCGTCACTGCGCCGTCCGCGCCCTTCTCGAACACGTACGCAGACCCGGAGTCTCTGCCCTTGTCGTCGTCATAAGTCGCGCCGACGACGATGAGGGAGCCGGACACCGCGACGGACCAGCCGAAGTTATCGTTCGCCGCGCCGTCCGCCGCGGTGAGCTTCGCGAGCTGCGTCACGGCGCCGTCCGCGCCCTTCTCGAACACGTACGCGGACCCGGAGTCCCTGCCCTTGTCGTCGTCATAATTCGCGCCGACGACGATGAGGGAGCCGGACACCGAGACGGAGTAGCCGAACTTATCGTCCGCCGCGACGAGCTTCGCGAGCTGCGTCGCTTCAAACGCGTCTTCGCCGAGCAACGCGACCGCGGCTTCTTTTTGGACTCTTTGTTCCAAATACGCCGCGTCCGCGGCGGCGGCGACGCCCATGACGCCCATGACGACGAGGACAAACGCGACGAGCGCGCGGGTCACGAACCCGGAGGAACTCCCGCGGTTGTTACGCTTCTGAAGACGACGAGAAGAGAGGAAGGCGGGTGGGAGACGTGACGTTCGTCGTCAGTACGAAGAACGCTCGCGAGCGGGCGGATTTAAAAAAAAACCGTTCCCGAAATTGTTCTCCTCTTCGCGTCTCGCGAACAAGATTCGTAACAGATTTGTAACAGACTTGTGACCTTTCGCGAAAGGTCGCCTGAAAGGTCGCGCAAGAATTATTGTCGTCTTGGGGACGGACACTCGGAACGGTTCGTTCACGCGACGACGCGACGACGCGATCGCGGGGACGGGGGTGTCAACGGGACGACACGCACCGTGGAAGGCATCTTCGTCGTGAAATCGACTCGACGGCTCGCGCTCGAGGGGTGGGGAGCGCGATTTAGAAGCGCGATATTATTTGACGCGGGATCGGGGAATCTACCCCGCGAAAAGCGTCCGGTCGATCGATCGACGGGCGCGGAAAGCGTTCTGTCGCGCGCGACGCGACGGTGTTTGTTCGCGTGTGCGCGCGGAGCGTCGATGCGAACGCGGGCGGGCGGTGGACTTCAGGTCACCGGTCGATGCGGCGGTCGCGATGCGTGCGGCCGTGCGTCGGGAAGTGTGCCTCGTGCGGAGGGAAACGAGCCTCTTTCTGTTCACACTGCTAGATCAGCGCCTCCGGCGCTTCGGCCGTCGGTAGTTGGGAGAAGGGGCCCGGGAGCGTATTTAGTCTGAAGAGTACGAAAGTTCGCGTACCGAGGTGCAGTTTCCGCGTAGTACGAAATTCGCGTACTCATTTCAGACTAACAGAGGGGTGGGAGTTTGGATACGGGGCGCCAAACGCATTTGATTGGTTGAAATTTACGTCCCTTAGTCGGGAAAAATGCCTAGATGGTGAGAAGGTAAACCTTCTCCCAAACTGTACGAAAGTACCTTCGTAGGATTTTGTCGGGCTTCCGATAAGATCCGACCGCATGGACCAGAGTATCGACGCGGACGATTTCACCCGACCTCCGGTATCAAATTCCCCCTTTCAAGCCTGCTTGAAGCACTCGGAATAAACGGCGTTGATGCGACAAAGGCGAGGGTCAACTATCAACCTCTGCTTCCTCCAGTGCGGTCGCGGGTCGCGCCCAGAGGGAGACGCGCCGAGGACGACGCGATGGCTTCGTCGTCCGTCGCGCTCGCGCGCGCGGCGTCGGCGTCGGCGTCGGCGTCGGCGTCGGCGTCGGCGTCGTCCACCCCGCGCGCGGGATCATCGGCGTCGTCCTCGCGTCGTGCGACGCGCGCGCGCGGCGCGAGCGTCCGAGCGCCGCGCGCGAACTCGGAACTCGGAACTCGAGACGCGGACGACGACGCGTCGTCGCCGTCGTCGTCGTCGCCGTCGTCGCCGTCGCCGTCGCCGTCCTCCCTCTCCCGTCGCGACGCGCTGCGACTCTCCGCCGCGTCCGCGGCGTCGCTCCTCGCGGCGCCCCACGCGCTCGCGTCGGCTCCCGCCGCCGCCGTCGTCGACCCCGCCCTACGCGCGTACACGCAGACGACGCCGACGCTCTTCGCGCCCTTCTACGGCGACGACTCGCGCGCGACCGTCCTGAAGACGATCGTCCCGGGGCAGGTGTACGCCCTGGAGCAAAACCTCGAGGTCGGGCCCCTGGAGACGCCGCTGCGGTGCGTCGTCGTCAAGCTCCGCGACGGCGCGCTCTGGGTGCACGCGCCACTCGCGCCGACGATGGAGTTTTTCGAGCTCGTCGATACCGGGATACCCGACCACCGCGGCGTCGAGCACGTCGTCGTCCCCACGTACGCGTTCGAGCACAAGATCTTCGCGAAAGACGCGCTGCGACGGTGGCCGGACGCGAGGCTGTGGGTCGCCCCGGGGCAGTTTTCGTTTCCGGTGGAGGTGCCGTCGCGCGTCGCGTTCGGGCGAGAGCCGGACGGCGTCCTCGGCGGCGCCGCGGACGGCGGCGGCGTCGGCGACGTCCCGCCGTGGATCGACGAGATCTCCGTGCGGATTTTGAAGGCTGGGAAGTTCGCGCTCGCGGGAAAGGACGTCACGATACGCGAGGCGACGTTCTATCACGCCGCGTCGAGGACGATGATCGTCACGGACGCGCTCGCGAGGGTGCCGTACGAGATTCCGGAACTCCAGGTTTGCGCGCGCGGTTTCGAACGGTTTCGCCTTCGCCTTCGCGTTCACGTTCGTCTTTCGCCCGCCCGCCCCTCCCTCCCTCGGTTTCAACGAACGTCGCATCGCATCGCGTCCGTCCCCTTTCGAGCGTCGACGACTGACCGATGAACGACGACGAACGTCCGTTCAGACCCCCGAGAAGCTGCTGCTCGTGGGGAAGCTGAGCACCGCGGACGCGCAGCCCGAGGACACGCCGGAGAACCGCCTCAGGTGCGTTCTATACAATAGTTTTTCACCCATCGCGCGGTTTCGACATTTGATCGCTCCCCCTTTCAACTGACCGGAGAACTGTTTTTGTATGGAACGACCCTCAGGGGATGGAAGAAGACGTGCCTCCTCGTGAACTACTTCTTCCCCGAGCACGAGGAGCCCGCGCCCGGTCGGATCGGCGTCGTGGAGTGGACGCCGGGGTGGGAGGATAACTTCGATAGTCTCGCCGGGCGGCTGATCGTCCCGCCCGTGGTTCGGTCGCTTCTGTACGCGCAGGATCCGGGGTCGGTGCGCGCGTGGGTGGACGCGGTGACGATTGGGGAAGGCGCGTTCTGTTCAAACGTTTTCGCCCGTCCCTCGGTTTCGACGTTCGATCGCGTGGGTCCCTTTCGACTGACCGACGCGCTCGTTTCGTATGGAATGACCCTCAGACGCGTGGGATTTCGAGAGGATCGTGCCCGCGCACTGGGAAGGGCCGATCGAGGGCGTGAGCGCGGAGGACATTCGCGTCGCGTTTCGATGGCTCGAAGATTTTTCGCTGGATCCGTTCCCGGAGGCGGACATGCGACGGGGGCTCAAACCCATCGCGGACGCGGTCGTGAAGATCGACCGCGCGTGACGTCGCGACGGACGGCGCGGACTGCAGTCGTTCGCACGTTCGCAAGTTCGCGCGTTCGTTCGTTCACCAAATTAGCTTTGGATTTTATTTACAAGAGCCGACGCGCGCGATCTGATGACATGACGGAAGCGAGGGTATCGGCCTCGTTTCCATCCTTCGCCTTCTCCCGCCCGCGGTCGCTCGCTCGCTAGTCTTTCGGCGGTCGACGCCGTCGCCCGCCGCCACCCTCCTTAATTACCTCAGTCGTTAATCTACGCTGCACAGCAGGCACACCCCGCGCAAGATCCATTTCGTGACCGGATCCTCCGTTCTCAAGTCAAACTGCGCGATAAAGTTGAGCCCCGTCCTCTTCTTGATCTTGTACGTCGGACACGAAAACACGTTCTGCGTCTCTTTATCCTTCGCCAAGACGCCCGTGACGTACAGCACCGGAAGCGCGACGAACAGCTTCTTGGGATCCGAATCGACGAGCCGGTTCATCTTCCCGTCCCACGAGCACCCCTCCAAGTACAACCCGTAGATGTACACGCCCTCCTTCGGCTCCTCTTTGATCTCCTTGATCTCCTTCGGCGGCGCCGTCACCCTGCTCTCCATGACGACGTCGTCCAGCGCCCACTTATCCTTCGCGTGCTGCCTCGACACCTCCTGCTTCATCGCGGTGAGGAACCCGCCGGGGTTGAAGAACCCGGTCATCCAATACCCCTTCGGTCGCCCGTCGTTTAGCCACTTGCGCAGCTGGTCGTAGCGTTGGAGCAACCCTTGGAACCACGTGCCGATCGTCGCGCTCTCCCAGCTCTTCGCGAGCCACTTCCGCGGGACGTTGGCGTCGAACAGCGCGTCCATGGCGTCGACGAGATCGCCCGCGAGCGCCACCGTGCCCGCGATCGCGAGCCGCAAGTTCGCGAGCGTCTTCCGCGTGAGGCCGATGACGACGTTCAGGCGGTCTGAGGGTCGTTCCGTACGAGCGAACGTCGGGGTGGAGTTGAAACGCGTCAGAAGCGGAGTTGAAAGGCGTAGAGGTGTGTCGGGATTGAAAGCGAGGGGTGGGCGGAGAGATACGCCGGGAAGTAAAGTCCTTAAGGATCGGCGTTCACCACGCGAACGCGGTCGTATGGGAACCAGTGTATAGAACGCGCCTATCTCCTGCCGCAGGTGCACCGTCAGCGGAATCGTCGCCCCACCCGGGAGCTTCCGCAGCAGCTCCTTGGTCGGCTCCGGCTCGAACGCCTCGGGAACCTTCGCGAGGAGGTCGGCCGCGATCCCGTCGACGATCTCCGCGGGGGAGAGCCCCTCGCCGCCGCCGCCGCTCTTCGGCATCGTGCTCGTGACCGTGCCGACCAGATCGGCGACGGCGAGCGTTCGAAACGTGAGATCCGCGTTGGGATGCAGCCCGAAAATCTCCGGCGAGTCCTGCGCGGGAAGCTTCTCGATCGCGGCTTTGTAATCGTCGATGTTCGTCTTATCCGGGACGGGGTAGCCGGGGAACAGCACGAGGTCGCGCTCTAAACACCCCGCGTTGAAGTACTTCTCCGCGTACGTGTTCATCAAGAGCTCGTCGAACGGGTCCGTGATTCTCCCGCCGTACTGAATCGACGACACCATGTACGTCACCGTCGGCCACGTCGGCGAGTTGAGCTTCTTGGCGTCCATCTCCGTGAGGTGGTTCTGCAGAAACTGCACGCACGCGCTCAGATCCGACTGGTTGAACTCGTACGGGACGTTCCACCCGATCGGGCCAAACTTCCTCCGCTCTTGCACGATCGAGTGCAGGTAGCACATCACGAAGAGCATCTGCCGCCACTCGTACCGCCCGACGGCGTCGAGCATGTCCTGGTTGACCCACGCGTACGAGTTTCGCAAGCCCGCGCGCATCCCCACCGGGGCTTCGTTCGTGATCTTGATCGACATCTGCAACAATCCGATCGGAAACGCCGGGTGCGGCTCCGCGGTGATCCAGAGCCGGAACCCGTCGTGTATGCTCTCGGCTTTCAGTAAATACGTCTCGATCTCCGCCATGTACGCGAGACCGAGATGCGTGTTCGCGAGCATGACCCACTGCCCCTCCAGCGTCGCCGTCGTCATGTACTTCCGCGCGATGATCTCCTGGCCTTGACCCATCGAGACGCCGTTGAGTTTGATCTTCTTACGCTTCGCGAGGTCCTCGATGAGCTTCGTCGGGTCCGCGCCGGGGGAGAGAAGGAAGACGCACGGCGCGAACGGCGTGCTCTCCTCCCACGTCGCGTCCATGGAGAGCGGGACGGACTCCACGAATCGCTCGCCGATGGCGTCCGCGATGTATTTTTGCGCGGCGACCATCGTGCGGTCCTGACGCAGCGACTTCACGAGGCACATCCGCTCGAAGAGCGTGACGCGGTCTTCGAAATCCGGAATCTTCGCATTCTCCGGCGCCTCCTTGTCGTACCACTTCTCCCACTGCCGGTCGTTGAGGACGATCGACTCGAGGAGGTCCCCGAACGTCTCTTTATACTGCGACAGCGCGACGAGGTCGAGCCAGCACTTGTCCGGGATCCAGTCCTTCGGCTTCTTCTTCACCGACTTGATGTCGAGCGAGCCGCCGCCCTTCAGGAACACGGACACGAGCGCGGGGGAGAGCTCGCCCGCGCTCACGAGAATCTTATTCGTCATCATCAGCGCGAACGTCAGCTTATGCCGCTCGAACAGCCCGCGTTGGATGTACAAATAGATGCTGTACGTCATGTGCGAGATGATATTCGCGATGCGCTTCGCGGGCATCTTCGCCGGCTCCGCGTTGTCGATCGCGAGCGCGTACAGCGCGTTGAACTGGTTCAACGACGTCTGGTACATCACGTTGACGCCCGTGAACTCCGCGACGAGGAAGTAAATCAACGTCGCGCGGTGCGCCACCGGTCGGTACTCCTCGCACGCCTCGGTGATTTTCGCGTTCGTCTCCGACGCCACCGCGAGCTTCTCGTTCACCTCCTGCGCGGTGCGCTTCGTGTTGTTGAGGACGTCGATGAGCTCGACGTCGTCCAACAAGTTCCCCGTGGAGTTGGACAGGCGGAAGAGCAAGTCGTCCTCGAGCTGTTTGATCTTCTTCTTGTACGACGTCACCTCCTCCACGAGCGCCTGCCGCTGCGTCTGAAGCTCCTGCTTCTCCTTCAGGATGAGCTTCCCCAGGAGCTGGTCCTCGAGGCCGGTCATCGTCACCGTGAAGTCGATCACGGTCGTCTTCGCGCACAGCTCCGGGGAGTAGTGCGGGTTCGGCAGACGCGTCGTGCAAAACAACGCGAAGGATTCGGAAAAGTCAACCTCCTTGCCGTCCGACAGCGTGATCGTCATGTTCTTCCCCTTGACCGCGATCAACTTCTCGAGGATCGGGTCGAGAATAGGGTCGAGCTCTTCTTCGATGTTCTCGATCAATAGCGGGCGCCCGAACGACATGCAGTCCTCGAGGTGGTTCCTGAAGTGTTTCTCGTTCAGGTTCGTCACCTTGAGCTGGTTCGCCGTCTCGCGCGACTTGATCCACGATAAACCTTGCCCTTGCGGGTCCACCATGACCGGGTACCGCGTCGCGCGCGTCACCATGATCCCGTTCTGTATGGACAGCTCGTCCGTGGGCAACCCCTGGAGGTTCCACTCGCCGATTTCGTTGTCGTCGACGAGGAACCTCGTCACGTCGAGGTTCTCGGTGACCGGGACGCCGCGCGACGTCAAGTCGCCGTAAAAGTCGCGCTGCAACAGCAAATCGCGAAACTCCTTGTTGAACGGGCCGAGGTAGGACACGAACGACGACGCGAGCGCGCAGTCGCCGGTGAGGCGCTGAATCTGCAGGTCGAACTGCTTGGACTGCTCCGTCCATCGCACCTCCTCGCCCGCGAGCGCGGAGATGAGCGCCGTGGCGCTGTCCATCTTTCGCTGCGTCGCCGCCGCGTCGTCCTCCAGGCGCTTCTTCTCCGCCATCGCGGCGTCAAACTTGGCCTGCATCTCGTCCAACGCCGCCTGCACTTTCGCGAGCTCGTCGTCCGCGGCGTTCTTCTCCTTCATCGCCATCTTCATGTCCGCCTCCGCGGCGCGTAACATGAGAATCTTCGGGTCCACGACTTTCGCGACTTCGTGATACGTCACCATGCTCATCGCCCAGTTGCACAGACCGGCGACGGAGCCGGACGCCTTCTTCGCCATCTCGTAGTTGAAATCCGGCGCGGCAAAGTACGGCTGCAGCAGCTCGCACGTCTCGTCGTTGATTTGCTCCTTCGGAAAGTTCATCAGCTTGGCGAGGAACGCCATGTCGCCCATCATTCGCACGGAGACTTTCGAGTAGTTATCGCTCGCGTTGATCACCATCGCGCCCTTGACGTCATGCCACTTCACCATCGTCATCGGGTACTGGCGGAGGATCAACACCGCGTCGAGAATGCGCTTCACGACGTCCGGCGGGTTCTTCAGCGCCTTCACCGCGCCGATGTCTTTGGACGTGATCGAGGATAAGGCTTCGATCGCCGCGTCGAGCGCGGGCTTGGCCGCGGCGAGGTCCTTCTCCGCGTCCTCCTTCACCGCGGCGATCTCGTTCGCCTTCTTCGTGACGCCCTCGACGATGACGGCGACTTTCGCCTTTTCCTTCTCCGCGATGGCGGTGGAGGCGGAGATCTCTTTGAGGAGCTCCGCGGCGTCCGCTTGCGCGACGGCGAGGTCTTTGTTTTTCTGCGTGAGGTCAATCTGCATCGTCTTCACGTCCGCTTTCGCGTCGAAGAGCTTCGTTAGACCGCTGTTGATCTTGTCCGCGAGCGTCTTCACCTCCGCGAGCTTGTCCGCGTACAGCTTCCTGTACCCGGAGATGAACGACAGGTACGACTTCGGCGTCACGTAGACGTTTCTGCGGAACTTTTCAAAGTACTCCTTGCACGCGCGCGTCACCGCGACGTGGACGAACCCCATGTGCGTCTGGAGCTCGTCCTTCGCCTTGTCGTCGCACGCCATCTCGAAGTCGCCGATGAACTTCGTGGACACCGCCACGAGCGCGTCTTGCGGCCAAGGGAGGAACCAGTCGATCGTGCAGCCGTTGATGAGACCCGGGAAGTTTCTCGCGCGCGTGGAAAACTTATCCCCGACGGGCGAGAAGCACAGGCACAAGTGCAGGTTATCCCGGACGCGTCCCATGAAGAAGTTCCACAAGTTATCCTGCGTGTCCTCGAGCTCGGGCGCGGCTTTCTTCATCACCGGTCTCAAGTCGTTCACGAGCGCGTCCACTTCCTCCTTCGGGAACAAACCCGCGACCTCGCCAGTCATCAGGAGCTGGTTGATGTACTCCAAAAACGACTCGTCCTTCACCTCGGCGTCCGTGAAGATAAACGCAACCTTGTTCCCCTTGAGCCCGGCGTTCACGTACAACGCCTTGATGTCCTCGAACAAGTTCGTCTGGTTGTACGTCTTCGTGATTTGGATTTGGAACGGAAACGCGCCGGCGATGTACGCCGCGAGCCGCGTGAGCGACTGCTTCCCGCTCCCTCCGACGCCGATGAGAAGCGCGCTCCCGCGATCCATGCACAGCAGCCGAGAGATGCGCATCATGTGCTTCAACGCGTCTTCGAACAAGACGAGCTCGAGCTTCATGGACTTGCTCGTCTCGTTGAACATCGCCTGTTTTTTCATCGCGACGTCCGTGAGGTGCGCGAGGTTCGGCGTGGACTCGTAGAAGGACGGGTTCGCGTCGATGATCTCTCCCGTCTCGGCGTCCATCACCGGGTCTCGTAAAAAGTCGACAAAGTACAGCCGCTCCTCTACCTCCTTGGCCATGTCCTTGCCGTACGTGTCTCTGACGAGCTTCATGATGAGCTCGCCGCCCCAGTCCTTGTCCTCGTGCGTCGTGAGCTTGTCGCAAAACACGCGCTCGCACTCGTGCCGCCACAGCGCGACGAGGTACCCTTCCGGGGATTTGACCCCGGCGCCGAAACCGGCGGACGCGTCGAACCCGAGCTTGAACCTGTCGCGCTCGGCCAAGATGACGCCTTGGAACACCTTCGAGAGCTCGCGCATGTTGAACAGGTAGTGAAACTTCGCAGGCGTCGGCAGCATCTTCGCCTGGACTTTGTTCCACAGGTCGATCGTGATCGGGACGAGCTTCCCCGCGGTTTCGACAACCTCCGCGGAGAAGACATCCGACGAGAATCGCCCGGCGACGAGCTGCCCGAAGATGTTGTTGATCGCCGCGACGGACGGTAACGGCACGTTGAAGATGGCGAAGTGTCGCTTCAGGCGGTTCGGGATGTCGTTCTTGCCGCCGCCCGGGGTGTTCATCGCCGCGAGGTACTTGCAGTCGATGATAAACTTCATGTCCCCGATGGGTTTCTCCAACGAGTAGACGCCTCCTTGCTCCAAGAGCTGCCGGACAATCTCGTTCGTGACTTGGTCGCCCCAGTCGTTCATCGCGGGCATGGAGATGTCGTCGATGAAGACGAGCATCTTCTTGCCCCCCGACGGCCCGAAGTACTTCCCTTGTCGCTTCTCCACGGCGGATTCGATGGAAATTTGAAACGTCTGCGGCGTCGTGAGCGACGAAAACGTGATGCTCTTTTGCGTCGTCTCGTCCAGGTCGAAACCGGACATGAACGACTTGATCGCGGTCGTCTTCGCGGTGCCCGGCCCGCCCACGAACAGCGCTTGCTTGTCCACGCTCGTGACCAACCCGAGGAGGGCTTCGAGGCGGACCGAGTCCAGCGTGGGGATGATTAAGCGCGCAAACTTGGGCGTCTCCTCGTCTCGCGGGTACTCCCAATTTGGCACTCTCTCGTTCCAGTGCTTCCACTCCGTGTCGTCGTCGGAGACGAAGTACTCGAAGAACGTGTCCTTGGAGTCCTCGTCGAACGCGGGGTGGTTCCCTTCACTGAGCGCGACGAGCGCTCGGTTCAGTTTCGGTCGGTCGTTGAAGTTCAACATCCCCCCGAGCGACCACGTGAGGCTGTACAAAAACAGACGCTCGTAGTGCCCCTCGGAGAGCGGCTCCGACTGCTCTTCGTACGGCAAAAGGACAGCCTTCAGCATCGTGAGCAACGTCGTCACGGAGCAAAAGTCCCGCGAGACGTGTTCCCACGGAACGCCGCCCATCACGGGCTTGCACTCCATGCGAATCGTGTGAATGATCGCGTCGACGTACTTGTCGAACAGCGGTCGCAACAGCTCCGCCTCCGGTTTCTTACGCGTCGCGAGCCACGACGCGACGACGGGCTTCCACGTGAGCTCCGTCTCGGACACGAAGATGATACCGGCGCGTGAAACGGTCGCGGGCGATGCGTTATTCAGGTTCTCCGGCTCGAACATCGCCTTCATCGCGCCGGACATCTGCACGCGGTCGCCGTTCGCGAGCGTCAGGACTTTGTTGTCGTCCAGCACCGTGTTCAAGTTTTCGATCCAAATCGCGTCGACGGGGCCGTCGAGCACGATCCACGTGTTGTTCTTCTTCTCCTTCGCGGCCCGTCGCCACAGCACCGCGAAGATCCCGTCCGTCCAATCGCCCGTCGACGCGTCCATCCTCCCAAACATCTGCGGCGCGGTGATCGCCTTCGGGTTCATCTTCAGAATGTTGTGCTTCGTTCCGAGCTCCGTGAGCGCCCCCGCGAGCGTCTCGCAAATCGCCGTCTTCCCCGCGCCCGTCGGGCCGACGACCATGATCCCGTGCCGCACGAGGTACGTTTCGTACAGCTGCACACACTTCGCGAGCCACGTCGGGTGGAGCTGCAACCCTTTCGAGGTGGCGACTTTCGCCATCGCGGCCTCGACGTCTTCAAACTTGGCCTTGTCGGCTTTGATCCCGGGAAAGATGTCGTCGATGAGCGACAAGAAGAGCGTCACGTCCTCGGCGACAAACTTGGACATGTTCATGTCGCGCAGCGCGCGCATCGCGAGGTAAATCTCGGACTTGTCCGGGTTATCGCGCTTCGCGCTGCCCATCGTGCGCAGCACGGACAGGATGTTGCGCAACCCGAAATCGTAGTGCGCCTGCTTCGAGAGCTGCTGCTCGCAGAGGCCGTACAGGACGAAAAACTTCTTGGCGAGAAACTCGTTCTGCTGGAAGCCGCAGGCCGCGAGCTTGACTTTTTTGATGATCTGCCGGTCCGGCACCATCATCGTGACGCCGCGGAACAGCATCTTGAGGTTCTCCGGGAGTTCCTGGCGACCGGCGTAGCCCGGGTTCATCGTGATGAAGTACCCCACGCGAGGGTCCAGGGACACGGTGGTGCCGTCGGTGAAGACGAACTCCTTCTTCCGCTCGCGAATCGCCTGAAGGACGCAAAACACCTGCTGCGCGCACACGGATAAGACGTCTAGGTTGATGCGGTTGAACTCGTCGAAGCAGCCCCAGAGACCCGATTGCGCCAACCCGCGGTAGATCTTCCCCATGCCCTTGTAGTCCATCTGATCGGAGCAGTTGAAGACGACGACGTACTTCCCGAGCGTGTTTCCGAGATCCTTCGTCGTCTCCGTCTTTCCCGTCCCCGCGGGACCCGCGGGGGCGCCGCCGAGGAACATCCCGAGCGCCTGCGACAGCGTGACGTAGCAGATGTCCGTCAACGGCGTGATCACGAGGCGTTCCTTCACGCCGAGGTACTCGTACGAGTACTCGAAATCCACGTCGCAGATCGAGATGATCACCGTGTTCTGCTCTTTGGACCAGTAGAACCGGCACTGTTTCATCCACTCGAAATCCGCCGGGTCTCTGACGCGCTTCTTGATGAGATCCTCCGAGGTGTCTCTCTGGTGCACGTGCACGGTGATGCACGTCTCGAGGTTCTTCCGGTCGTTCTTCCCGAGCGTCGGCCGCGTCGTGATGACGATCATCTCCTTCAAGATGGCATCCGTCTTTTTGAACGCCTTTTGCATCGCGGACTTCTCCTTCTTGGCAACCGTCAACGCGCCCTGCGTGTCCGACGTCCAGAGGAACTGAATCCCCAGAAGCGAGATCTGCGCCGGGTGCTGGAAGATGAACGTCTCCAGATCCTGCTCGTTCACGTCCTCGTGCGCTTGTTTGATGACGCTCTTGACCGTGTTTTGCATCCCGTCGACGAGATTCTGAAGCCACACTTCGATGTTGCCCACCGCGAAGACGGGGTCGTCCGCCATGACGCCGCCGCCCGTCATCCTCTGGAACCGCACGACTTCGCCCTGCTGCGAGGACATGTCCACCATCTTCGACGGGTCGTGCCGGTCGAACGAGACGTTCGTGACGGAGTCGAACAGTCCGGACTGAAAGTGCGGCGTCACCGCGGGCGGGTTCGAACCGAGGGATAAAATCTCGAGTAAAGTCGGGTCCGAGACGAAGTAAAAGCGCGGAAACTGCGCGCGCTTCGTGTCCAGAAACGCGGTGAGCGACTTTTGGCACAGCTCGAGCTGCTCCGTGAGAATCGGCAATAACGTCGACAGCGTGTCCGTTTCCGTGCACACCGCGACGACGTTCCGAGTCTCCACCGCGTCTCGAACCGCCTTGATGAACTGCTTGTCGATGTTCTGGAACCGCTTCGCCTCTTGCGGGAGCTGCTTCACGATGTCCCCGCCGCTGAACACCGCCTCCATGTACACCCACATGTTTTGCACGACGAGCCACATCTCGATGATATCCCCCACGGTCGCGAGCTTGACGATCCAGTCCTGGACGCCCGTCTTAAACGGCGCGGAGTACCGGTTCGTCGCCATCGACCCCAAGGACATCTGCGAGTCCTCGAGGCGTTCGATGAGCTCCCCCGTCGTCGCCGGCTCCAGCAGGACGTTACCTTTGTTCTTAAACTCCGTGAAGTTGAAGTTCAAGTCCTCCCACTCCTCCGCGATCTGCGCGAGCTTCGTCTCCACCTGCGCCTCCTTCACCGCACCGGAGGTGAGGTCCTCGATGTCGTCCGCGTGCGGCAGGATGTTCGCGTCGAGCAGATCCGCGAGCTTGAACTCGTCCTCTCTCAGGTTGAGCTTGATGCCGACGATCTCCTGCAACGCCTTCCAGTGCCGGTCGCGCATGGACTGATCCGTGAGCGCCTGAATGAACGGCAGCATCTCGAGGAACTCGTCGATCTTCTTCCGCAGGTCCACGTACGCGTCCCACTCTCTCAGCGCCTTCGGGAGCTTCCGGCACTGCGCCTGGAACTGCGTCACCTGCTCGGTCATCGCGTCGAGATTGGTCGTGACGTCCGCCCACAGGATGTCGGCGTACCCGTCCACGGTGCTGATCACCGCGGTGTACAGGTCGTACAGGCGGTTCAAAAACTCGAGCTCCTTCTCCGTCTTCTCGAGCTCGGGGTACTGCGTGACCGGCAGCCCGAAGAGCGTCTCGCCGGCGCAGTACTTGACCCACTTGCGTTTCCTCGACGCGAAGAGCTGCGAAAATTTCCGCAGCCGCTCGACAGCCTCCGCGGGCTTACACCCCGGCACCATCGGCCCGTTCGCGTCCCAGTCCTCGCGAAACTCCGCGGCGTCGACGACGAAGACTTTCACGTCCTTCAGGAGCTCGCGCTTGAACCCCATCTGCAGCCGCGTGAGGTTTTCGCCCACGGACGACGCGAGCAGCGTCATCCGCGTCCAGCTGTACCGCAGCTCAGCGACGAGATCCGTCTCCTCGTCCGGCACCTTCACCTCGTAGCGGTGCAGAAGCGCGTACACCTCCTCGATCGGCCCCAGCAAGGTGTCGAGCTCGGACTCCTTCACGCGGATGTCTTGCTGCATGTCCATGATGACGCGGACGTCGTCCAAGTCCTCCACCTTGCGGTTCAGACGCATCGTCGTGTCCTTCATGTACTGGTAAACGTCTTGCAGCTTCCCCGCGCCGTACTCGTGGAGGTTCTTCGCGAACTGCGTCTTCCACGCCGCGGCTTCCGCCTTGAGCGCGAGCTTTAACGGCTGGATGTCGAGCGACAGCGCGCCGATGTTGTGCGCCGGGGACATCTTCACGAAGTGCGTCTCGATGTCCATGTACTTTTTAATCTCCTGTTCGAACCGCTCGAGCGACGGCTTGGAGTTGGTAAACGCCTCGTACGCCTCCTGAAGCGACGAGAGGTACAAAAAGTCCCACTCTTTGTACCCGTCGATGAACGCGTTCACGTTCGCCTTCGTGCCGTCGATCGCGCCGGTGAGCAACAGGACGAGCTTCACGACCTCCATGTCGGACGCGATCTCGTCGTAGAACGTCCCGGTGCCGATGGAGTCGTAGTCGACGCCGGGGACGTTTTCCTCGTCGCCGTTGAGATCGGTTTGACCCCAACGCTTGATCGCGAGCGACGCCTTCAGAACCTTCTTCGCGACGCCGTTCACCGCGATCTGGATCTCGTCCAGGTTCGGGTTCAACACCACGCTGGGGACCTGCAGCTCGACCTCGACCTCGAAGAACGGGCGCTCGAGGAATAAGAATCCGCCGCCCATGCGCGTGCCGATGCGGTTCTTAATCGCCGCGAACGACTGCCGCGTCGCTCGGAGCACCGCGCTGTACGTCAAACGCGCGAAATGCCCTTTGAACTCTTCGATCGCGTCCGCGTCGACTTCGACGATGCCGACGTTATCGCGCGGCGAGAGCTCGATCAGGTCCACGAGCTCGTCGCACGCGCGCCTGATCTCGTCCGAGCGCACCGTCATGTCCTCTCCCGCGCGCTTCACGATTTTATTCTGCCCCGCGACAAACTCTTCGAGCGTCGCCGACTCGTCCGTGGGCATCACCACCATCATCGTCTTCGCGATCGTCTTCAGGTTCATGTCGATCCGGCTCGCGATGAAGTCGTTCGTCTTGTTCACCAGCAGCTCCGTCGCCTTAATGCACTGGTGCACGCGCTTGAGGTACACGTCGATGTTGGTAGACATCCACGTGAGGTCCGTCATCCCGGGTTCGATCGCCGCCTCCAAGTCTTGCAGATGCGGCGTCAGCAGCGGCAAGGACACCGGCGGGATGGTGGATATGATCCGCGCGTGCTCGTCGATGGCGTGCGAGAGGTCGTTGTAGTACGACTTGAACTTGTCCTCCTGGAGTAAGACCATCTTCGCGCTCTCCGGGATCTCCACATCCATGCGCACGAGGTGTTTCGCCTCGCGAATCAGAATCATGATGTCCTTGTCGAAATTCACGACGAATTTGCCCGTCCTCGGGTGTTTCACCACGAGCGTGGCGCGCAAGCCAACCTTCGCGTCTTCGATTCCGCGCGTCCACGCGTCGATCCATAGCGTTTCGTACGTCACCAGCGCCTGCGCGGTCTTGTTGTACGTCTTGATGATCTTCTTGCTGTTGTGCGAACGCATGATGGCTGGGTTTTTCGAAAAGTGACGCATCGGCTCTTCGATCCGGCGAAGCAACTGACGCGACCACATGATGTCGCCGCTGACCGGCGGCGCGTTTCGACTGACCGGCGGCGCGTGCTTGTTCTTCTCGTACGTCTGCTGCACCGCCTCCAAGTCCGCGCCGTAGTTTTTGAAGATCAAAAACGCCTTGTTCGCGAGGTCTTGCTTCAACGCGTCTCTGTGGATGATCGATTCAAACTGCGCGAGTAATCGTAACGCCGCCTCCGTGGACGTTATCGTCTCGAAGCTCTTGTCGATCAGCTCCTGCAGCGAAAACTCGATGTCCGCGATGTTCACGTTGAACTCGAGGTAATCTCGCTCGTACTGGTTGTTTTGGAAATCGAGCAGCGGATACGGCTTGCGTTTGAACTCGTCCACGACTTTGAAGAATCGCTTCCCGAGGACGTCCATGCCGTCGATGAACGTATTCTTCGCGAGCGTTTCAAACTGAATGATGCTCCCAAACATGTCGATCAGCTTCTTGCACCTGCGCGCGAAGACGTCGAATTTCCCGAAAATCTTCTCGACGTCAAAGTCAAACTGCTTCCCCTTCGCCTGCGCCATCTTCTCCCTCGCGTTTTCGTACGTCTTTCTGTACGCCTCGTAAAGCGCCACGCACTCGCGCAGACGCCTCATGAGCTCGCTCTTATCCATCCCCCACAAGTTCGGCCCGAGCTCGTGCACGTAGCTCTTACAACACGTCACCATCTGATTCGTGATCTTCGCGAACAACCGCGTCATCCGCTCGGAGGTGTTGTAATACCGAGCGATGGCGTACATCATCTTGACGCCGTTGACGAGCGCGGGGAGCGATTCCATAACCTGCGCGGGGGCGCCGATGTACATCGGCTCGAGGGCTTTCTCCAGCGTGACGAGGTACTTGACGTTGTCCTTGGCCTCGTTGATCGCGTCCGTGAGCTTGACGTCCGTGGCTTTCCAGTTGCGGTGCGACTGCGACCGCGCCGCGGTGGCCACGCCGAGCACCAGTCGCGATTCGCGCGACTGAGGGTCGAGGGTCCATGAGAGGCGACGTCGGGGTGGAGTTGAAAGGCGTCAGTTGAAGTTGAAAGGCGTCGATGGCGGGGATTGAAAGCGGGGGACTCTGGGCGGAGAGACACGCCGGGCGAAGTCTTCAAGGAACGGCGTTCACCACGCGAACGGGGCCGTACGGGGACCAGTGTGAGGAGAACGCGCCTTGAGCTGCTCCGCGATGGAGTTTAGGACGCCCATGCGCGTGCGCCAGTAGTTCAGCTCCGTGTCCGGGCCCGCGTCCGGGGACTCTTTCGGAAGCGGCGGGCGCTTCTTCCGCGGGACTCTGTCGTCGTCGTCGTCGTCCGCGACGTCGTCGTACGGCGACGGCTCGGCGGACGGACCCGCGTTGGGTCCCGCGTTTTCCTTGCCCCCGCCGGGGCCGGGTTTCGTCTTCGACGATCGCTTCCCGCGGGCGGCGCCCCCCGCGCCCGGCGACGCCTCCCCCGCCTCGAGGTCGAACACCGGCTGCCGCTCCTCCACCAGCGCGTTCGTCTCGAAAACCCACTTATCCAGGACTCTGTTCATGTGAAACAGCGTCTTCGCGTCCTCCGCGGCGGTCTTAAACGCGCTCGGTTTCAGCTCGACGGACGCGACGTATTCGCTCGCCGGCTTGGCGAGCTCCGCGACGGCTCGCAACGACGCCGCCGCCTCCGCGATCGCCGCGCCGAACCGTCGAACGTCGCCCAAGAACTCGTCCGTATTCGCGGCCATGTCCGCGGTGCCGTTGAGCTTCCCCCAGTCTTTTTGTCCGCGCAGCGCGGGGAGATACATCGCGTTGACGATGGCGGAGAGCGACTCCAACGCGCCCTCGGCGACCACCCCGGACGCCATGTCCCCGACGTTGAGTTTGTCCCCCGCGGCGACGCCTCGAGGGTTCGTTCGGAGGAAATACAGCGCCTTGCCGACGACGCGGTCGTCCTCCCCGGACGTCAGCGTCAGCTTCGGGGTTTTCGACGTCTGCTCGAACGCGCCCGCGTCGGCGTTCCATCGCTCCGGTATCTGAGGGTCGAGGGTCCATACGAGCGAACGTCGGGGCGGAGTTGAAAGGCGTCAGAAGCGGAGTTGATAGACGTCGAGGTGTGTCGGGATTGTGAGCGAGGGGTGGGCGGAGAGATGCGCCGGGAGAGAAAGTCCTCAAGGAACGGCGTTCACCACGCCGACGCGGTCGTATGGGGACCGGTGTAAGATGGGACGCGCCTGATGCAGGAAGATGAGCTTCGGCGGGCCGTCCGCTTTGAAGAACTCCCCGAGCGCGCCGTGATGCGGGGACAGGCTCGCGTTCGCGACGTCGAGGTCGAGCCCGAAGCACTCCGCGATCTTGTCCGCGATGAACGCGACGCGCGCGTCCTCGACGCTCATGACGGACGACGCGAGCGAGGCGGTCGGAACGACGACTCGCGCGCCGGGTCAGACGTCGACGACGACGACGATGACGTGCGCGGTCGCGCGTCTCCGCGCGTCTCCGCGCGAGACGCCTCCGCGCGACGCGCGCGACGCGAGCCCCCGATACGGACCCGCGCCGCGCGCGCCGCGCGTGTTTCCGCCGACGACGACGACTCCTCGAGCGCGTCGACCGTCCCCGCGGTAAGCCCGCGCGCCTCGCCCACTGCCCCGCGCGCGCGTCGCAATCGAAATTCTCGTCCGTCGGCGGAGGCCGCGCCGCGTTGACTCGCGCGTACGCGTCGTACGAGCAAACGGTCAGGCGTACGCGTACGTTTTCGAGGAAACCCACCGCGTGTCGGCTGCTCCGAGGATTTGAATTTCGTCTCGGCAGCGCGGCCGCCCGACCGCTAAAAAAAATTCAACGGTCTCCCAACGTTCTCCACACCGCGCGACGCGCGAGCCGAGGACGCGCGCGCAGAGCAGGGCGCCGCGCGAGCGACGCGCACGAGCGACGCACGGGGCGCGCCGTCATGTCGGACATGATAGAGATCACCCCGAGAGAGCCGGAGATACGCGGCGTGCGGTTACATCACGCGTATCGCGCGTCCGTCACGCTGCGGAATCTGACGCGAAACGCGCTCGAGCTCACCGTCCGCGCGGGGTCGCCCGAGCGATGGGCGGTCGCCCCGGCGTCGATATTCCTCGAGGCCGGACGCGTCATGAAGGTAGACCTGCGATTGAAGCTCGTCCGCGAGATGCGGCCGCGGCGGCAGGCGGGCGGCGCCGGACGCGTCGGCGCGGACGCCGCGGACGCCGCGACGCAGCGCGACGTCTTTCACGTCAAGACCGAGTACGGCGAACAGCGATTCCACGCCGCGTTCACGATGGCGACGAAAGAGGAGATCGCCGCGATCGAGGCGAGAGAGAAAGATAAAGGGCCGGGGTATCATCACGACGAGGAGGAGCGCGCGAGGAGCGCGTCGCCGCTGCCGACGAGCCGCGGCGGCGGCGGCGACGACGCCGCCGCCGCTGCGGCGTCGGCGGATGCCGACAGACGCGCGCGGTTCGCGTCCGCGCCGCCCACGAGCCGACGCGGCGCGGAGCGCTACGACGACGACGACGACGACGACGACGACGACGAGCGTCATCGCGCGGGCGGCGGAGGAGGACGCGGCCGCGCGCTGACGCGCGACCGCCCGCCGTTCTCGCATCATCATCAATCTCGTCATTCCGAATCCGCGCGCATCACGAAGAAGAAGGTCGACGCGTTGACGCGACGGCTGTCCTCCCTGGAAGACGCGCTGTCGCTCAAGGACGCGCTGCTCGCGGATAAGGAAGAACTCGTCCGCGCGCTGCGGTCGCGCGCGGAGCTCGCGCGGGAAAGGGATGGGACCGACGAGGAAAACGGCGACGCGTCGACGTCGTCCCCGCCGGAGGCCCTGGCGGCGGCGCGCGCGACGGCGGCGGAGCTCCAAGGCGCCAACGCCGCGCTCCGCGGGCGATGCCAAGAGCTCGACGGCGAAGTGAACGCGACGCGGACGGAGTGCGACGCCCTCAAGGCTCGTCTGGACGCGCTGCAAGGGACGCGCGCGCCGCAACTGGCGGACCTCGTCTCCGCGGCCATCGCGCACGAGCGAACCGCGTTCGAGGCGCAGGCGCGTTCTCCTCACATTGGTCCCCGTACGACCGCGTCCGCGCGGCGCACGCCGATCCTTGAGGACTTTCTCTCCCGGCGTATGTTTCTCTTCGCCGCCCACCCCTCGCTTTCGATCCCGACACGCCGCGACGCCTTTCAACTCTTCCATCTGACGCCTTTGAACGCCACCCCGACGTCGCTTCTTATGGGAGAATACCCTCAGTCGCTGAAGGCGCTGCGCGTCCTCGAGGCGAAAGACGCGGTCCTCGCGTCGCGAGAGCGCGAGGTCAAGGAGGCGCGGAGCGAGCTCGGCGCGCTCGCGAGCACGCTGGCGAGCGCGCGGAAAGAGCTCGACGCGCGCGAGAGACGGTTGATCTCGACGATCGACGAGCTCAGGTGCGTTCTGTGCACACGTTTTTCACTCACCTCACCCGCCGTTCGGTTTCGACACGCGATCGCGTCCCCTTTCGACTGACCGACGAACGAACTTTTCAGCGACGCGCGAGAGGCGCTCGAGAGCGCGAACCGAAAGATCGCGACGGCGGACGACGCGCGCCGCGCGCTGGAAGAGAAGACGAACGTCATGGAGGACGACGTGCGCCGCGCGTCCACGACGAGCAAACGATGCGCGGCGCTCGAGGAGACGAACGCGTTTCTTCAAGCGGAGGCGGGCGCCGCGAGGGACGCGCTGCGCGCGGCGAAGGAGGAGACGGACGCGTTGAAGATTTCGCTTCGAGAGGCGATTCGCGCGCGCGACGACGAGCGCATCAAACTCACGTCGCAGATCGAAGCGTTGGAGAAGGAGAAGCTCGCGATGGAGTCGGCGTCGCTTCTGGACGGCGCGAGGAAGACCGCGGAGCTCGCGCGCGCGCACGTGGATCTCGCGTCCGCGTTGGACGGGAAGCGCGCGTCGAAGGCGGTGGAACCCGCGCCGTGGCCGCCGCCGCCGCGAGCGAACGAGGACGCGGCGTCGTACCTCGCGCGAAGCGCGGTGGCCGCGAACGGCGCCGTCCCCGGCGCGGAGATGGCGCGCGCGGCGGCGGACGACGGCTCGTCCGACGGGTCGGCGGCGGCGGCGGCGTTTATCCCCCCGACCAAGGCGTTCCACGTGACCCCCGCGCTCGTGTCATCCTCCGCGCCCGAGAAGGTGGTCGCGGAGGTCAAGAAGCTTCAGAAGGAGCGCGACGGCGCGTTCGCGGCGATCGACGCCGCGCGCGCGGAACTCGCCGAGGCGAAGGCGTTCGCGCGCGGCGCCAAAGCTTCGCTCGTCGCCGCCGCCGCTCGCGCGGCGTCGGGCGCCGTCGTCGACGCCGCCGGCGAAGGCGAAGAGCCCCCCGCGCCGTCGTCGTGGGTCGACGCGGGGCGCCACGCGGCGGAGATGGCGTCCATGGAACTCCACGCCGCGGAGTTGGCGTCCGAGGCGCGGCTCAGAGAGGGCGACTTGAGGCGGAGAGCGGCGCAGGCGGAGGCGGATCACGCGGCGGAGACGGAGTCGCTTCGCGCGGAACTCGCGGCGCTGCGCGATCGCCTGAGCGTCGACGTCCGCGTCGCGCGGATGGACCAGTCCGCGGCCGCGGGGGGGGAGAGGCAGAGCGCGGCCGCGCTCGCGCACCGCGCGAGGACCGCGGAGGCGGAGGTTGCCGCGACGAGGGCGCGTGCGGAGGAGCTGGAAGCCGCGTTGGCGCTCGCGTCGGCGTCGGCGAAGAGCGCGCCCTCTCCGTCCGTCGCGAAGAAATCGACGCCCGCCTCGGGGAAAACGCAAACGCAAACGCCGCCCTCGAAGCCGCCGCCGGCGATCGCGACCGTAGAGTCGCGACTCGCGTCCAGGGTCAGCGAGCTCGCGTCGCGCGCCGAAGCCGCGGACGACCGGGTGCTACGGCTCGAGGACGAACTCCGAGCGGCCGGCGTCCCGGTCCCGCCGCCGGGCGCCTCGCGCGGGCGCTCCTCGTCGGTCTCGACGTCCGGCGCCGCCGCGGGCGCGGGCGCGGGCGCGGCGACGTCGCACGCGCGCGCGAGAGAGAGCGCGAAGGACGACGCGCGCCGCTCGGAAGCCGCGACGAGCGCGCTGCGAGCGAAGCTCGGCGACGCGGCGCGAGACGTGACCACCGCGGAGCAGAGATTGGCGCGGGAGCGAGTGCGGTGGGAAAACGAACGCGCGCGGCTAGAGAGCAAACTCCGCGCGACGCGCGACGACGGCAGCGTCAAGGCGCAGGCGCTGGAGGCGACGATCAACGCGCTGCGGTCGCGGTCGGGCTTACACGCGGAGGTGGCGCGGTTAGGGGACGAGGCGACGGCGCTGCGACGCGCCGAGAGCCGGCTGCGGCACGAGCTCTCGTTCGCGGAGGAGCGACTCGGCGCCGCGCTTCTCGAGTTGAAACGTCTCAAGGGCGGTTACGGTCACGACGACGACCAGCCCGACGACGCGCTCGCGATCGGCGCGGCCGCGGCCGCGGCGGCCGCCGCGGAGGGCGCGCTCGAACGCGCGCAGGACCGCGTCGTGACCCTCGAGAAGGACGCCGTCAGGGACCGCGCGGAGATTCGAAGACTCAGGCGCGTTCTATACACTGGTCCCCATACGACCGCGTTGGCGTGGTGAACGCCGATCCTTAAGGACTTTGCCCGGCGCGTCTCTCCGCCCACCCCTCGTTTTCGATCCCCGCCCTCGACGCCTTTCAACTCCATCTGACGCCTATGAACTCCACCCCGACATCGCTTTGTATGGAATGGCCCTCAGAGAGGAGCTCGAACGCGTCGAGCTCGAACGCGGGCGAGAATCTTCCGCGCGCGCGGACGCGTCTGTCGAGCTCGCCGCCGCGCTGGAGCGCTGCGCCGCGCGAGACCGCGCGCTGCACAACGCGCGCGAGTCCGCGGCGTTGGAGAAGGAGCGAGCCGCGGCGAACCGCGCGCACGAGGTGACGGCGGCGACGCGGCGGTCGGCGGCGGCGGAGGTGCGTTCTGTGTGTGCGAACGTACTGTTTTTCACCCGTCCATAAGGCCTTAGCTCGGTTTCAACACTCGATCGCGATGGGTCCGTGGGTCCCTTTCAACTGACCGATGATAATTTTTTTTTGTATGGAACGACCCGCATCACAGAGCCGCGCGTCGGAGGCGGACGCGCGCGCGGCGGCGGCGCGAGAGGAGGCGAGAGACGCGCGCGGCGAGTGCGCGAGGAAGATCGCCGCCGCGGACGCGAAGCGCGCGACCGCGCAGAGAGAGCTGGACGCCGTCGCGGAGCGCGTCGCGAGCGCGGAGGCGGAGCGCGACGCGGCGCGACGCGAACGCGAGAAGCTCGCCGCCGCGGTGGACGAACGAGGCGCGCAGCTGCACATCCTAACGGAAACCGTGGAGGCGTTACAAGCCGCCGCGGGCAGCGGCGACAGAGAGCAACGCATCGTCACGCTCGCCGCGCAGGCGGCGACGTCGAGAGCGAGCGAAGCCGCGCTCGAGCGTCGCTGCGCGGAGCTCGTGGACGCGTCCAGAGCGCACGCGTCGGAGCGAGCGGCGGCGGAGCGGAGAATTCTGGCGTCGGAACGCGCCGTCGTCGCCGCGGAGGCGTCCGCGCGCGAAGCGATCGCGCGCGAGGAGCTCGCGCGCCAGGAAGCCGCCGCCACGAGGGCGTCGGAGACGTCGCGCGCGGAGGAGCTCGCGACACTCGCGCGGAAGTGCGACGCGCTGCACGAAGCGCGCGTCGCCGCTGAGAGCCGGGAGCAGAGCGCTCGAAAAGCGCTCGAGGCGCAGCACGCGAGGCACCTCGAGCAGCTGAGGCGCGTATTCCTTACACTGGTCCCCATACGACCGCGTTCGCGTGGTGAACTTCATTCCTTAAGGACTTTCTCTCCCGGCGGTCGTTTCTCTCCGCCCACCACCACTCGCTTTCAATCCCGCCGCGCCGCCCTCGACGCCTTTCAACTCCGCTTATGACGCCTTTCAACTCCACCCCGACGTCGCTTCGTATGGAACGACCCTCAGCGCCGAGCGCGAGGCGTGCGCGGATCGCGTGCGCGCGGTGGAGATGAACGCCGCGCGCGCCATCTCCATGGCGATGACGTCCGGCGGCGGCGGCGGGGGGCGCCCGGGCGTCTCCGAGCGCGACGCCGGGAAGGCGGCGACGATGGACGCCGAGGACGCGGACCTGGCGTTCGCTGACGCCGCGGCGGCGCGCGAGCGCATCGAGCGGTCGCTCGACGACATCGTCGACGTCGCGAAGACGCGCGCGGCGTTCTACCGAGCCGCGTTAAACCGAGCCGCGAAGCAGGGCGTCGTCGTCGACGATAAGGCCAAGAGGACGACCGGCGGTGGCGACGGAAAGGCAAAGGCGAAGAAGGGAGGGAAAGAAAACGCGCCGGGCGCGGCCGTCGCGCCGCCTCCCGGCGACACCGCCGACACCGCCGAAACCGCCGCCGCCGCCGCGGACCCGTACGGCGACAACGAGTGGTCCGCCGCCGTCGTCGCGCGACTCCGCGCGCTCGTCCTCGAAGCCGAGCGCGAAGTCGGCCGCGCGATGTGCGCCGCGCGGTGCGCCGCCGCGGGAGAAACCGCGGCGAACGCGCGCGCCGCCGCCGCGGAGGCGGCGCTCGACGCGCGGACGGCGGCGTGGGAGGAGGCGACGGCCGCCGCCACCGCCGCGGAGGAACGCCTCGCGCGTCGCGATCACGTCGTCACGCACTGCGTCGACGAGCGCCTGCGGCTGTCGCGGCGCCGCGCGGCGCAGCTCTCAGGTGCGTTCTATACAAAAGTTTTTCACCCATCGTCCGGTTTCAATACTTGATCGCGTCTCCTTTCAACTGACCGATGAACTATTTTTGTATGGAACGACCCTCAGAATCCCTCGCCGCCGCGGGGAGACGCCTGATCGCCGCGGAGGCGGCGACGGTCGCGGCGACGCGCGCGGCGCGCGCGGAGACGGCGCGCGCGGAGGCGGCGCTTCGCCGCGCGCGCGCCGCCGAACGCGACGCGGCGGGCGCCGCCGCCGACGCCGCCGCCTCGCGCGAAGAGCTCGCCGGCGCGCCGAGCGCGTCGGACGCGACGGAGGACGTCAAGGCGTACTTCGAATCCGAGGTGGTCAAATCGCTGCTGATGGGCGGCGAGTACGGCCTCGGGAGCGAGCTCACCGGCGCGGCGCATCACGTCGCCGTCGCGCGCGCGGCGGCGGGGGATAACAAAGACGCGCGGCTCATCGGCGTCACGCGCGAGCTCTGCGCGGCGAAGCTCACGGAGCGGCACCTGCTCGCGTCGCTGGCGGCGGCTCGGCGACGAGGCGACGCCTCCGCGGTTCGATGCGCGGAGCTGAAGGCGGCGCTGGACGAGACGGAGCGCCGCGCGACGGAGCTGGAGCGCGGCGGCGGGCTCGGACTCGGACGGGAGACGACGACGACGACGGGAGCGGGAGCGGGAGCGGGAGCGTCCGCCGAGTCATCAGTCCCCGCGTCGGTCGACGGCGTCGAGTGCCTCGCCGCGCAGCTCGCGTCCAAGGCGCACGACGCGTTCGTCGCGCAGGAGGACGTCCTGAGACTTCGTCAGCGGATCGCCGAGCTCGAGCTCGAGGTGGCCGACCTCGCCGGCGCGCGAGAGGCGGCGGCCGCGGCGGCGACGGCGGCGAGAGAGGGCGCGCGCGCGGACGTCGCCGCCGCCGCCGCGCGCGACGCCGAAGCGTTCGCAGCGAGAGCCGCCGCGCTGCGTCGCGACCTCGAACACGAGAAGGCCACGTCGCACGCGGCCGTTCGCGAGGCGCAGGCGATGGCGCAGAAGACGCGCGCGGAGGCGGCGGTCGCGGTCGCCGCCGCGACGGAGCGCGCGGACGACGCGGAGCGGCGCGGGGACGTCGCGGAGGCGAGGGGCGCGGGGGAGGCGCGCGCCGTCGTGGAGGATGAGATTTTGGCGTTGGAGGCTTCGAGGGCGAGGGCGGAGGCGCGCGCGGGGAAAGCGGAAGCTCGCGCGGCGGAGGCGACCGCGCGGTGCGACGCGCTCGAGGACGAGGTGAAGCTCAAGAACGACGCCGTGGAGTCGCTGCGCAAGGCGTTCGCGACGCTCGAGCGCGAGGTTGGCGGCGGGGGCGGGAACGCGACGACGAAAATATCGGCGTCGGCGAAAAAATCAACCACCAAGTCGCCCGACGCCGCCGCCGGCGGCGCCGTCGGCACCGCGCAGACGACGCTCGGAAGAAAACTCGTCGAGGCGAAGCTCGCGGAGGCGGACGCGCAGAGGAAGCTCCGCGCGGCGCAGCGCGCGGAGACGGAGCTGCGGGACATCGTCGCGAAGCGCGACCAACGCGTGGAAGCGTTGAAGCGGCAACTCGTTGAGAAAAATAAACGCATCCGCGACGCGCGTTGGGCGGCGCCGCAGCCAGCTGTGAAGACGGCGATCATCAAGACCGCGCGCGCGGAGGCGGCGACGAGGGAGGCGAGGGAGGCGAAAGACGCGGCGGCGCGCGCGGCGGCGAAGGAAGCGACGCGCGGCGCGGGCGACGACGACGACGACGACGACGACGCGTCCGACGCCGGCGCCGGCGCCGGATCCGGGGACGAATTCGACCGCGCGAGGTTCGAGTCCGAACGCGCGAAGCTCCGCGCGGAGCGCTCGCGCGCGGAGGCGGAAGTCGCGCGCCTCACCGCGGAGCTCCGCGCGCACGTCGCGAGCGCGCCGACGACGGAGGAGATGGAGGCGCTCCAAGGCGAGGTGTTGGCGCTCAGACGCGCGGCGGCGGCGACGAAAAAGTTTACGTCGGTGAGCGATCCCCACGAGCTCCAGGCGGACGTCAACGCCGCCGTCGTCGCCGCCGCCGCCGCGCTCGGGAGCGCGGCGCAGAGTCATAACGCGTCCTCGCGCGCGCGCGCCGCCGCCGCCGCCGCGGAGACGCCGCCGAAGCCCGGCAGCGCGGCCGCCGCGGTGGCGTCCCTCGCGCGCGCGCTCGACGAACAGCGGCGTCTCGCCGCCAAGGCGCGCGTGGACGAGGCCGCCGCCAAGCGGACGCTGCGGGAATCCGGGAAGGAGAAGGCCGCCGCGATCGCGGAGGAGACGGCGCAGCGCGCGGTCGTGCGCGAGCTCACGCAGCGCGCGAGCGCGCTCGGGCGCGACAAGGCTGAGCTCGTGGACGAGCGCGACAAGCTCAAAGAGCGATTGCGCGCGACGCGCGCGTCGCACGGCGGCCGCGGCGCCGGCCGCGCCGCCGCCGACGCCAGCGCGCAGTGCGGCGAAGGCCAGGGCGATGTCCGCCTCGTCGACGCGAGAGCGCTCGCGTCGCTGCTCTCGCAGCAGCTCGACGGCGGGTTCACGCCCGCGTCGGCGTTCGTGTCGGACCGCGCGCGCACCGACGCCGACGCGGAGACGGCGCGCGTCGCCAACGCGCTCTCCGTGGAGACCGCCGCGTTGCGCGCCGTCGTGTCCGCGCTGGCGTCGGACGAGCACGACCGGTGCACGCCGACGGAGCTCGTGACGCGCGCGGCGACCGCCGCGATGGCCGCGATGCCGTCCGCGCCGCTCGTGCACACGGTGTCGCCGTCAGTCGTCGCGACGGCGATGGCGGTGGCGCCGTTGGCGGCGGAGCGCGCCGTCGCGGGCGCGGGCGGGGGCGCGTCGTTCGCGCCGCCGCCGCCCGTCGCCGCCGCCGCCGCGCACGACAAGGGCACCGACGTGGACGGGCTGCGCCCGCTCTGCGTCGACGCCGCGACGGAGGCGCGCGCGATGACGACGGAGACGCGCTCCGGTCCGGACCCCGGAGGCGTCGGGTCGACGACCGCGCCGAGGGACGCGAGCACGAGCCCGGGCGGGGAGGCGAAGATGGTCGACGGGACGGGGCGCCGCGCGTATTACATCTCCAGGGTGGACACCGCGACGAGCGGCTGCGACGCGATCGCGCTGACGTTCGACGCGGGCGTGAGCACGGAGCTGCAAGGGGACGCCGCGGCGAACCTGACGACGCTCGCGGAGATTGGCGAACGCCGCGGGAAGGAGGTGGCTTCGTTGGAGAAGCGTTTGGCGGCGGCTTCGGAAAAATGGAAAAAGTGGAAGGCGCGGTGCGACGGGTTAAAGTCGGAGCTCGCGACGTCCACGGAGCGCGCGGCGGCGCTCGAGCGCGCCGCTTCAGGCGACGTCCGCCTGGGTCACGCGGACTACCATTACGCGGAGACGGCGTCGGACCGCGACGCGCCCGCGGCAGCGTATGCGGCGCGACGCCGCGTCGCCGAGCTGGAGGCGCTTCTCTCGAGCGTCGACGGCGCCGGCGCGGCGGCGGCGACGGCCGCGCGCGCCGACGCCGACGCCGCCGTCGCGCGGCTGCGCGCCGCGGAGGACGAGACGCGCGTTTTGGTGGACGAGAGGGACCGACTGAAGCGCGAGCTCGACGAGAGGGACGACGAACACGCGCGAATGATCGCCGCGATGCGGAGCACGATTCGCGGGATGCGAAACGCGAGCCCCGCGGACCGCGCGGCGTACCTCGAAGCGTTGCGTCTGCACGCGGAGAGCGGCGTCGGCTCTTCTAAGGGTCCCTCGTCGTCGAACCCTAACCCTAACCCTACGCCTCGGGACCCTAAACCCTCCGCACACGCGTCGAAGGACGCCGCCGCGCTCGTCGTCAAGGGCGTCAAGATGGCGGAGCGCGTCGTCGACGCCGAGCGGCGGATGGAGAAGGCGTTCGCGGTCACCGCCGCCGCGCTCGACGCCGCGGAGACGGGCGCCGCCGCGTTCGGCTCTCGCGCGTCCGAGCAAGCCGCCGCGCTCGCGACCCGCGTCGACGACGCGCGCGACGCCATCGCGCTCGTCGCGAAGAAGGCGGAGCAGCTCGAGGCTGAGGCGCGTTCTATACACTGGTTCCCATACGACCGCGTTCGCGTGGTGAACGCCGATCCTTAAGGACTTTTCCCGGCGTCTCTCTCCGCCCACCCATCGCTTTCAATCCCCGCCCGCGTTGCCTTTCAACTCCAACTGACGCCTTTGAACTTCACCACGACGTTCGCTTGTATGGAACGACCCGGAGGCGAAGCACGGGGAGATCGCCGCCGCCGCCGCGACGCGTTGGCGGCACGTGGCGCGGTGCGAACGGTACCGCGAGCTGCTGCGGAAGTTGCGGGAGGAGCACGAGGAGGAGCTCGCGCGGGCGAGCGCGGCGCTCGACGCCGCGCGTTTGGAGGTCGAGGCGGCGCGCGCGGAGGCGCTGGAGGCGCGCGGGAAGGCGGAGCGAGCGGCGAACATGCGACCGTCCGGCGACGACGCGGCGGCGACGGAGGCGTACAAGGCGTCGAAAGAGACGCAGCTCGACGGCCTCCGCGCGGAGATCGCGCGTCTGCAAGCGCACGTGGAGACGCAGACGCGCGAGTTGAGAGCGACGAATGCGAAGCTGGCCGACGCGGAGGCGGCGACGAAGGCGTCGAGAGACGCGTCGAAACCGACGAAACCGGAGGCGTCGAAACCGACGAAACCGGAGGCGTCGAAACCGGAGGCGTCGAAACCGAAGCCGTACGCGCCCGCGTACGACGCCGCCTCGCTGACCGTCGCCGCGGAGGCGTCCGACCTCCTCGAGCGTTTTTTCGCGCTGGAGTCCAACGCGGACAAGATCGCGCTCCTGGAGTCGCGCCTCGCGACGAAAGCGGACGCGGCGGCGGCGGCGAGTCGCGCCGAGGTCGCCGCGGAGGACCGCCGCCGCAAGGCGGAGTCGCGATGCGTCGCGCTCAAGCTGCGGATCTCGGAGCTCGAACAGAAGGTCAACGACCCGTCCGCGAACTGGGACGCGTTCGCAGACCTCCGCGAGAAGCTCAGCGAGTCTGAGGAGAAGCTGAAGCGCGCCAGGGCGGACGTGAAGCGCATGCAGGCGCTCGCGGGCGCCGCGCGCGCGCAGACGGAGGATTTCAAAAAGGAAAAGAGCCGACGCGTCGAGCTTCACGCGCAGCTCGCGGAGGCGAAGGCGAAGGCGAAGGAGCTCAAACACGAGCTCCAGCGCAAGGACGCGTTCGCGAGGGAGCTGAAATCGAAGCTCGAGAGCGCGGGCGTCGCCTTCTCCGGCCGCGGCGCCGCCGCCGCGGAGGAGGCGGCGGCGACGGAGGAGGCGAGGCAAAAGCTCGCGCGGTTGAGGTGCGTTCTATACAAACGTTTTTCACCCGTCCATCGGTTTCAACACTTGATCGCGTCCCCTTTCAACTGACCGATGAACATTTTTTGTATGGAACGACCCTCAGAGCCGAAGCCGCGCGCAAGGACGCGCTCATCGCCAAGCTGCGAGGCGACGGCGGCGACGTGGACGACAAGGTGGCCACCGCGGTCGCGAGCGCGATCGCGGAGGAGCAGCAGCGCGCGGCGGAGAGCTCGAAGCGAATGAAACGCGAGCTTCAGCGCAAAGACGAAGCGCTCAAAGCGCACGAGGGACGCGTCCAGACGTTGCGGGATGAGGCGCGTTCTATGTCACACTGGTCCCCATACGACTGCGTTCGCGTGGTGAACGCCGATCCTTAAGGACGTTCTCTCCCGGCGTTCGTCTCTCTCCGCCCACCCCTCGGTTTCAATCCCGACACACCTCGGCGCCTTTCAACTCCGCTTCTGACGCCTTTCAACTCCACCCCGACGTTCGCTCGTATGGACAATTACCCTCAGCTCGAGAGACATCACGGCGCGACGGCTGCGGCGGAGAAGGCCACCGCGCGCGCGTGGGCGATCGGCGGGTACGACGCGCGACGCGCCAAGGCGATGCTGTCCGGCGTTCGAAGGCTCTCGAGTCGTCTTTTGCGGCTGAGCGCCGCTGTCGGACACACCGTCGGCGCGGCGTCGAAGGCGTCGGACGCGCTGGAACACAAAAACGCCCCTGGGCCGGTGGAGCGCGGCATCGCGCGGCTCGTGGACATGGAACCGGACGAGGTGAAGACGTTACTCGACGGCGACGACCCAGCAAACGCGAACGCGAACGCGGACGCGGACGGGTCGCCGCCGTCGCCCGTCGGAGGACGCGCCGCGCACCCGGCGAGCTTCGCGTCGTTGATTCGCGCGATGGACGCGCGCGCGTTGGAGGTGGAACGTTCGCTGTCGTTTCCGGACGCGTCGTCGAAACGCGCGAGCGTCGGCGAAGAAGAAGGTGACGGTTCGCCTCCCCCTCCCTCCGCGCCCGCGACGGTTCACGTCCGCGACGACGCGCAGCAGCAGAAGTGGAACGCGGACGCGCTGCGATGGATCGTCGAGGCGGCGGAGGCGGAGGCGGCGCACGCGGAGGCGGCGTTGAAAGCCGCCGTGCCGGCGATGCAGGCGTGGTGGATCAACGTCCTCGCGACGCGAAACGGCCTCCCCGGCGCGCCGCAGGGCGCCCCGGGCGACGGCGCGAGGTTCACGAGGGCGCGCGGCAGCGCGCGGAAGAGGGAGGAGGCGCGGAGGAGGGGGGACGCGAGGGGCGTCCGGGAGCACTGGCCCGCGGGGGAGTTTGGCGCGGGGACGCGGGAGAAGCTCGCCGGCGCCGCCGCGTTGCTGGCGTCGTCCAGCGGTTCGGACGAGGAGCCGCACGCTGCGCCGAGGGAATAACTACATAGAAAACCTTACTAACATACTACTACTACTACTAGAAGAAGAAGAAGAAGAAGAAGAAGAAGAAGAAGAAACCTAAACTGATTCGAAACGAAACGCGTGCCCGCCGTCAGTTACGACGCGTCCCCGTGAACGTCCCGACGACGACGTACTCGGCGAGGATCCCGCGGTAATTCGCGCCCAAGAAGCTCGCCTCCAGATCCCGCTTCACCGTGACGACCCCCGACGTCAGCCGGACCGCGGTTTTCTCTTCTGCGCCGTCCTCCGTCGTGACTATCTTCGCGTTGAAATACACGGGACCGTCGGGTAAGATGTCCACCCCGGACGCGGTCACCGGCGCCGACGCCGGGAGCGTAAATTTGAAGTAGCCGGGCTCATCGGCGATCCAGCAGAACCCGTCGAACGTCGAAGAGGCCGCGCGCGGGTCGACGCCGCGCGAGCCCGCGAAGAAGCGCGATCCGCGCACGCCCGCGGCGCCGCGCGACGGGAACATCCCCGCGTCGCGCGGCGCGAAGTCGACGTCGAGCGAGAGCGAGACGCGCTCGAGCGCGGCCGCGGCCTTCGCGGACAGCGGTCCGTCGTTCATCGGCGAGCGCAGAAAGAGATCGACGTCGACGGCCCACCTCGCGGCGGACGCGCCGTCCGCGCTGGGGGCGACGACCGCGGAGACGGACGCTTCCTCGTCGTCCTCCATCGCGAGGTCAACGCGCGCGCGGAAGAAACCGAGCGCGCGCTTCGCGGCTCTGGCGAGCGCGTTGTCGTCGGAGGAGGAGGGGGCGGAGGAAGAGGCGCGCGCCGAGGCGTGCCTACCCTGCGGCCCCGCCCCGGGCCGGATCCCACCGCGCGACCGCGCGTCCTCTTCGAAGATCGAGCGTCGTCTCCGTCTCTCGTCGCGCGGGACGCGCGGCGACGCCGACGCGGCGGCCATCGCGAGCGTCGCCATCGTTCCCGAGCGCGGCGCGGTCTGACGGCGGGTGTCGGCTGCGGCGTCGCCGGGGAACTCGCCTTTTTTCTCTGTTTTTTCTGCCTTTTTTCGAACTGTTCCGAGAAATGTTTTTTAAGTCGTAAAAAAATCGTCACCAGGATGAAAGCTCGCGCGTCCGTCTCCGCGACTTCGCGCGCGCGCCGACGCGCGCGCTCGGCTTCTTCGCTCTCTCTCGTCGCGTCGCGATGACGCGCGGCGATTTCCGACCCCGCGCGTGGGTCGTCATGGGCGTCGCCGGCGCGGGCAAGAGGTGCGCGCCGCCTCGCCGGAATTCGAAAACGCGCTTTCGCGTCGTCGTCGTCGGCTCTCATCACCGTCGCGTCGCGTCGTCCCCAGACCCACCATCGCCTGACGCCGTCCCCACCGCCCGTCCCCAGCACGCTCGCCGCCGCGCTTCGCGACGCGCTCGCGTCGAGCTACCCGCGCCGCCCCGCGCCCGTCTTCATCGAAGGCGACGACCATCACGCCGCGGAGAGCAAGGCGAAGATGTCCAGAGGCGAAAGCCTGACGGAGGCGGACCGCGCGCCGTGGCTGAGATCCATCGCGGACGCGATCTCGCTCGAGACGCGCGCGCGCGTCGGCGTCGGCGGCGGCGGCGGCGGCGGCCCCGACGCTCCGGACGCGTCCGCGGCGCCACCCCGCGACGTCGTCGTCGCGTGCAGCGCGCTGAAGCGCGCGCACAGAGACGTCCTCGCGTCCGTCCCGGGCGTGGAGACGCGCTTCATCTTTCTCTCCCCGGCGACGCGCGAGGCGGCGGCGGCGAGGCTCCGGACGCGCGCCGCCGCCGATCCCGGCGGCCACTTCGCGGGCGAAGCGCTCCTCGCGTCGCAGCTTGCGGACCTCGAGAGCGACGCGGCGAGCTTCGAAGGGCACCACGTGCATCGAATGCGCGCGTTCGGCGGGCGCGGAGAGAACGAGGAGGAGGACGACGGCGACGGCGACGCGGCGGCGGCGGCGGTGAGACTGCTTCCCATACGACCCCGTTCGCGTGGTGCACGCCGTTCCTTAAGGACTTTTCCCGTCGTCACTCTTCACCCGCGCTTCCCTTTCAACGTTTGACCGGTAAGACGTTCGACTGACCGATCGCTTCACCCACGCAGGTGGCGGCGGCGGCGGCGGCGGCGGCTGTGGAAGCGACGGCGCGAGAGGCGACGAACCACGTCCTCGACGTCGTCTTCGCCCGCGCCGCCGCTTCGGAGGGTCCGGACGGTTCTTCTGACGCGCCGTCGAAACCGAAACGACCGCGGGATCAGAGGAACGGACCGCCGAGGCTGGACCCTTCCACGTTGACGGACGACGTGCGCGCGTTTATGGACGAATGGTGGGCGAGGCTGTGCGCGCGCGGCGTCTCCGGTGCGTTCTATACAAACGTTTTTCACCCATCGCCCGGTTTCAACATTTGATCGGTTCCCCTTTCAACTGACCGGTGAACTTTTTTTGTATGGAACGACCCTCAGGCGCGGTGCCCGACGCGGCGAACGCCATCGACCACGTCTGCTGGCGTTGCGAGACCGCGGAGGAGTACCACGACGCGGTGAAAGCGCTCGCGGACGCGGGTCACGACGTCGCGGGGACGAAATCGATCGGCGGACGACCGATCACGACGGTTCGGTTGAAAGCGCCGGTGCGGTGGGCGCGGTTTCAGATCCCCGCGATCGAGGTCCCGGCGCCCAAGGCGTTTCGGCCGAGACCGCGCGGATTCGAGCACGCCGAGGTCGCGCTCCTGTGCGACGCCGACGGGTTCACGGAAACGAACGCGATCGAGGCGTTCCTCTCGAAGTTTCCGGACCTCGAGTGGAACCGCGACGGCGTGCGCAAGGCGATCAACCCGGACGTTAGCCTGTCGTTGGGCGGCGGCGTCGCGGTCAAGTTCCACAACCGCCCGCTTCTGGACGTCGTCGACTTCGAGCGCGCGTCGGGCGCGTCCTCCTCACACTGGTCCCCATACGATTCCGTTCGCGCGGTGCACGCCGATCCGTGAGGACCTTTTCCTTCGTTTCTCTCCGCCCAGGGTCCCACGGTTTCAATCCCGACGCACCGCGACGCCTTTCGGCTCCATCTGACGCCTTTGAACTCCACCCGACGTCTTGTCGCTTCGCGCGGGAAAATCACCCCAGGATTGCTCGACGCGCGTTGCCCGCATACCCCGTCGATCGACGACGGGTACGTCGACCCCCTCTCGCCGTTCGAGGACGTCGACGCGCTGTTCGGGCTCGAGATGAAGCAGCCGTGGGCGGACTTGGTCGTGTCCGGCGCGAAGACGATGGAGACGCGCGCGTACGCGTTGCCCCCGAGGTTGCTCGGAAAGCCCGTCGCGTTGTTGCGCACGCCCGCGGCGAAAGACGGCGAGGCGCGTTCTATCTCACACCGGTCCCCATACGACCGCGTCGGCGTGGTGAACGCCGATCCTTGAGGACGTTCTCTCCCGGCGTACTGTATGTTTCTCTTCGCCGCCCACCCCTCGGTATCATTCCCGACGCGCCTCGACGCCTTTCAACTCTTCCGTCTGACGCCTTTCAACTCCGCCCCGACGTTCGCTTCGTACGGGAAAATACCCTCAGCCGGCGAACGTCTCGAGCCTCGGCGACGCGTGCGACCCCGGCGCGGCGACGATCGTGGCCCTCGTCACGTTCACCTCCGTGAAGGAGTGGGACAGCGCGAAGGACTGGGCGGCGGACGGGGATAAACACCTCGTGCCGAGCGACGACGAGGCGTTTCGCTGGCGTCGCGGCGACGGGTTGCGACGCCGGGTCCGAGGGTGGATCGTCGGCGACGTCGCGCCGATCGCGCCGACGCCGTCGCCGAAGATGACGCGCGCGCTGCGGTCGTTGTTTAAGCTCGAGTTCACGGCGGATGAGCTCCTCGTGAAAGGGATCGACGACCGCGGCGGCGGCGGCGGCGGCGGGGCAGTCGGGGACGACGACGAGGAAGACGACGACGCGGGGATTTTTGCCGACGACGGCGCGAACGACCGCCCGTGGCACTGACGACGAGACGACGCCGCGCGAAGCGACGCGAACGGTCCACCGCCGCGATCGCGTCGTCATCTAGCGTAGCGCGCGCGCCGCGACGTCGATCGAATACTTCTTCTTCTATCTGCTATCCGCCCGCCCTCCCGCCGTCGCGCTCGCCGCCGCCGTCCCCGCCGCCGCCGCCGCCGCCTGCGTGGGTGAAGCGATCGGTCAGTCGAACGTCTTACCGGTCAAACGTTGAAAGGGAAGCGCGGGTGAAGAGTGACGACGGGAAAAGTCCTTAAGGAACGGCGTGCACCACGCGAACGGGGTCGTATGGGAAGCAGTCTCACCGCCGCCGCTCACGAACGCGACGTTCCGGTCCGCCCACCCTCGCGATTTCTTCTCCGCTTCTCTCCTCTCGTTCTCCTTCTTCTGCGCCGCCGCGAGCGCGTCGTAAAAATCCTCCGGCGCGTTATCGCTCGGATCGAACGCGTCCTTCGCGAACATCGTCGCGCGCTCCTCGATCTCGAAGTGCGACACCACCGACTCGAGAAAGTCCGGGTTCCGAAACGCCTTGGTCGATCTCAGGGTCGTTCCATACGAGCGAACGTCGGGGTGGAGTTGAAAGGCATCAGATGGAGTTGAAAGGCGTCGAGGTGTGTCGGGATTGAAAGCGTGGGACCCTGGGCGGAGAGATGCACCGGGGAAAGTCCTTAAGGAACGGCGTTCACCACGCCAACGCGGTCGTATGGGGACCAGTGTACAGAACGCACCTCAGCCTGTCGACGACGCGCACGCCGGCGCGTTTCAACTCGGTCCAACGCTTCACCTTCGTCTGGAGCGAATCCCCCGACCGCATCACCGTCTCGCACTCCCCGGGCGGCTCCGGCGGCAGCGCCACCTTCGCGACGATCGCGTCCGGGGCGCTGTGAAGCCGTCGAGGAGGGCGCTCACGAGGCGGCGGGGGCGACGGCGGCGGGTCCGCGTCGCGCGCGTCGTCGCGCGACGGGTCCGCGGCCGGGCCGGCGTCGGCGTCGGCGTCGTCGTCGGCGTCGGCGTACGACGCGTACATCGCGGCGGCGGCGGCGCCGGGGGGCGGCCGCGCCGGCCCCGCGACGGGTTCGTCGTCGTCGTCGTCCTCCTCCTCCTCCTCCTTCGCCTCCGCCTCCTCCTCCTCGCGATCGGCGGGGAAAGTCCTCGCCGCCTCGCCGTACGCCGCCGCGGCCGCGCGTCGCATCTCCTCGGCGCTCGGCCGCGCCGGGCCCGCGGCGGGGCCTTCGTCCTCGCCGCCGCCGTACGCCGCCGCGGCCGCGCGTCGCATCTCCTCGGCGCTCGGCCGCGCCGGGCCCGCGGCGGGGCCTTCGTCGTCGTCGCCGCCGCGGCCGTCGTCGTCGTCGTCGTCGTCGTCGGAGCCGGACCCGGAGCCGTAGCCGTAGCCGCCGAGGAGCGACGTCAGCGCCGCGGGTCGCTCGTCGTCGTCGCCGTCGGACATGACGCCGTCGCCGCGGCCGGGCCGGACGTCTCGCGGACGAAACGCGCGGCGAGCGCGGGGTCGAGGGACGTCGACGACGGAGGGGCGAGGGCGCGCGCGCGAATCCTTCTGCGCGAAATCTTCCAAGTCTCCTCGCCGAGGCGCGCGGCACCCTGCCTGCCGCTGCCGCGCAGACCGCGTCGCTGTTTCGAGTCACGAAAACTCTGGCGTACGCCTCGCGAGATGTCGCCGATACTGTTTACGAGTAGAGATCTTTTCCGTACTCCAGTACGTCGCCGTACGTACGCGTCAGACTGATTTCGCATACGAACGCGCCCCCGAATCGCGGATTTCGCGCTGTCCACTTGGCACGACGGCCGCCGTCGTTCCCCTCTCGTCGTTTCGTGAGTTCCGCGATCTGGTGTGCGAAATCGCCATTCCCGCGCGCGCCGCACGCGACGCACGCGGCTGCACATACCCCGCCAGGGATAACAACTACTGTCGCATCACACGCGACAGGCGGCGCGCGAGGTCGTTCGCGCCCGTTCACTCGCACGCGCGCGCGCGCGGTCGGCCTCTTCGTCGACGCGCCGCGGAAACACTCGACGCGTCAACTCGTGAATTGCGCTCGCGATGGTCGCGTCGAGAGTCTCCTCGAAGAAGTCCCCGGCGTCGTCGCCGTTAAAGCGCGGACGCCCCCCAAAAGGCGTCGCGACGCTGAAAGGTAAGACCCCGCCGACGTCGCCCGGGATGAAATCGCACACGCCGACGAGGCGCGGGCGAGGACGCCCGACGCCCGCGGACTCTGACGATTCGATCGAGAACCCCCTTCCGTCGCCGAACGCGAATCGCAACGGCACGCCGCGACGCGGCGCGGCCGCCGCGGCCGCGAAAGCGATGAAAGCGATGATCGACAACCCCAACTTCATCAACAAGGACGAGGGTTTCGACTCCGGGGACGAGAACTACTCCGGGGACGAGAACGACATCGATCCCGATCACGGAGCTTCGCCGAAGAAAAAGCGCAAGCCGCCGGTCAAGTCGCCGCGCGCCAAGACGGAGCCTAAAGCGAGGTGCGCGTCGATTTACCCGCGCGTTTCGATCGTATTCGTCTCTGAACTCTTTCTACGCGCATCCGTTCGACCGAAACCGCGGTCGCGCGCGCGCGGAGGGGCGAGGCGGCGCGCATTTCGCGCGCGATCTTACCGACCCCCTGCGCCGCGTTCGCGGCGGATGGGATATTTTCTCGATTGTTTGCGCCGCCGCCGCCGCCGGTCGGGCGACTCGTACCCCCCTCACCCCCGCCGCGCGCGCTTACCGCGCGCTTTCTCCGCGACCGGACACTGACGCGCTCGCATCCCTCCCATCGGTGAATCATCTTGAATCATCTCGAATCATCTCGACGTCTTTCGCAGGCGTTCTTTAGGATCTTCGCTCAAGACGTCGTCCTCCGCGGACGCCGCCGGCGACTCGCAGACGACGTCCGCGAAGGCGGCGGAGAAGGCGGACAAGAAGGACCTCGACGCGTCGCTTCCCGCGATTCGCGACGTCAAGGAGATGTTCGTCCACATGGTGAAGCGCCTCCCGGAACTCAAGGACCTCGTCAAAGCCATCGGCCGGCCGCTGCGCGTCGCGACGATGTGCTCCGGCACGGAGAGCCCGCTCCTCGCGCTCGACAAGATCGGCGCGGCGACGGGGCAAATCTACGACGCGCCCCTCGGCGTCGATCACGTGTTTTCGTGCGAGATTGAGCCGTTCAAGCAGGCGTACATCGAGCGGAACTTCGCGCCGCCGATCTTGTTCCGCGACATTCGCGAGCTGGACGGCGATCAGGCGACGACGGCGTACGGCGCGCTCGTGGATGTGCCCGGCAACGTGGACATGCTCGTGGCTGGGACGTCGTGCGTCGATTACTCCAATCTGAACAACGAGAAGAAGGACATCGACGAGGCGGGGGAGAGCGGTCAGACGTTCCGCGGGATGATGACGTGGATTAAGAAGCACGAGCCCCCGATCGTGATCTTGGAGAACGTGTGCGGCGCGCCGTGGGACAAGATCGCGGAGCGGTTCCGCCAGCAAGGGTACCAGGCGGATTACACCCGGCTGGACACCAAGCGGTACTACATTCCGCACACGCGCACGCGCGTGTACCTCGTCGCCGTGCGCAAGAACCCCGGCGAGACGTTCATCCCCGCGGATTTCCCCACCGAGTTCAAAGCCATCGGCAGCCTCGCGTCCAAGGAGGTGAAAGACAAGGAGGGGAACGCGAAGAAGATGAAGCCGACGGGAAAGAAGCTCGTCAACAGACTGAGCGAAGACGCCGACGTCGCGGAACAAAAGGCGCGTCCTCCTCACACTGGTCCCCATACGACCGCGTTCGCGTGGTGAACGCCGATCCTTAAGGACTTTCTCTCCCGGCGCATCTCTCCGCCCATCATCACTCGCTTTCAATCCCGACATCCCTCGACGCCTTTCAACTCCGCTTCTGACGCCTTTCAACTCCACCCCGACGTTCGCTCGTACGGACCCTCGACCCTAGGCGTCCGTCCCCGTGGACAAGACGGAGCTCATGACGAAGCTCAACGGCCACATGGGCCACAAGATCACGTCCGAGTGGATCGCGCGCGTGAAATCCCTCGAGCGCGGCGCGAGCGCGACGCTCGAGGCGTTCCTCTTCGACAGCGACGACCCGAGGGTGCACAAGGGCAGACAGATGCTCGCGCTCCCCGGCGAGGCCACGAGCCAACGCGGCGTCACCGACTGGGGCCGGTGCGAGAGCCGCCACAGGCGCGCGCGCAAGGACGAAGGCCTAGGCAACCGCCGACCGTTCACGGACTGGGAAGGCGGATGCACGCTGCCGGACTACGCGTGGAACGACTGGGGCAAGGCGCAGACGGATCGCGTGCTCGACCTCATGGACATCGACTACCTACGCCTCGCGCAATCCGGCACGGATTCGATGCACAAGACGCTGGTGTGGAACCTCTCCCAGAACGTGGACAGGACCACGGGCAGCGGCGCCGCGGGCATCTGCCCGTGTCTGACGCCGTCTATGGTGCCGTTCGTCACGAACCGCGGCGGGCCTCTCGTGGGGATCGAAGCGCTCTCGCTGCAGGGCATCCCCGTGGATGACCTTCTCCTCACGCGAGAGAGCGAAGGACAGATGAGCGACCTCGCGGGCAACGCGATGACGACCACGGTGGTCGGCGCGTGCATGCTCTCCGCGCTCCTCCTCATGAAGGACGAGCTCGTGGAGCACACGAAGAAGGTCAACGCGAAGCTCAAGGCGGAGGCGAAGACGAAGGAGAGCGAAGCGCGGAAGGCTGGCGGCGGGAGCAAGACGCTCGCCAAATCCGCCGCCGCGTTGAGCGTCGGCGGCGCCGCGGGGTCCGTCGCCGCCGCGTCCACGGTGGAGGGCGCGGATGACCTCAAGGAGGAAGACCTCGTGCTGTGCTGCGCGACAGACCGCAAAGAGCACACGTCCGACATTCTCGACCGAGCGCACCGCAGCGCGCGTCTGTGCGTCTGCGAGGCGCAGACGGGGTCGCGCGACGCCATCTACCGATGCGAAGACTGCGGGCACACGGCGTGCGCGGATTGCAAAGGGCGGCCGGAACACAACTACAAGCGGCACGACATCGAGCGCATCGCCCCGGACGTCTTCTCCGCGCACCTCAAGCAGACGCTTCCGATGCGCGTTAAGCTGAGCGGCCTGAATGTCGCCGCGGAGGTGACGAAGGCGAAGAAGCTCGCGGAGAAGCTCGACGTCTCGAAGCTCGTCGGCGTCGCCGACGGCGTGCCGCGGCGTTTGACGGATCTCGCCGCGAGACCGGTCGGCGAGACGTACCAAGTCGGTAAAGAGCGTAAGTCCATTTGGACCGCGATCGACAAGGCCAACGCGGAGAAGAACGTCGCGAACTTTGAGAAGAAGATGGTGGACGACGCCAAGGCGACGTGGGTCGCGTTCGCGGAGGCGCTCGAGACGATCGCGGGCGCCGACTTTATGTTTCGCGAGGTGAAGCGCGCCGACGTCTGGACCGCTCGGTACGTCTGCCCGTCCACCGACGAGGTCGTCCTCGAGCTCCGCCTCGGTCGCACCGTCGCGCAGTCAGACTGGCGCGTCGTCGTCAAGCCCGCGCCCGCGATGCGCGAGATCACGAACGAAGAGACGGGCGAGAAGGAGCTCAAGGAGTTCGCGCCGCACCCGGTGTACCAGTGGCCGTTGGCGCGCATGCGGCTGGCGCCGGGCGCGAGCCACCTCCTCGACGGCGTCTGGGACGTCCTCGCGCCGATCGAGCACGCGTTCGACGTCGCGATCGAAGGCAAGGGCGAGAAGAAGAAGAACTGGCAGACGGAGCTCGGGATGATTGGGAACGACGACCCGGAGAGGCTGGACATCTCCCTGCCCGACGGCGTCGACAGTAACCGCGCGCCCTGGTCGGACCTCCGCTGGTCCGAGTACGTCGTCACCACGCTCAAGACGGACGGGATGACGGCGAAGGAGTTTGAGCAGCAGAAGGAGTCGTTCCCCGTGGACGGGACGTACGCTCTGCACGACAAATGCGGCACCGCGATGGCGTCGCTGCACAAGCGCGTGGACCCCAAGCCGACGCTGAACAAGTCGGCGGAGGCGTACTTTTTCCTCGACCCCGTGCGAAACTCAGACGGCAAGGAGGACTTTTTCGTCTTTGCCGATAATCACCGCAGGCTGCAGTACGGCGAGCACAGGATGCACGCCGCGCGCGTGCACCACTCCTTCCGCCCGTCCGACGCCAAGGGGAAAGAGACGTTCGCGTGCCGCACGGACGGCCGCTGGATGAAGTCGGACGAAGTGAATCTCATTCAGCTCGACGAAAAGCGCGCCGCGAAGCAGGGGGTGCCGAAAAACGCAAAAGCGCTCTCCAGCCGCGCGGGCGGCTGCCAAGCCGCGGTCGCCATCATGAAAGCCAAGGTGCCGCTCGCGGAGGTGGACGCGTCCGCGTGGCCGGAGGATGAGTTCGAGACGCTTCAGAACGACCGCTCGTCGGAGGTTTTCCAGAGGCTGGCGTGGTTCACGTCTCGGCTCGCGCTCCCGAGCGAGGTGCGATCGTTCACGACGCTCGACGAGAAGAGATTAAACTCAAACGCGTGCGGCGGCGCAAAATGCCCGGAGGCGTGCCCGCGCTGCGCGCCATCCCCGCCGGTCCTCCAGTGGACGTGCAAGGCTGGCGAGAGCAAGATCACGGCGAGGGAAGACCCGCGGCAGGCGGCGGCGTACGAGCAAGCGCTGAAGCGTCGCCCGGCGCCCTTCGTCGTCCAGTGGAGGAAAACCGCCGCCGCCGCCGGGAAGAAGCTCGGCGAACTCGTCATCGCGGTCAACCCCGCGACGCTCGCGCACCGCGCGCTCGCGAACGTGTACAGCGGCGTCGCGAAAGAGCGCAGCGCGGCGCCGCAGGCGGAGGACAAGCCGACCGTGGAGTGGCAAGTCGTCAAGCACGAAGAGCGCGAAGCCGCCGTCGCGCTCGCGGATTTCACCCTCAAGTCCAACCGAAGCGACGCCAAGGCGCCGCAGCCCAAGGGATGGAACACGAAGTTCCCGCTCCGACCGGAGCAGCTCCGCTCGCTCGGGTGGATGATCCGCCAGGAGCAAACCACGGAGCCGTTCGTCGAGGAGGAGGTTGCGGAGAGCGTCCACCCCGCGCTCGGGTTGCGAATGGATGGCCGAGCGCGCGTCGAGCGGCTGGTGCGCGGAGGCATCATCGCGGACCAGGTTGGGTACGGCAAGACGGCCATCACGATCGGCGCGATCCTCGCGAGCGAGATTAAGTTCCCGCTCCCGAACGCGATGGCGAAGCCCGTGAATGCGATCCCGACCAAGGCGACGCTCGTGCTGGCGCCGTCGCAGCTGCTGAAGCAGTGGCCGCGCGAGGTTGAAAAGTTTTCCGCCGAGGGCCGGCTCGTCACGCTCGTCATCCGCACGGTGGCGGACATCTCGCACTACACGGTGCAGGACTTCCAACGCGCGGACGTCGTCATCTGCGCCACGAGCGTGCTGCGCTCGCCGCTGTACTTCGAGCGGCTCGCGCGGCTCGCCGGCGTCGCGTCGCTGCCGCAGTGCAAAGCCGCGGGCGCCGGCCGGCACTTCGCCGCGTCGTACCGCGACTGCCTCGACAAGCTCGAGACGCAGTGCGAACGTCTCACTTCAGGCCCGAACGGCGTCGTGGAGTGCGCCGCGAACGTCCGCAAGGGCAAGGGCGAGACGTCGGTGATCACGATCAACCCGAAGCGGCTGAAGGGCGCCGCGCTCGTGAAGAAGACGAAGGAGCTCGGCGGGATGGAGGGGTTCAAGTACGCCGAGCTCGCCGCGCGGAAAAAGGCGACGGACCTCGCCAAGTCCATCAGGCTGAAGACGCCGCCGCAGTCGCCGGTCAAGGCGAAGCCGTCCGCGACGAAGTCCCCGGCGAGCGTCAAGACGCGCGTCGCGAAGCCCCCGAAGAAGCCGTCGACGCCGAAGAAGAGATCTACGCCGAAGAAGAAGTCGTCCATCGGCGGGTTGGAGTCGCCCGCGCCCGCGGCGGCGGCGGCGACGTCCCCGCGCGCGCGGCTGGCGCGCGCGTCCGCGTCCAAGCCGATCAAGTACGCGGACGACGGCGACGACTTCGGGTCCGACTTCGAGAGCGACTCCGACTCCTCGGAGTACGACGAGGTGGACGAGGAGGAGGAGGAGCGCAAGGCGAAGGCGAAGGCTGCGGCGAAGCGCCGAGCCGCCGCGTGCGCCAAGGGGAAAAAATCCAAATCCCCCGCGTCGGCGTCGGCGTCCCCCGACGAAGCCGACGAGAGCGCCGACAAGGACCACTGGGGGTTCGAGACAACGTCCGTCGAGCGCGATTGGACCAAAACGTCGTCGTGCCCGCTCGAGCTCTTCCACTGGCGCCGCGTCGTCGTGGACGAGTTCACGTACCTCCAGCAGTCGGACCGCTGCGTCGTGCTCGGACTCAAGGCGGAGGCGAGATGGTGCCTCTCCGGAACGCCCCCAGTCGGCGCCTTCTCTGAAATTAAGGACACCGCGGCGCTTCTCGGCACCAACCTCGGCTCGGACGAGATGCCGCGGTACACGAAAGCGGAGATCACGAAGGCGGAGTCGTTCCAGTTTTTCAAGGAGAAGCCGACGCAGCACTGGCACGCGACGCGTCACGCCGTCGCGCAAGGGTTCCTCGACCGTTTCGTGCGGCAGAACATCGCGGAGATCGACGAGATCAAGTCCGTGACGGATCTGAACCTCCTGAACCTCCGCCCCGTGGAGAAGGCGATCTACCTCGAGCTCGAGCACTACCTCAAGTCCACGGACATGATGGTGAAGACGAAGAAGAAGAAGTCCTCCGACGGCGACCGCGACAAGCGCATGGCCAAGGTGCTGGAGGGCTCCGCCAGCGGCGCCGAGGCGCTCGTCAAGTGCGTCACCAAATTCAAGCTCGACAACGACGCCGGCGCGGGCACCGGGGCGTGCAACGCCATCGTCAGAGTGCGCGAGGAGGAGAAGGAGGACTGCGAGAGGAACATCGTCCGCGCCGTGCTCGACGCGAAGGTTATGTTTTGGGAGGCGAAGGAGATGGCTCGCGAGCTCGGCGTGGACGTCGTCGAGACGGAGATCAAAGCCAACCGAGCCGACGCGCGGGAGCGACTCGTCGGCGACTTGAACAAAAAGTACGACGAGTTCGACTTTGTGAAGTTCATGAAGAACGTCGTCGTGCACAACCTCGCGGGCGATCCCGAGGTGACGGAGTTGATCACCACGCGTCTGCTGAAGCAGGCGTCGGACGCCGTCGCGGCGACGCACGAGTGCACCGTGTCGTGCTACCCGCTGTCGTCGATCCTGCGCGTGAACCTCGGTAAGGAGGGCAAGGATGGAAACGTCGTCAAGGACAACTGGAAGATTGGCATGATCATGGAGGTGACCGGATCGCAGAAGCAGAAGTGCGCGATGGCGTGGAAGGACCGATCCAAGGCGGACGTCGAGGAGGACAAGTACGAAGAGATTGAGTACAAAAAGCTCCGAGCCAAGGAGGGCCGCGTCGAGGTCATCTACCGCGCGCCGCTGTGCACGAAGGAGAAGGACTTCTCGCCGCCGTCCGGCCCGAACGACCCGGTGTGGAAACTCACCAGCAGCGGCAGCGAGGATCAGGCCAAGCGAAAGATCGTCCCCGTGGACGTCCGACCGACGTGGATCGCGCCGACGAAGATCGCCAAGGGGGGCGGCGGCGCGGCGGACGCGCCGGCGACGCCGGCGGCGACGCCAAAGTCGACGCCGAAAAAGATCGACACGCCGTCCTCGCGCGCGCCCTCGAAGACCGCGGCGAAATCGTACGAGGACATGACCAAGAATCAACAGAAGGCGTATCGTAAACCCGTCGACGACAAGATGTGGCAGCTGCGCGATCACACCCACGACGTGAACGCGCTCGTGAATGAGCTCTCCGGCAGGACGCGCGCGCTTCGATTCTTCAAAGCCGTGCGCGAGCTCCAAGGCTTGCGCGACGACGACGCCATCGTCTGCCAGGCGTGCGAGGCCAAGTCCGCGAAGAAGAAGCAGAGCGGCGGCGGCGGCGGCGGAACCGGCGCGCTCAAGCGCACGAGCTCGTCGTCCGTCTGCATGAAGCGCGACGCCGGTCTCATCAGCGAGTGCGGCCACGTCGGCTGCCTCGCGTGCCTCCGCGCCGACGCCAACCTGCAAGAGTGCGGCGTCCCCGGGTGCGCGCGCGCGTGCGGCGGCGACAACATCATCACGGCGGCGAGCCTCGGCACCGAGAGAGAGGGCTGCGTGGACGGCGACGCCGCGTTGGCGTCCCCGACCAAGAAGAAGCGCGGCGGCGGAAACGGCGGAAACGGCGGGGATCGAACCGCCGGCGGCGGCTCCATCGTCGTCGGACGCCACGGCAAGAAGATGTCCGAACTCGTCCAAAGCCTCCGCGGCTTCAACCCGGACGAACGCGTCCTAATCTTCATCCAGTACCCGGACCTCATGAAGCAAGTCTCCGACGTCCTCGACGACGCGAACATCAAGTACCTCAAGCTCAAGGGCTCCGTCCACCAGCAGTGCGCCGCGTTGGATGAGTTCCAAAAGGAGAAGCTTCGCCCCGGCGACGCGCGCGTCCTCATGCTGCTCTCTCGCGACGAGTCCGCCTCCGGCGCTAATCTCACGACGGCGAACCACGCCATCTTCGTGCACCCGCTGGAGACGAACACGCAGTACGAGTACGACGCGTCCGAGACGCAGGCGATCGGGCGGATCCGTCGGTACGGCCAGACGAAGCTCGTGCACGTGCATCGACTCATCGCGAAGGACACGATCGAGGAGAAGATTTACAACGAGCGCGGCGGCGAGATGTTCAAAGGGACGCACGTCAAGTGATCGATTCGATGATGGTGTATATCGACGACGGCGTCTCTCTCGTCGCCGTCGCCGACCGAGGAGGAGGAGGAGGAGGATGGCCCGTCGCGACCGGCGCGTCGCGGCGGGCCGGAGAGGAGAGGAGGAGGAGGAGACCGCGGGGGGGATGGATGGGTCGCGACGACGCGCGCGCGCGCGGCGCAATCGCGCGCGCGCGCGGTCGTGGCTCGTCGACGCCTCCGCGGGTGTTTTTTTTGTCTTTCGCACGCACAGCAGCGTCCGCACCGAACGAGCGGCGAACGCACCATGTCTGTCTTCATTATTAGCGGCTGTACATATTCCGTGAACGCACGATGTAATACGACGACGATGTAACACGTTAACGAACGAAGACTCGCGCGCGCTTCGAACTCTGTCGTCGTCCTTCCATCTACTCCAACTTCTGTTGTCGTACGTCGTAACCGTCCGAGGAAACGCCGACCGCGACCAAACGCAAACTTCTCCCGCCCAAATCCTCGGATAAATACCAGACAGAAGTTGTTAGCGCGCCTCCGTCGCGGCAGCATCGCGGCGCAAGATGGCGACGCCGGCGTCCATCCCCGCCGCGCGATGCGCGGTCCCCGTCCCCGCGCGGCGTCGCGCGTCGTCGTCCTCGCGACGGCGGCTCCCGCGCGCGCGCGTCGTCGCGCACGACGCGCACGACGCGAGCGACGCCCACGGCGCCGATCGAAGCCCCCGCGGGATCGAGGCCGAGGCGACGCTGCGATTGCACTACCATCGCGCGGACGGCGACGCGGCCGCGTTCGGCGTGCACGCGTGGGACGGCGCGCGCTCCCCCACGCGCTGGGAAGCGCCGGTGAGGCCCGTCGCGTACGCGCGCGACGGGAGGGCGATGGTCGAGGGGTACGTCTCGCGATGCACGTTCGAAGTTCCGCTCGCGGACGGCGCGTCGTCGATATCTTTCATCGTTCACCGCGGCGACGAAAAGTGCGTCGGCGTCGAAGCGTTCGACGTCTCCGCGGTCGCCGCGACCGGCGGGGTGTGCGACGCGTGGGTCGTCGCCGGCGCCGGGGTCGTGCACGCGGAGGCGGCGCCGGCGGAGGACGCGGCCGACGACGGCGACCGCGAGTTTGAAACTTTTTCAAACGTCGACGACGCGTCCGCCTTTAGTCGTCCGGGTCCGGCGGCGGCGGCGAGCGCGAACGACGCGCCGCGCGCCGAGGCTGACGACGACGGGTGTCTCGCGCGCGATCTGTACGGCGACTGTTACGCGTACGCGGACGCGGCGTCCGACGAGACGCCGACGCCGACGTCCGCGAGCGAAGAGTTCGCGGCGCCGCCGCCGCCGCCGCCGCCGCCGACGCCTCCGAAGGAAGAAGAGCAGGAGGAGGAAACCCTCGAGGCGTTCGCGACGAGGGTGTGCGCGCGGATCGGCCGCGGCGGCGACGACGCGCGCGTCATCGCGACCAAGCTCCGCGCGAACTGGATCGAGCGCGCGGCGGACGTCAGGGCGTTGCCCGCGGCGTCGCTCGCCGCCATCGGCGTCCCCGCGGCGTTCGCGATGGCGATGCACGCGATGACGCTAGAAGAGGAGGGTGCCGACTCCGAGGGTGCCGAGGAGGGTGCCGAGGAGAGGGACGCCGACGGCGGCGTCGCGTCCAACGTCGTCAGCGCCGGCGGATCCTATGAGCATTTCGTCTCACCCGGTCGTCAGCGCGCGCGAAGGGACGACGACGACGACGGCCCCGCGTCGTCCGCGTTCGACGGAGACGCGACCGCCGCCGCCGCCGCCTCCAACGACGGGTGGATCGGCGGCGCGCTCCCCGGACCGGACGCGCGCCTGCCCGGCCCGACGACTGGGC